GACTTCTCCATTGTCTAGGGTGATTGTTGGTGCCATTGTCAGGTTCTTCCCATATGTCGTCGGTAGTGAGTTCATCAAGCTCATGACCTTCGTAGTCTATAAGATAGGCTATGAAGTTTGGAGGTTGTATGCCTGTGAATTGACAATGTGCGACATATTGGTCCTTGGCCTCTTGTCGTTCTTCTGCAGAGTGTTTGGTTGACCAGCAACCTTCTTGTCCACAAACAAAGCACTTTTTGGTCCAATTGCGATTGGTGTGGCTAGGGGTGTAGTTGCTATGGCTTGAGGGCCTGTAGCTTCCACGGTTGTAGCCTTGTCCATATCCGCGATTGGGTCGTTGTCCTGAGTATCCGTATCTTCCTCGTACGCGGTTGTTATGGTATCGGCGATCGAGGTAGTACTGATTGTTCGGATTCGTTGGTCCAAATGATCCGTCAGGGCTTTGCAAATACTGAGGGTTTGTCTGTCGGGCAAGGTGGGTCTCAACGGAAGATCGTAGATCTGCAAAGAGGTCTCGATCTTTGCTGCAGGTTTGAAGAGGGCGTGTTCAAGTTCGGGTACACCACGGCATGCGATGATAAGCGTAGTACGCAGTGGAATGTTTCCTGCGTAGTCAGGGCCAAGGGCTCTCTGACAGAGTTGTAGCTTATCGAAGAGTAGTTGAAGGACTTCGTGGAGGGATTTGGAAGCATCTTGGGCACGAATCGAGTTGAAAGTGGTTGTGGTCCAATCTGTATAGTAATGGACATGGTTAACTTCCGTGTCAAAGTGTTGTTTGATGCTGTCGTATGCCTTCCTAAACGTGGTAGTCCATTCGATCTTGTCAATGTAGAACGTTTGTGCTCTTCCAGCGAGGATTCGGGGGAAAAGGGCGTGAAATTGTGACGGTTTCACTTGGATGTTGTAGCAGATACTCATGAAGATTCGGAGTTTCTCATCGAGGAGGTCGTACGGCTCTCCTGTGTAGTTCTGGTCCTTATCCCAGAGCTTCATGAACATATATTGGGTATCTGCGTCAACAGTGGCATTCGGGGTATCATCCGGGGGAAGTTTTGTATATGCGTCGAGATGCATATGCTCGGACGGAGGTTTAGGTGGGGGGTTTTGGGCGGATTGGACGAGTTCGGGGTGCTTGAAGTGGTGGGTTGTCGGATGGGCTGTACGAGAGTTCAAGTTAGGTGCATCTTGGGTCAGAGCGGAAGTCGTGGGAGGTGATGTTGTTATCGGTAGTGCCTCAGTGATGGGTTCCTGGGCAGGTGGCTTCGTTAAGGTCTTAATGGGCTGTTGTTCGTTAAGACTGTAACGGGTGTTGCTACCGGTGGCGATTGGGGTTCTCGGGAGAAGTTAGGGCATTTGATCCTGTTGCTCGTAACTTATAAGCGGTCGTCCCAATGTCAAAATCCATCTCCATGTACTCTCGTTCTGGCCATGCAGGTCGGTCCTCCACAGTTTGCAACATGATGAATTGGGGTGCAAAAGGGCCATTTTTCCGTCCTGTATAGATGCCACGTCTCCTTAGAAGTAATCTAAGGGCTCTCTTGTAGTCCATATGTACCCGGTTCCATATGTCTTGGTTCCAGCCTTCGAAGTGTTGTTGGAAGTGGTCAAGGATGTCGTCTCCTTCTAGGCGTTCGAATTGGGCATTGGACATGAACCTAGCGGCGTACGTCGTAACTGCGATCTCATCTTCCTCGTCAGGTTTGATGTCTTGTCCCCAAAGGGTAACATCAACTTTATCGAATACGGATGTCTGGATAGCTAGTCCTTGCATCCGTTCGCTCAATTGTTCGAGCTGAGCGCTCTCGTTCGGAGTCGTAGCTCGGTCGGTCGGGGTCATCGTTGATCAAGTGAATGAGACGATGGAGTCGTATCTGGCTGTCGAAATACGTCTTTGTCGGGTCTAGTAACAACTGTTGATCGATGCCTTGCAGCCGATAATAGAAGTCGCTAGGCGATGTGGTCGCACTACTAATCGATGCCTTGCAGCCGATTAATAGCTTGGTAGGTTCTCCCAGATGCCTGGCAGCCTGAGATAGCCACTTAGCACAAATAACCTTCCTCAACCGATGCCTTGCAGCCGATCTTGAAGGTTAGCGATTTGTCTCTTCTTCCTAGCTGTCTGTGATCGACCAAGTCGACCACTGATCAGTGTCGGTAGGTCTCTACACAGGCCTGCGTGCAAATCGCAATGGTATGTGTAATCGTTGATGTCTGTTCTAGAAAGGGGGAAGAGGGGGCAAAGGGCACGGAGCTAGCTATGTGTCCTCCGCTATCCTCAACTGCACACGTGAGAGCGCACGTGACCTATCTAGATGGGTACAATGGATTACTACAATTCCCACAGTTATAGAGCGTAGACTAACGTATACTTATACGGGCGTATGCGCGCGATATATAACCGAAACTACCTCTCTTCCTAACCGAATATACGTAGCGTAGCGAAAGCAATATATATTAAAGATATAGCCGAGGCGTCTATATAGGAGGGGAGATAATTATAAGAGCGCTACTAGGAGGTACGGGCTAATAAAGCACTCGGGTACGTAGTACTAATATATTAGTAGGGTATTAGTAGGGAATCGTGCCTACCCCGCTCGTATATTATAGACTACTCGCTACTCCGACTAAAGAGGAGAAATCCCTCTTCTCGTAAGCTTTAGTCTTACGACGAGGAGAATATAATATATATAGCGCAGTACCTCTAGCTATCTCTACTACCTAACTGATCGTACCGTGATACGTGTTCCCTTATACTTATATAACTTTAGCCGCTAATAATAAAGGGTAAAAAGGTAGCCTTTTAATCGCTTAAAAATAATAAATTTAAATTAACTAACTATTATTTAAAGGTAAATAAATTAGCGGTATAAATATAAGCTAGAAAGTATATAAAGGAGAATAGCGATATTAAAATATAAGTACTACTAGGTACCTAGCTTTCTATAATAGTTATACTAAGAGAGGGTACTATATATAGAAAAAAACCACTTACTAACGAGTATACTTATAGCGATTCCTTAATATAGGCATTAAGGTATATTAATTAAGCGGCTAACCTAAGGTCGATAGATAAAGTTAATTAAAATACCTTATAGATCTCCTTAATAAAATAAAGTAAATACTCTTACCTTAAAAGTAAGAATACGATAAGGCTATTAAGATATAAAGCTATAGTTTCGATACCTATACTTAATATAAAAGGGGCGTTAGCCTTAAGATTATATTCGGAAAGTCGATAGCGATTATTAGACCGTAGACCTAATCTAATAATATCTAGCTTTTTTCTTTTATTCTATACCCGCTAGCTAATCTTTTAGCTTTTTAATTTAAGGTAGGAATATCTTTATTTATCTAAAAAAAGCTAAGGGCATTAACTTAAATACTAGCGCGGTAAGATAAAGCTCCGATAGGCCTACGAGGATAATAGATCCTTTTATCTAGGCTTTCTAGTTTTCGAGCTACTATAATTACCTAAGTGCTATCTTTAGAGAGCCGAGGTAGTCTTCTAAAATATAATTATACTATTAAATCGAATATCGTAAGCGATATTATAGTAGTTATATCTACTAGCTTATCTGCGACTATATTTAACCTTTCTACGAATAGGTCCGCGTGACTTATTAATAGCGACTTATTAGTAGCAAGAAATCGCCTTAAATAATGAGAGTAGGCGCCGCGTATCCTAGCATACTCTTCACCGTTAGCCGTGACAAGTGACGCGACGGCGTTTTTGTCTTCAAAGATCCTGAAAAACGACGCCACCCTCGGCATTCCATGGGAACGTGTCTCTCCAGCTCCGTAAATATCTCTCCACGCTCTCGGGTCGGTGTAGCACAGCTCGTTCGGAACTACTCGCACAACTGGTCCGTACTTTTGGTGCAGTTGGTGGAGCCAAGTTATCCGTCTGCCGAAAAGAATAGCGTGAATTATTGGGAGCCTAGTAGCCGCCGAAGGATATTTCTCAGGGGGTGTAGATAGATGTTGTATATCAGAGACACGATGAACTTCTAGAAATCGGTCAACCTTGACCCCTGCTTTGGCGTGAACCGCAGCAACGGACGGTGAAGATGATGACGAAAATCGAAATGGCGGCGGTAGATGCCAACTCTGAAGCTCCCAGCCCAAGGTCCATGGCTAGCAATTTCTTGTTTGGTTGCGAAAGTCACTTGGACGTTTTCAAATTCAGCAAAGCCTTGATGAAAGATGTGTTTCGCCGTGAGCGGTCGGATCAGACAGACATATCTTATAGTGGAAACTCTGCCTCAAATAATCTCTCTTCAAGAGTAACCTGTCCACCACTGACGCAGAGACACGTGTCAGGCTGCCAACTCCGAAGACAGGGGCCGGTATGGTACAATCCCGTCAACTATCATCTATTTCCGACAACACCGCGTCGGCTTGTGTCACACTGCCAATATTACCCTCAGCTATCCACTCATAAGTGAAGGTGTCTGAAGTGTGTATGGTAGCCCTGGCCAGTCGGACCGCTGCAGCAACAATGGGACTTGGGTCTTGAGCGACAATGGAGCCTGACCCTTTCGGAAGATAGAATATATCTTTTGAAGCAGCTGCCGTTCAATCACTTGGTCTGGGGCAAGATGGGATGCCCCAGAAGCGCGATGAGGCGATTGTACATGGGATACGAGGCAATATCGACTGATGCAGTGATTCACGCACTAGTAAAGAGTTGGGGATCAGAAGAGACCTAGAACTACGTACTTAGTATAGCAGTGCCATCGACTTGCGGCAGTGTATTCATATTCTGTTTGAGGCTTTTGAAACCAGGGTTAAATGCATTTAAACTCTTAAAAAGGGTGTCATAGAGTGCAAAGGCCGGTTAGCAGCATGTTCGTGTATACACGCGTGGAGTTACAATCAAGGGTGCTACTGAGATCGACGATGAGTTGAGAGCATTTTATCAAGTAATTTTGAAGGATATGATTTGATATTCCGAGTCAGTAGTATGGAGTTATAGATCAACTTGTGGAGTACTTCAGTGTTTACTCCATGGTTAGCACAACCCGAAAGCGGGCTTTCGATTGGTTTAAATGCTCGGCGGCTTCCTGGATTTTGTCCAGCGGGAAAGTTTCCACCAGGCAGCGAATGTTGTGAAGGCGAGCGAATTCGATTGTGTCCTCGCAATCCTGGGCGTGACCTGCATGCCAGCCTTGCACCGACGTCGAAGAGTGTACAAGGTGAGCCGAGTTAATGGTGATGTCTCCGACGGCTATAATAAAGTGAGCTTTTGGTCGTGCGAAAAGAACTAAGCGTTGTTGCTTAGGTTGACACTTACGCGCCAAGACCAAGAGTTTGCCCAGCCATGTCAGGCAGGCCGTATACTGCCCCATCAGTTCGGGGTTCGGAGCCGTTAGCACGACCAACTTGGCTCCGCCGAGATTATTGATCTCCTCTGTTACGTCACTCTTGCTCGAGTTGATATAGTGGTGTGCCCCAAGCTCCATGGCAAACTCCTTTTTCGAGTCGCTGGTGGAGACGGCGATTACCCGGAAACCCATCTTACGAGCATACTGAATCCCAAGATGACCCAGTCCCCCTATGCCCTGGATGACAACTGTCTCTCCAGGCGTGATATTTTGGTGGCGTATCGAGTTGAAGACGGTCAGGCCGGCGCAGAGAAGGGATGCGGCCTCAATAGGGTCGACATCTTTTGGCAACTTGACGGCAGCCTCGCTCCGAAGATTGCAGTATTCGGCGACTCAACTGTGGTGTCAGTTCACCTGGCATGCTGTGACACGCTGGCGGGGGGTGGGGTGCCAAAGACACTTACAGCCGCCCGCCCTCGATACGCCATTGATGAGCTGGTTTTTGCAGCCTTGGAAGAAGCCCTGGTTGCATTGTCTGCAAATTCCGTCGTGGCCACCGTGCCATGTGCCGCCTACTCGGTCGCCGACGGACCACTTTGTCACTCCGGGGCCGACCTCGACAACGTCGCCGATGAATTCGTGGCCGGGAACGGTGGGCCATTTGACCCTAGTTGAGCGGAGGCTTAGCCACGTTGCCTCAAAGATCTCTTGACGTGCACCATCAAGGTCACAGCATGAAACCAGCCCTTGCAAGAAGCCCGTGCGGATTTGACGAACATTGGACCCAGGGACCCCTTCTGAGTGCTGGAGTCTGTGAGACAGAAACCGCAGCATATGACCTTGACCAATATTTCTCCTTGGCTTGGATGCTCAAGAGGGACACTGCGGAGGGCCCAGCCGTCTCCTGGCTTCTCGAGGACGCAGGCTCGGTACGAGTCAGGGAGCGACATGGCTATGGCACGAGTCAATGAAGAGTGAAAATGGCGATAATCGAAACGATGTGCCAGCCGGGAGGGGGCGAGAGGGATGGGTGAGGAGAGGGATGAGAGGATGAAGGGATGAAGAAGGGTATTTTACCGTCGTCACGTTTTACGACATGGCTTATGCCATGTTACTTATTGATGTGCTTCTACTTCATATTGGGCGTCCCGGAGGTCTATGTCACCTGAAGTAGGCTTCAGCCGCTCCTTGCACCTTTTCCACCCAGAGAGAAACAGATGGTAGGACCTGAAACTATTTTAGTAAATATTACAGAAAACGCAGCAGCGCGACTACGTTGGGATCATTCCGTAATATGTTTGTATAGCTTCGATATCATTGCCCAAGCCGTAATTTGAGTCGAGCACATGGAGACACGGGGAGCCCCTCCGTACTCGACGAATACAAAGGCGTATTACACACAGTACGAAGTGCGTCGGTGCCACATAAGCGCAACGGCATCATCCTCGCTGTCCAACCAACTATACAGGAAGCTGGGATCCCATCGAGAGGAGTAAGCGGGGCAATACGACGTAGCTGCGGGCTCGCTACGTGTGCTGACCCGAGGCTGCCGAGCTCCATCTTACGCGTACGTATCGCAAAGCGTTGCGCCTTTGTTTAGTTACATGTAATATATGTAGTTGATATCTGCGAATGATGCTTGGCAAGCCGAAGAATCGGAAACGGGGCGACTTAAATGCAGAATCACCTGAAATATTTGGGGCTTCTCTCAAGTGGCTTTAAGAGAATGGCCATGGAATGCTTTGCTTGTCCTCTCTTGATATACAGTGCATGTAACACTACATCTTAAAACATCCGAGATACTACCTGCCGTTAGGGACGCTCTGATGTAGTGGCTCGCCTCTACGATTACTCTGCGACATTTCATTGGCATAACCAAAGGCGAGTGCTTGGGAACTAAGAGGCGGGGATCAATTAGTATGCATAAACTTTAGTCGCAGCAGCTCTCTACATCTGTCACGCTCATTCTCTTGAAATATTCACTTCATCGCCTGAAATCTAGACCCCTATGTAATAAAGCACCTGCAGATTTAGCAGCTCCATGCTTGTGGAGACGACGGAGAGGATTACTTGTTCAAAACGTCCGTCGTTCCGCTGTCCTCCGACAGCCGCTCTATCGACCCGATGTAGCCCCCTGGGCGAGACAACTACGTCCCCATTGTTTTGACCGAACTCAAGCTTCTTGTGTGCTGGATAGGAGGCGTCTAGCATGTTGGAAGCTGTCCGTCGTCAGCGTGGATATGATGTCGGGTCGCATATTTGGTCTCTGGAAAGACTCCCTACGACTTGGATTATCCGATAAATCACGGAGCGCAAAGATATCTGTGTCGGGCGGGGGGCCCCCAAAAATAAACAGGTGGAAGGGAACCACTGAGGGGCACAGCTTGGTCCAGCTGAACCAAGCCGGCATTTGCAACTCTTGTGACGTCGACTGCCATGAAAGGTAACCGGGAGCCATGCCCCCTCTTTCTGCAAAGCCACCCTGGACGGCGCGTTTTTTCCATGCAAGATTCACGGACTGCAATCCCTTGTCCCGCTTTTGGCTGCATACAGCGTGTCAACCGATTTGTCAGATTGGATGATTCGCCAGCACATACGCCATGCGTGTGGCATGCATCGCCCCCGAGGAATACTCGCTGAGCTCGGCTTTAACAATCGGCAACTCGCTGCTGGATAGGATACATCGAGAGACAATCGACATGCTCCCACTCTGAGCAGGGCTGCAGCACTTTGTTCGCGGGTACTTCTATATCTTTCTCGGTCGCCAAAATTGAGCCGCTGTCGCTGCGGACAGCACGAAGTAATTACACGTTATCTATATCACGCAGATCAATATCAGTGTTGACTAGATGTAGTCGGGGCAGGCATACCCTGGTATCCCGACATCTGGTTATGACTATGAAGTACACCGTCGATCTGGATGACAAAGGCGTGAATCTCTATGACGAAAGTTGATAATAAGTTACCTTTTAATGAAGAACCTGAATCCCTCGCTACTGTGAAAATGTTTTGGCTCGGACTCATTCCCGCGGCGGCCATCAAAATGCTATAATACGACAATCACTAGATACATGTGGCTTTAGAGTTTGATCCTCACTGCTTGTGGAGAAAGATTCGATAGTTCAAGGCCGTCGAGCCCGCACACCTCCCTTCTCGAGATCGGCAGCGAAAGGTGAGTCCCTGGTGCAAACACGGCGTGAATAACGAGCACCGATAACGTTGAGACAAATGGGCAACGTGTTGGTTCGGACAATGCCGCGCTCAGAAGTTGCAGAAAGCTCCCTAGCGAATTCGAGCCGGCCTTTGCGACATGATTGCAGATTTGAGCCCCATGTTGCGCAGTAATTGCAGATACTGCTTGACCAGCCGAAATTGGCTCTGGTTTGTTGTCAATGTGCTTGATGCTGTCTCCCCAGCGTGCCAAGCAGGTAGCAAGTATGAGAGCAGCCAGTCCAGTTCCGACGGTTACTCCGGGAATTTTGACTTGGAGCTTCAATGCTCCTTGCGACTTCACCAAGAAGACTCACCGGCATCCCGGCAAGGCTCTTCGTGTGGCCGTTATTAGCATGACCCGTGTATGGGGTCACCGCCTGCTCCGTGATTGCGAGATGAGTAGCAGCAAAAGCAACAATACTTCAACGTGAAGTCGTCGCAGGTAGCAATTCAGTAATAGAATCAAATAGCTTCGGGGATGAAACAGACTTCCCCGGAATATGCAATGTCTACACAGAGGACGGCTTTTTGTGGCAGATGATTTGTTAGGTCAAACTACGAATACAATAAGCCACAACCATTACTGCAATGCGACGGTCTCACCGTCTTACGGTACGAGGCACCAAGGACGCCCGCTTTTGTCCGAAGCTGCGTATACTTCGTACAGGACGGCAAGATAAGCCGTGCCACCCGAGCTGTAACACACACACCACCGTCTTCATCCGGAGCTCTATATGACTGGGGGCTATCAGCTGAAACCAAGCATGACTGGCGCTATTCCATACATGTATATCCCATGAAATATTCCCTCGCATACCCGTGAGAAATCGTGACATGTTAATTGCTCGTCTTCAACACAGACATTAGTCGTTTTGATATGCATTACACCATGTCAATATCTCCTCAGCCATCTAGTCTAGAAATGGTATGCGATGTAGACTGATCCAGCAATGCCGTACATAGACCGGCGTTTCATGTTACTACCTACAGTACACTGCACGTCAAAGTCGGTCTACTCTCGAGTGGCGGAAGTAACAATTGCTCCGCCAACACCCTCGGGTAACAAGCCACGTCGCTTACATGTAGCCAGACTATTTATACTGTCATGGTTCGTACAGCTCGCAGCCCATCCCTTCGCTCTCGTCATCTCTCCCTTCTTCGAACCTGCACACGGCCACCAAGCACGGATTAGCAGTCTCATCGGCGCGTAGATTCATGATTTTGGCCAGTGTCGCGACTGACACCACTCCACTGCTTGGATTCACTGATGCTCTGAACATTTATATCTATCGAAGCGTCCACAAGCACCAGGCCTTGCTACATCTTGTTCAGCTAGAAGCGTTTTGACGGAATTTGGCGAACATATTGCCTCGCCTTAATTTGGGAACGCTACCGGGACCTCGCCAACATGTGCGCATATCCCGCTAATTCCCAACCGCGGAACGACAAACTCCTCGTCGACATCATCGATGGTGTGGCACAGACGAATCCCGATGCTACATGGCTTGAATATCCGGCGTCGGCGAGCGACTATGCAGCTGGTTTCAACGCCATCACATATCGCGCGTTGGCAAACGCCACAAATGGCTTGGCCTGGCATCTTCACCGAAACATCAGCCCTGGCACAGAGTTCCAAACCCTGGCATACATTGGCCCGAACGATGCGCGGTACGCGATAATTCTGTATGCTTGTATCAAAGCGGGTTTCAAGGTGAGTGCCATAAACTCCGCGGTTTTGCATGTCTCATCTACTGCCAACCAACGTACTCATTGGCTAGGTCTTGTTCTCGTCACCAAAAAATAGTATATTCGCGCATGTCAACTTGTTTTCTGCTCTCAATTGCTCGACATTGCTCACCACCGATCCCATGCCAACCGCGGTTGAGTCCCTTCTATCCCACCATTCTATGAAAGTTGTGTGCCTTCCAAGTTTGGAACAGCTGCTGGAGAAATTTTCCGAGCCCTTTCCATACAGCAAAACCTTTGCTGAAGCGCGGAATGATCCCTTTGTGGTATTGCATACGTCCGGCTCTACTGGTCAGTTTCATCCAACACTTCGATCTGGAAGGTGCGGCTCATAGCATTCTCTCAGGTAACCCCAAGCCAATCGTCTATACCCATGAGTTTGTTACCCGCAACGTCAATGCTTTTCAACTCCCTACCCCCCCGGGGTTCATATCTGTAAGCCAGCTGGTGGCTGGCAGCCGTTTTGTTTGCTTGCTGCCTCTGTTCCACGTAAGTGAGGGCAAATTCCCGAGTCGGTGTCATTCACTCAGGTGTAGAACGCTCACATTCGCAGATGGCTGGTTTTTTCTTCACATCTGTCGTCTCGCATTTTGATCGAAGCACCGTCATCCTCCCTTCACCTAGTGCTCCTCCAACAAGCGATACGCTGCATGGCGTGCTCCAGCATACTACGGCAGCTTGGGCTGCTGTGTCACCATCTACTGTGGAAAGCCTTGGGCGGAATCCGGACTTGCTGCAGGTCATCTCAGAAAAACTCTCGAGAATTGCGTTTCTTGGCGGCAATCCCTCCCTGGCCATGGGCAACGAGGTTTCACGGAAGCTCAATATTTGCAACTTGATTGGTTCCAGTGAATGTGGAGGATTTGCACAGCTGATCCCGGAGGACCACAACGGTCAGATGGAGCTTTGGTCATACGTTCACATTCACCCACAGACTGGCCCTGTCTATCAAGAGTATTCCCCTGGCCTGTGTGAGCTTACAATCAGACGTGATCTTCCATGCGAGCCATATCAGCCGCTGTTCACGCAGCTTCACTCGACTGAGGAATTTCGAACAAGCGACCTGTTTACTGCTCATCCCACGATCCCCGGCTTTTGGCGGCACACCGGAAGGGTTGATGACATTATTGTCTTCCTGAATGGGGAAAAGACAAATCCAATTAGTTTCGAATCCCACGTGGTTGGCCATCCAGACGTCGCGGGAGCCCTAGTATTTGGCACCAACCGCATGGAAGCTGGCCTTTTGATAGAGTTCACCGCGACCGAAAAGAACAAATTGCTGCTGCAGAAGAAAAGAGAGGCAATTGGCATGATTTGGCCTAGAATAGAAGAGGCCAATTCGCTTGCCCCGGCTCACGCGCGCATCGATGACACACTTATCTGCATTGTCTCACCGGAGAGGCCGATGATAAGAACTCCCAAAGGCACCATCAAACGTCAAGAAACCCTTCGTTCGTACGACCAAGAGATAGACGAGGTTTATAAAGAAGCTGAGGCAGCAAACAGTCTGCCTACGGACCTAGTCATCGACACGAGTGACATTCACCAGCTCCAGGAGGTGATACGCTTTGTCTTCAAAAACGTCATGAAGCGCGATGCTCCCTCGGATGAGATAGACTTTTTCAGCATCGGGATGGACTCATTGCAAGTCATTCGCATGGTTCGACAGCTTCGCGGCGCCATCCGGAATCCGGGAATCGAGCCTGCGGTGGTGTACAGAAATGCGTCTGTTCACGCATTGGCCGAGGAACTCATTGACAACGCTGTCACGGCCAAGGAGGACAGCGTCGCTAAGAACTTGAAGAAAAGACAAGAAATACTAAAGCAAGTTCTGCAAGAGTACAAGGATAAGATTGGAGAGTTGGCTTCGACAGCAACGAAAGATCCCGTTCGCAGCTTGTCAAGCACGCGTCAGCATAGCACAATTCTCCTCACTGGTACGACCGGCTATGTTGGATCCTACGTCCTAGATCAGCTCTTGAAACACCCTTCGTCACCGAAGATTCTCTGCATGAATCGATCCACGAATGCATTGGAAGTCCAGATAGCTCGCAATAAGCGGCGAAACAAGGCCTTAACCACAAAATTCCCCCCTGAGCGTGTCAAGTTTCTGGCTGCTGACTTTGCGGCGGACAAAACCTGGGGTCTTCCGGACGAAACCTTTCGAGAGCTGCTGCGAGAGGTAACGCTGGTCATTCATAATGCTTGGCCGGTTGACTTCAATATTCCTCTGTCGGCGTTCAGGCCTTCGCTTGATGGTGTTGTCAACATTGTGCAGTTTTGCAAAGCGGCGAAGCATTCGCCACCACTAGTCTTTGTGTCGTCTATCAGCGCTGTCATGGACCTGCAGTCCCAGGTCATACCCGAAACACTCATTGAGAGCCTGGAGGTCCCAGCATCGTGCTATGGAGAGAGCAAGTTTGTCGCCGAACATGTCTTATTCGAAGCATCTCAGCGACTTGGTGTCAAAGCAGGCGTGGTTCGTGTTGGTCAGGTGTCGGGTGCAGCCTATTCCCCAGGATTGTGGAATAGTCGCGACTGGCTTCCGCGCTTGGTACTCAGCTCAAGATACCTGGAGGCTATTCCGAACCATCTTGGAGCTAACCACAATATCGATTGGATCCCGATAGACATATTGGCCAATGTCGTGATAGATATCTCGATGAACGTCGGTCGGAGCTCACAGTTCAAGTTTGAAGTTTATCACGCAATAAATCCCCATACCACTACCTGGACGAAGCTCCTGCCTAGTGTCGTCCACGCGCTTGAGGGGCACAGCTCAGCATCAAGCAGTTCGAAGATTACTCCTGTCACCCCTGCTGAGTGGGTTGAGCGATTGCGCAACAGCGCCGCCCGCTTGGAAGACCATGATGAGGATATCGACAGTCACAACCCAGCGCTGAAGCTTCTCGACTTTTTCGAGCAAGCTCTTGAGAACGGGGTAGTCGATAGGCCAGTCTGGAGCACAGAAGCCGCTGTCAAGATGAGTGACTCTCTGCGCGGGACGGAGTGCATACAGCCAGAATGGATGGAGCGGTGGGCCAGGAGCTTGTTATAAGGGATTAGAATACATTATGGCTTTTTTCAGCATTGCTTCTTCTATTCTTGACCAAATTTGACGGTTTTCGATTAATGAGCGCTGAACATGGGACCTGCCTATGGAGTAGGCGATTTGCAAGGGCTGCAAATCGCGACCTAGGCACTTAGCACCACGTTCTGAACTTGAACTTCTCGGCTTCCTCTGTGTAAAAGCTCAGGGGGTCGCCCCTTTCCGTACATTTTTGGACTGCACATCTATCTTCCGGTAAGCTTCGCTGTACACTTTCTTACCGCTCGCATTGAGGGAACAGTTCGAGACAGCAAAGAGGGCGAGGCGCCGCCAGGGGCCATACCATGACATTGGGAGCCTCACAGCATGACTGGCAAAAGAGCTGAAACTGACGAGAAGCACATTCATGCCTTAACTACATAACACTGCGAAGGGCCAGCTAATGGGTTCAAATCTAGCGTTCGCAGGTCAGTGAATGAGAAACCGCGCCATTAAGATCCAGCGTCAGCCGTATTCCTCCCCGGTCATCATCAGCGAATAAACAGCACGATGAGCCCATCTTGACCAAAGCTCCTTGCCACAAAGCCTGCGCTCATCATTGTACCGGCCATCCACCATCAGCACGTCGTCAACCACTATGAGAACGAGTTGCCCTCATGAATCTACCTGCACTGGTAGTGCAAAGACTCAATCGAAGGTTATATTTGCAAACCTGCTCATCTCATCCACGCCTGTTGCATTGAAACCGAGTTCTGTTATGAGTCCTCGCAATTTTGGCATAATGTGACGTCTTTGTGGTGGCCAGATTGTTCCAAATATATCCTATAAACAAGTCAGAACACAACTCGACGTTCAACGGTGGAGGTGCTTTTTCCGAACTCACCGCAGGCGTGTCGAGGACGACGCTCCCCACATTTTGGAGAAGGTCGGGATCTGCGAGAAGTGATGCTATTCCAAAAGTCAAGATGGCGATGCCGTTATCGAGCAGGGGAATTGCCCTCCATCCCAGGTGTGTAGGAAGTCTCTCCTCTTCGAAGATGCATCTAACCCATTCATATTTTGGGAAACCAGCGGCCATGCCGAGCAATGTGCCAGTTTCCATGAGGCTGAATCCCGCCGCCCTTGGTCCCCACACTGTGCGTGGATTACGCCTCCTCGCATCCCGAATTCGCGCTGACTTGGCCCTACCCAGACTGATAGGTGAGAGAATAGTATGTTTCCTTAACTCGGCGCGAGCAACGGCCCAAACACGGGGGTTGAAATTGTTGTTGTCGCCTATTACGTAGTCCTCTCTTGAGTAACTACAGTCATGCTCAATCAAGAGATTGTGCTTTGAGAGATCCTCTAGATCCAACTGGAGGGTAAGCGGATTATGCGAGGCCACCAATGCTGGGCCCCAGATGAAAATTGTAGCCACTGGATCGAGACCGAAGCCGAGGAAGGTTCCCAGTAGCATCTTAATAAGACCAATGTCTCTGCCATCACGGGGTAGGAAACCGTGATTGGCTAGCGCATTAAGGGCCGGGCAAGGGCCGCGAGCTTCAGGGATCAGTTAGTAAAACTTTCGCAAGATTAAGCTTAAATAGAAGGTATCCTACAGTCACTTGGACGCGCAGCCCTGAACTCGAAAAACCGCCTATCGAAAGGGTTGAAGGTCGGTTTCTTCTGCTCAGATGCATATGCACTGTTCAACAATGCGGACAGAACGACGAATAGAGACAGAATTTGAGCTCTCATTTTTTGAGATTGCAGCGGAAGCTTGATCCTGTTTATAAAGTAGACGCAGGACGGGCTCGAGTTAGAACATCAGTAGGAGGCGGACGCAATGCAATGGATTATATATCACTGGTTCAGGAATGATACATTTATAAGGCCACTCCGTAGAGAGATGCACTGCCGAAAAGTAAAGACAGTTTTTGGTTACAAGGGCACGGCAGTGATGCCAAAAGCGTAAGTACATTTCAGCTAAGCAGTCGGCGACCATGCCACGTGGAAGTCAGCTTGGGGGTAATTCATTCTACCTTTTGCTGAGCTCTTAGTATTGCGTTCAGGAACGAGGTGTTTCTCCGCTTTTCTCCTGTCTCCTCCCAGTCGGCGATCTCTACTTTGGGCACTAACATTGGGTTAATAGACATATGCTCGTGCCGAAATGAGGGAAGACCTGCCGTTCCGGTTCATTCACCACGACGAAGTTTTCACAGGTCCAGAGCTCAGTTGGATACCAACAAAGGGACAGCTCCTGAGCAGACTGCTCGGCATCATCTTTTTCTTCCTTACGCAGCACGGGCAGTCATTCCATTATGCAAGTAGAAAGGTATCGTAGAGTGAAAAAAATCTCAAGCGGTATAGAGAACGAGTCTTGTGTATATTTCGTTGATTGATCTAATTTCTTCACTTGGACCTATCAACGATCTTCTACTGATATCACTTTCTTCTGTAGGTAGTTTTGATACTCTGGGCGACAAACTACACTCGGGAAGAATATCGCGGAGCTAAGTGCGCCGGACATTGACACCGAATGAGACAAGCGCATGAGCACAAAAGAATTAGATCCTGGAATTCCTGCCTGCCTCCCCCGCTCTTTGGCTTTCAGAGAGCTGCAAGAAAAAAGAGAGTAATGACGACCGAGACAGGTAGGTGGGTTGGTGCCTACGCTCATCTGCCATCCACACGAATGTGTAAGGGATTATATCTCTGATGAACAATTCAGCAAACCATCACGTAGGTCAACACAGTGCATCTCTAGCCATCTCGTGGAGTTTATCTACCGAGTTGACTCATTGTCTTCCTCCTTTTTCGAAGGCTCTAGTTCGCAGCCCTTGGTTTTCATCATCGGACCCTTAAGTCCTGGCTGAGACAATGGCTGACGGTAGACCCTATTTTTCCGCGCCCCGGGCGCATAGCGACTTCACGGTTTCGTAGTAGTCCCGACAACATAGATGTATCACTTGTAAAGCCGTTAAACGTGGGGTTGTTAGGCAATGATGTTGAGTGAGGCAATTGAACAAGCTCGTGACATACATGCCCCGGCTTATAGGAATACAACAATACAATCCCCGGTGAAGCTCGCTCCGTAATGTGGTTACGGCGCTCTCTGAATCATCAGATGGTTTCTCCCTCACGTCTTCGAGCTCAAAGTCAATATCACCCTCGTCATCGTGGGAGTTCCTGGGCAGTGGGAGGCGGCAGTGTCTATGCCTCACGGTTTCGCCTGGCTCTATCTGGGCAAGCAGGTATGCTGTGGTCTGGCGTCTTGTCGTCTTCTTGGCCGGGCACGGGGCGATACAACCCTTGATACAGAGGGTTGTGTGTAAACCGTGACGTCACGAGATGCCGTAGGCTGTGAGAGACTGCGGCGGCCGTATGACTGCCCCTTTGAAGCTTCTGCAAGTTTCCTGGAATTACTTCTCTGTAGGTTGGCGAACGAATGCATTCCAATCTTTGACAAGTACCCTGGATTCGGAGGTTTGCATGACCCTGCCGTATGCATTTCCAAGGCCGGGCGGGAAGTGTCTCTTTGTCTCAGCAAAGCACGGTTCTGATTTGAATGTGAAATTGGATGGGAAAGTCGGTTCGCGTGACAATAGGCGCGAAATCAGCACCGAGAATCACCAGCCGCGCGGGCGTATGGTGCCGCCAACAGATCGGAGCAGCTTCTCCACCTGCCATTTGTGTGGAGCGACGGAGCTGGGGAGAATGCAAGAGCTCGCGGTAGCGTCTAGCGCTCCCCGGGAGCGCGGGGCCGAGAAACCGGGTCGAGGGAGCCAGCCCCACGTCCGGAGCGGCCAGACTCGGGCTGGAAACCCGCCTTGGGTGGCGAAACGGGTTGCTTTTGTCATGGTTAAGCCCGGGAGAGATGATGGGGTTTGGGTCGGCGACGATCGGCAAACTCCGGCTGGAGGCCCGGAGTGATGGAAGGAGCAGGCCCTGTAATCAACAAAACATGAAGAGTTCTGTTATTATTTATTGTCGGACGGAGTTCCTACGCCGAAGACTTCACTTCATTGGATACCTAAATGCTGCCTGACCACTTGGTACTTGCCGACCAGCCAGGCTTCCGGGTTTCCTCCGCCAGCTTGTTCCTTCTTCCTGTGAAGGTTTCCCAAAAAAAAGCACGTGTTGGCGCTCCACCGCGATGACCTCATCGGGCGTTTCGAGACAGTGCAGGCGCTGGCGAGTGCACTGTCTTGATGAGCGGCGCTGAACGGCCCCGCTGCAGGCCTGATCCTAGTGGACTCAAGCGGCACGCCATCTGCTGCGAGCACTCCTCCAGCATCCGCCGACGCAACGGCTGCCCAGGACACCTTGGACCTGCCATCTCCCTCCCTCTATCATAGCAGCATCTTAGCAACTTCCAAGCCATACTCGTCCATGCAGTGAGTTAATTTGTCTTCACCCCTGTCATTTGACAAGGCTTCGGTGGCTGAAGCTTGGTCCAGCAACTGATTAATTACTAGTATCCAAGCACTCGTTCAAGCACCTGGATGAAGAAGGGCCGATAGAGCTCCCACCGCCTGGCCTGCTCCTCGACTCTCTTCCTACAACCTCGACTCCCGTTCCCTCTCCCGCTTCACCAGCCCGACTCGCCCGCCGACGAGAGCTAGAACGCCCTCCCAACACACATCCGCAGTGCCGCGATTCGCTCTCACCAGCCACTTTTCTTTTGTCGGCCCTGCGTGCCTCCTCGTCTTGGTCGTTTCAATCCTTCTTCGCATCACCAAGGTCACCGACACAAGTATGGACCGAGGATCTGAGACCGGCTATCGATCCGTGGCCTACTTCGTCAACTGGTGAGTCCACTGCATTGCCCATTACTTCGAGTACTGCAAAGACTGACAACGCCACCTAAAGGGCCATCTATGCTCGGAAGCATCGTCCCCAGGACCTTCCCGTGGAGAATCTGACTCATATTCTCTACGCGTTCGCCAATGTCCGTAGCGACACCGGCGAGGTGTAAGTTTGCAGAAACCCGACTCGATGGATGACAGGGCTCATCAAGCTCTTTCTTGCAGGCATCTGACCGACACTTGGGCCGACACAGACATCCACTGGGAAGGCGACTCGTGGAACGACAATGGCACTAACCTCTACGGTTGTCTCAAGCAGCTCAACCTCCTCAAGAAGCGCAACCGCAACCTCAAGGTTCTCCTTTCCATTGGCGGATGGACTTACAGCTCCAATTTCAAGAACCCCGCCAGCACTTCGCAGGGCCGCGATACCTTTGCCAAAAGCAGCCTCGAGCTGCTCAAGAACCTTGGCTTCGACGGCATAGACATTGACTGGGAATACCCTCAGGACCCAGCGGAAGCAGATCATCTGGTGCAGCTTCTTGCTACCGTCCGCAGCGAGCTAGATGCTTATGCGTACAAGCTGGGAAACTGCCGACGCTTCGAGTTGACGGTGGCCTGCCCGGCTGGAGCCCAAAACTACCAAAAGATGAACATTAGTGCCATGGACAAGTTGCTGGACTTCTGGAACCTGATGGCCTACGACTATGCGGGCTCTTGGGATTCCCTTAGCGGCCACCAGGCAAACCTGTTCCCGAGCTGCGACAATCCCCCCTGTACACCCTTCTCGAGTGCTGCAGCCGTCGACTATTACGTCAGCCAAGGTGTCGTGCCCTCCAAGATTGTCCTCGGGATGCCTCTGTACGGGCGTGCATTTGAGAATACGGACGGTCCCGGCAAACCTTACCAGGGAGTCGGCGATGGTACGTGGGAGCGCGGTGTGTACGACTACAAGAAGCTGCCACTCGAGGGCGCCGATGTATGCTACGACGGCAATATCGGCGCGGCCTTTTGCTATGACCAACGCCAGCGGCGATTCGTGAGCTACGACACGCCACAGTTGACCACGGCCAAGGCCGACTTTGTCAAGCAGAGGGGCCTCGGCGGCGCCATGTGGTGGGAGAGCAGCGCCGACAAGGCCGGTTCGGAGAGCCTGATCGGGACGGCTGTCGCGAGTCTCGGAGGCTCGCAGATGCTGTTGAGGCAGGAGAATCACATCGAGTACCCGGACACCAAGTATGACAATCTCCGAAACGGCTTCCCGGGTCAGTGAACGGCCGTGCCGGAAGCAAGAGGCGGAGCGAGGCATGACAGACGATTGACGAGGACCCGCAAGTCAGTTTTCATGGTGGTCCTTGAGCGAGTGTTGGATGCGCAGGGTCGTGCAGATTGCAATTGTTTATTTCCAGGGTTTTGTTTGTTCTTGCACGTCTCGAGTTGCAAGTCCACCAATCACCCCATGAGCTTGTGGCTTGGGAAGGGCACGTGACCCTGGTTATCCGGCCTTGCGCTGTCCCTCTTTTGAGCCCCGCTGGTCCGTGCACGAAGCTCCCGAATTGTAGCCCGTTGGAAAAATTTCGTCGCCGCGAAAAAAATCATCACCGAAAATTCCTCGCGCTATTGAAGTGACCGACAATCGCTGCGAGAGCGCCCCATTGAGCCCGACGCAGCATCTAGCCTCGAACGCCCTGTGCGTCAATTCAATCAGTGCTTCGCTGCAATCACGGCTTTTGGCGGACATCATGTCGCACATCGACTACGCCCTCTTCGAGGCCCCGGTCGGCTATGCCGTCTTCAAGGTGGTGCATCAGGCCGATGCGCTGGGCCTCAAGTTGAAGGAGGTCCAGCAGGCCGCGACCGATCTTTCCAAGTTTGGCAAGATGGTCAAGCTCGTCAACTTCAGCCCCTTTGAGTATGTTGTCGAGTCCTCCCATCCAGAGTAAACTGACCAGCTGGGGACACGCAGCGGTCACGCCGACGCCATCCACAACATCAATGAGGTTTCCGAAGGCATCTGCACCGATTTCCTCAGATCTGTGCTCGAACTCAACCTCCCCAAGACGAGCGGCAAGAAGACCAAGGTGGTGTTGGGCGTCTCGGAAAAGAATCTCGCCGGCGCCATCAAGGCCGAGTTCCCAGGGCTCGAGTGCGAGACGGCCGACACGTCCGAAATCGTGGCCGATATCATCCGCGGCATCCGCCTACATGCCGAGAAGCTCATCGAGAACCTCATGCCCGGCGACATCGCGAAGGCGTGCCTGGGCATGGCCCATGCCTACTCGCGCGCCAAGGTCAAGTTCAGTGCCACTCGAAATGACAACCACATCATCCAGGCCAGCGCCATCATTGACACCCAGGACAAGAGCCTAAACCAGTTCCTCATGCGCGTCAGGGAATGGTACGGCTGGCACTTTCCCGAGCTCGTCAAGATTGTTTCCGACAACCTCACCTACGCCAAGCTCGTCCTGGTGATTGGCAACAAGAAGACATTGTCCGACGACAGACTCGATGAGATTGCCGCCATTGTTGGCGAAGATGGCAACAAGGCGCAGGCCATCATCGATGCGGCCAAGGTCTCCATGGGCACCGACGTCTCCGACGAGGATCTCCAGATCATGACGGGCCTCACCCGCAACGTCGTCAAGCAGGCTGAGAACCGGCGTATGACTTCCAGCTACCTCGACCAGAAGATGTCTTCCGTCGCCCCCAACCTGCAGGCCCTCATTGGCACCACTGTCGGCGCCCGCCTGATCTCGCAGGCCGGCTCGCTCAATAGTCTGGCCAAGAGCCCAGCCTCGACCCTGCAGATCATGGGTGCCGAGAAAGCCTTGTTCCGCGCCCTCAAGAGCAAGAGCAACACCCCTAAGTACGGCATCATCTACCACAGTAGCTTCATTGGCAGAGCTGCTCCTCGCGACAAGGGCCGCATCTCGAGATATGTGGCCAATAAGTGCAGCATGGCCTGCCGCATTGACAACTTCTCAACTGAGCCTTCAACGCGCTTTGGCGACGCATTCAAGGGTCAGGTCAACGATCGCCTAGAGTTTTACGCCACGGGCAAGAAGCCTGCGAAGAACGCGGACATTATTGTATGTATGCAACATCATGCTACGTCCGAAGACGACTAACTTTTTTATTTACAGAAGGGAGTCCTTGCTCCTATCAGGGATGCTGCTGGGCAAGATAGTGATGATGAGATGGCAGACGCCCCTGAGCCGTCTTCTGCCAAGAAGTCCAAGAAGGAGAAGAAGGAGAAGAAAGAAAAAAAGGAAAAATCAAAAGACAAGAAGCGCAAGCACGACGACGAGGCGATCGCTGACGACGCTGACGATTCCGAGAAGAAAAAGAAGAAGAAGAGAAAGTCGAAGTCGGCCAACGATGAATAGGGCGTCAGAGTGCGTCGCGATGCTTTCCCTTCGAACAAAACCCCTTGCATCGCGCAAGGGGGAGGACAAGGCCATTGAGAAACGGCAAGAAAGCCAATACCTCGCCATGCTGTGGCAGGGAACCGAGAATTGGCGTTTGAGGGAAGAGGCGGCCAAGCGGATGGAAGGCTCATGGTGAGCTGGCGCCGAAGCTACTGGGGAATTTTTGAGGACTCTGCGGGGGGTCGGTCGCCTGGTGCTGGATGAACAATACCTGTCGCAAAATTACCACCTTGCTCGGGTAGTGAGTGGAAGAGGAAGGGCATTTGCTTGAGTGGAGTTGGCAGGACCGGGCTGCGGCGTTACAAGGGCATTAGGCTTTCATTTTCTGACATTGAATGTGTGTATTTTTGGAGCCCGGGACACAATTGCGGCAGAGATCAAGGCTATGACACGGCTACATGAAGACGTGATATGTGATGGCGAGCAATGAGCCTTGTTCTTTGTGCTTCAAGAGTGTGCCTCTGGGCGGGGGAGGGAAGGGGGGTTTGGGGGAGGAACTGTCCCACAAGCAACCAGCTTGCATTCAGGCTCAATACCATGTAAAGTCAGTCCCAAGATATTCTTCATTGCCCCGACCGAGGTTGCTCGATTCTCCACCCGATGAGACAAAAGTAGCCTTTATATCCAGGCGCGGTCCATTGCTTAAACATTTTGAAGTTGGGTCACGGCTCGCGTCCGCCTGACAATGAGTGCGTGTGCTTCTGCTGTCATTCGTCAACCACAGATGTTAGAACTAAAGGCACAGTGTTGCTGGAGCACGAAAGCAAGCCTTAACATTGGCTCCACGTAGACAGTCCCCATCTTCAAGCATCGGTATCATCAAGAGTGATTCCAGTCAGGCGTTCGTCATCAGAAGCCACCGGTGCTCTGTGCCACACCAACGCCAATTTTGTTGCAATCCGTGGTTATCTAGCCGTGTAACTACAACCTGTTCCCAAGCACCAGTTCCATTTCATGCAGTTATTGCTTGTCAAAGACGTAGGTCAGGTGGCACCGGCCGCAGTACTGGCGGTCGGGCATGGAGGCCATGAAGACGCCGGCACCGCACTGCAAGAGAAGAACAAGTTAGCGATAGGGTTGCCAGGAGAAGAGGCCATGGTGACTCACAGTGTCGCTGGGGCACTCTCGTCGCAACCGCTCAATGTTGCCATCCTTGTCCACCTTGTAGTACTTGAGCACAGCCAGCTTGGTCTTCTTGCGCTTGTGCTTGATCTTCTTGGGAGTCGTGTAAACCTTCTTCTTGCGCTTCTTGCCGCCACCACGGAGGCGCAGCACGAGATGCAGGGTGCTCTCCTTCTGGATGTTGTAGTCGCTCAGGGTGCGGCCATCCTCAAGCTGCTTGCCGGCAAAGATGAGGCGCTGCTGGTCGGGGGGGATGCCCTCCTTGTCCTGGATCTTGGACTTGACGTTGTCGATGGTATCGGAAGACTCCACCTCAAGGGTGATCGTCTTCCCCGTGAGGGTCTTGACGAAAATCTGCATCTTGCCTAGCGTTGAGGGTTAGACACACTGAAGCGACGGGGCGAGAGATTTGATCGCATGGCCATGCTGCGATGGAGAGGCACCAAGAGTGTCCCCGGCGGCTGTCGCGAAGCGTGGCGTGGAAGAAGCCTCAAGAGGGGTGCCTCGACGACGACATTGCCATCGCGAGGGGACAAGACAGGAAACGCAACATCTTTCAGACGTACCTCGACAATAGACTATTGCCGTCCTAAGCAATCCTCAGATGTTGACGATGGAGGGAAAAAAGGCAGGTTGGGCGGAATGGCGGCGCGCTGAGAAATTTCCGGTCGGTGCAGGCGAAGGTGGGGTCACCTGACCTAGGGTTTTCACATAGTCTGCCCTGGGCGTTGCTGATTTTGCCGTGGTGTGGGGCCCTTTGGTTCAAATCGCGGACTGCCTCTCGCGACCGAACGCACCCTCTTCCTTCTCCCAGCAGCGTCGATTTCCAGTACGTCCCTCCGACCTCGTTGATTTTGTCTGTGTGCTGGATTGCGATTAACGATCAGCTACAGATAACCGCCAAGATGGTCAAGAAAAGAAAGAACAAGTACGATTCTTCTTCTCCAGTCACGCCGCCTTGGTCGAGGCATCTCTACAAGCTCCCGCCGCAGAGGGTCGCGGGCGCCGATGACCACTCATCTTGTCATGGATTGACAGCTAACAGTCTCCCACAGCGGCCGCAACAAGAAGGGCCGCGGCCACACCAAGCCCATCCGCTGCAGCAACTGCTCGCGATGCACGCCCAAGGACAAGGCCATCAAACGCTTCACCATCCGCAACATGGTTGAGTCTGCTGCCATTCGTACGTCTCCTCCCCAGACTGGCCTTGCGCCCCGACCTGCTCGGGCCGTCATCTCATGATCTGGTCCGGCGACCGACCTGGCAAGCACCGAGGCTAACAACATGTTTGTAGGCGACATCTCGGATGCCTCCGTCTTCGCGGAGTATACCGTCCCCAAGATGTACCTGAAGCTGCAGTACTGCGTCTCTTGCGCCATTCATGGCAAGATTGTCCGGTACGTTGTCCTCGCTAGGAGTGTGACAACTGCGCCCTCGCGGCGTATGTGCTTCGGATGAGCCTTGGGTCGTACTATGGATACACTCCTATGCTGCGATCTCTGATCGTCTCAAGTGCCCGGTACGTGGAAGACTATTTACTAACAACGTTTCGCAGTGTCCGATCGCGCGTGGGCCGCCGCAACCGCGCCCCCCCGCCGCGTGTCCGCTACAACAAGGACGGCAAGAAGATTGTGCCCACGACCCCTAAGGCCTAGACGGGCGGGACGATGGGGATGGAGTCCGGTTGCGTTTACGTCTTCATGCAAAACGGGATTAGATGAATCATGGGTATTGAGTATCTAGGTGGTTGCACATCAATCGGACTGCATCTTGTCGTTGATCTCGCGAATTACGGTTTTGTGTTGTAGAGTGCCATGATGTGAAGGCGTGAGGCCCTGCAGAGCAGTTATAAATCACCAACCCACTTCGAGCGATTGCAGCATCACAGTATTGCCCAAGCACACCAGGGGAAGTTCGAAAGGCACAGCAAATCCTTATAAATTGATGCTAACAAGTTTACTAGCTGCTCAGGGAAACACGAACTGCCAGGGCCTCGAGTCCGTAAAAGCTCGCAATTTTTACTTAATGTTCCCCATCGTGCACCATGTCATCAATTGGACAGGAAAGAAAGGAGCAATCTCAGTCCATTAGAATATCGGCCTTCACGAAACCCCTCTACCACATTCGTGAGGCCCTGCCGCAGGTTAGCATTCACCACGACCGCTACCGTTTACACCCTTGGACATTTACACGGCCAGCTAGCCGAGCAAGCCTGTCCCGTTGCGGGAGCACTCGTAGGGATCGATGCAGACGCCGCCTCCGCAGCAACTGCCCGTCAGGCACAGGAAGCCCGGATGGCCCTCGGTCGCGCAGTCGGCGTCGGTGGCGCAGCGGGCAACAAAGTTCTCGCACTCGGAGTACTCGAACGCGACCGAGGCGCCGGCGGCAGTGCGGCCGCAGACGCAGCCCGAGTTGGCGATGAGGGCGCTGTCAGGGTACGTGCAGGAGCCGTTGTTGCCCGCCGTTGTCTGGCCGTAGTTGGAGACGCTGCCGCGCGGGCAGCAGGCCACCTTGGCTTGGTCCTGGATAGTGAGGTTGAGGGCCCGCGGCGGGCGCGGCGGCGGGGCCGAGAGGACGGCGACGACCGGCAGGTACGCGGCGCCGGCGCGGAGGCTCACGTTGAGGGGCGGGTCCGGGGCGTGCAGGTCGCGGCACAGGTCGTTCTCGAAGCTGCCAAACGACGAGTACGTGTCGACGTACTGCTGGATGGCGCCGGCGACGCCGGGCGGCTTGGTGCGCGTCTTGGAAAAGGCCTGCTTGAGAATCTCCCACAACTGCTCATAGTACATGACGGCCAGGTCGGCCTCGCCGCGCTGCGTCTCGTTGAGGCCCTTGTCGTAGAGCTCGGTGCGCAGCGACGCCGGCGTGAGAAAGTCCTGGCTGGTGGCCTCGAGCGTGGTGATGACGGTCGACAGGTCGGGACACGAGCCGCCAAAGGGCGCCACGAAGAGGAACTTGACAATGTCGGTGGCGACGGCCCGCTGGCAGCGCATGGCGCCCGACTCGGACCCCGGAAAGGCGCACTCAAAGAGCCAGCGGCCCTTGGTGGCGTCGTCGTCGCTGACGCCGACGTCGCTGCACTCGCTGTCGCCAACCTTGAGCAGCGGGTACTTGCGGACGGCCCGGTCGACCGGGTTGCCGCACTGGTCGCGCAGATTCACAGCCTGCCGAAAGGCCGTGTTGTCCATGCGCTGCTCGAGCAGCAGCAGTCGGCCCTTGGAGCAAACCTGGCCCGAGAGCGTGGCCAGCTGGGCGTACAGGCCGTCGATGGTCATGGACACGTCGTAGCGGCAGCTGTTTGTCGAGAAGTGGACGCCGCGCCCGTCAAGCGTCATGGCGTTCCCGAGCGAGTCGACAATCGACAGCTGGCTGCGGCTCGAGACGTCAATATAGTGCGTGCCGCGGGCGGCGTCGCGCAGGGTCAGGAACAGCGGGTCGACGCCGTCCTCGTCAAAGTCGACCGACTCGATGTACGGGAAGGGGATCGTGTAGTTGTGCTCGCGCAGCTCGTCGTTGCGGAGCATTGCTCGCCGCGTACGCCCGTGCAGCGGATCCTGCGGCAGGTGGTAGCATGTCTCCTCGGCGACGGCGCCCGTCCGCGTCACCTGCGTGAAGTTGGCGGCGGGGAGCGTCTGCTGCGGCCCCGTGGCCGTCGAAGTCGTGTTGGCTGTGGGGGGCAGCGTCGTCGTGATCCCGGAGCTGGCGGTATTGCTCGTGTTTGCCGCCGCCGTCGTCGTGTTGGGAAGCAGCGTGGGGATGATCACAGAAAGAGATGCCGAGCCGGGTGACGAGGCCCCAGAAGATGATGGCGAAGAGCCGGGGCCGGAGGTCAGGTCTGCCTGAGATGTGGCCGACCTTGTTGACCCGGTCTCGGAAGACAAGGGGGGAGCTGTGGTGTTTGAACTACCAAGCGTGGCAGTGGTCGAAGACTCCGGGGTATCGTCGGACCTTGTCGTTTCCGGACCACCATCATTAGAGCCCGACGACTGGCCGGAAGACGAAGAATCGGAGGTGGCGGTACCAGGCGAGCCCGTGGAGGACAGCCCGAGCGAGGTGCTGGAAGCGTTCCAACGGCCACTTTCGGTGCTCGAAGAGAGGGAGTCCGTCTGCGCCGACCCAGAGGAGCTTGACTGCCGGGGCTCGGACGATGACCCCGTCTGCTCCGGTACGCCAGATGAGGGAGACGAGCCAGACCGTGGGTCAGTTGTGGTCGCTGTGCTGCTGTCGCGAGTGGTATCACCTATATTCGGGTCCTGGGAGCTACTTGTCGCGTCGCTTGTTCCCGTGCCGACCCTCGACGAGCCGCTAGACGAGGAAGGAGGGCTGGCACGACCGGGCGCACCGTCATCACTGCCGCTCGAGGTCGAGTCCGGGGTGGCGGTTGTGCCAAAAGTTGGATCGCTGCTGGTAATGGGTCGGGTGGTCGATTGCCCCCCTGACTCCGAATCGCCGCCACCCTCTGTCGTGGACGTCTGGGTATGCGTGACAGTCACCGTGACAAGCGAGCCGTCCTTTGTCACTGTCACTGATGTCACATCTGCCCCGTCATGGCTCGACAGGCCCGTAGGCGTGGCACTCTCCTTGCACGTGTCCGTCGTCATGACACATTTGCACTGCCGCCGAATCAGCTTCTCTGGAACGCACCCTCTCCCTTTCTCAAAGCTCCAGCAACGAAGCAGACATGGCAGCAACTTACATGCTGAGAGATGACGGTCGGGTCATACGTCGCATACTGCGTCGGCGTCGCCTCCTGATGGCAGCGGCCTTCGAGCACGCTGGAACAGAAGGACCGTCCGTCGCGGGACAGCGAGGTAAAGAGCGCGTCGCTGGTGCACAAGACATTGTCGCCATGGGTGGCAGGCAGGGCGAGCGCTCCGTAGAGCCCGACGAGGATGAAGGCAAGAGCACGCATTGTTGAAAGCGTCTTGGTAAAGAAAACCATCAATGAATGTATGAATGGTAGGTAAAGAGCGAAAAGGCAAAGAACGGGAGAAAGGCGAAGATAGAAACCAACTCCCAGAAACGTCTTTGGAAGAAGGGATCCCTTCACGCGAACGGTGGACTTGAGGCCCCTTTTATAATGAAGACCGTCTTGTCCGTAGAGGCTCTCTCGGCTCTGTAGCTGCCGTGTCGTGGGACGTCGCCTGTTAGAGTACAGGCCCAGTGGCGGCAGACAGCCGAGGCAGCCGCCTCGCTCGTCGAGGGCGTCATGGCTCGTTCGCCGGCTCGCTCGTTATCGACTCCCAATGCTGGCTTCCAGGCTCGAGAAGCAGGTCGAACGCCTCCCCGTGCTGCCTCGCCGAGTCTGTGATACCGTCGTCTCCCGCACCTGAGAAAAGGCAGAGCGTCGTCTGTCTCAACCCTTCAGTCCCCCTCCCATGGCGCGAGGCTCTTGGCGGACCAAGAGGCGACCAAGGCGCTCCATCCAAGCTGAACTCTCCAGGGCGCCTCACCTGCCTCCCATCCACATGCCGGGCCTTTCCCTGTCCACGCGTCACCCACTTCTTCTTTTCCATGTCTGTACCACCACGAGTCGACAATTCCCGAAGCTCGATAGCCTACGTAGGCCCACGGTGCTACCACAGCACGCACACAGGTCAGCCGACACATTAAGGGCTCCGCCACAACGCCCTTGTCTAGGTCGTAAACGTGCTTGACGCAGAGCTTGGCCGAGTCCAAAAGAGAGTCGGCGTTGTTCACCCCTGCACGGCCATGCCCCGCGACATGGGAGGATCAAGCGGGCGCCGGATCTGGGCGAGGAACTCACGAAACCGTTCCTGACAGCTTGCAGTAAAGACGACACGAAACGCACTGACGGACTCAGCCAGCGTGAATGGGGCTGAAGCGATCCGGCTGCGAGGCTGCTGCCTCTCGCGTGCCGAGGTCTCAGGGGCTTAAGCGTGCAAGTCGCTTGGGCCCGGGGGAGCACCAACATCGGTTTGCCAGCACCACGCAGCCGACCTGAAGCCTATTCCGTTCTCATTATGCATCCAAAGACTAGAAGATACATGCGAAATCTCGAATCGCCGCCACCCATCATGAATCATCAAACCATCTATCAACGGCCAAGACCAGTTCCGGCCAAAACTCATCCTGTACAGCTTTCCGCAACAAATCAGCCATGCTCGCTTCACCTCAGAGGTAGCGTCGTTGTCTGCCCGGGGCCAGCCGCCCGTTGCGTCGGCTGAGCCCGCGAGATATAGTCCTTATTCTCAATCGTCACGCTCTTCGTCATGTGGTTGACCTTGTACACGCCGACAAGGCGCGCGGCAAGCTCAAACATATTGTTGCGTAGTGAAATGACGACGAATTGGGCGTTCTTTGTCCGTTCCTTGATGTAGTTGGCAACGATGGAGACCTGGAAACAATCAGCATCAGCAGACACTCCAAGAGTCTGCCGAAGGCGGGAGGGGCTACTCACATTTCTGAAGTCCAGGGCAGCGTCGATCTCGTCCATGACGTACAGCGGCGTGGGCTTGTAGTGGTGCAACGCAAACACGAGGGCCAGGCTGCTCAACGTCTTCTCTCCGCCAGACAGGTTGCCTATGTTCTTCCAGCTCTTCTTCGGCGGCATGACGCTGAACAGGATGCCCTCGCTAAATGGGTCGAGGCTGTCCACCAGTTCCAGCTCGGCGTTGCCGCCCATGGTTATCATCTGGTACATTTCCTTGAGGCGGAGCGAAATGGCGCTGAAGCCTTCCATGAAGCCTTCCAGCCGCAACCGGCGGAGGTCATCGCATCGCTTCTTAGCCGTGTCGCGCTGGCCGATAGCCGACTGGAGGTCGGACGAACGGGCGGCGTACTCCTCGACTCTGCGGCGGTACTCGGCCAGGACGCCGAGATCCACGTTGACATTCTGCGTCTTTTCCTCCAGCGCCGCAATCTCCCCCTTGAGCGTCTCCTTGCTCATGCCAGCAAGTTCGTCTGGGGTGTACCTGGGCAGTTCGTGTGGCTGGCTGGTGGGTTGCGCCTTTGCTTCCTCTTGCTCCGACGGGGCGTCCGTCATATCAACATCCTCCTCGTTCGAGGCCTCGGTCATGTCAACGTCTTGCTCAGTTGTCGAGGCAGCTTCGTTACGCGTTGCCTCATCATCCTCGACGGGCGCGGGGGCCGAGGGGGTCGGTTCGCCAACGAGATCTTCCACGTTTTGCAGAGCAAGCTTGGAAAGCTTCTCATCCCAGTAGCGCAGTCTTTTCTGGTTTTCGGCAAGCGCCTTGTGGTTCTCCTCTAGCTTGTTGCGCATCTCAATCTCGACGGCACGACTCTCATTCAGCTCGGACGTCTTCTCATCCAGCTCCTTCTTGAATTTCACCAGTTCCTTTTTCGTCGCAGCGAGGCCCTCTTCGGCCTTCTCGGCGCGACTTTTGAGCTCCTCGGCCTTTTCGCCCTGGTTGTTGATGTCGTTCTCGAGCTTCTCTAGGTCTTTGACGGCCGCGTCCTTCTCCTTGGTTGCCTTGGCCACATCTTTGCCGAGCTTGACCTTTTGCTTCTCCGCCTTGGCTCGCTGGACTTCGGTGTTGGACATGTCTTCGCTGTGTGACGTGATTTCTTCTTTGAGTCGATCCACCTTGGCCCTCTGAGCTCGTAGCTTCTCGCCTCCCACCTCCATGATCTTGTCTTGCAACGCCTTGATCTCCTGCTCGACGCTGGCGGTCTCTCCGCGAAGTTGCTCAATCTCGGCATTGAGTTTGGTGATCTCCTTCTGCAGGGCTTGGATCCGGTGAGAGTCCGAGGCAGAAGGCTGGTGCTCCTTGCTCACCTCCCCAATGCGTCGCTGGACGTCGGCGAGGTTTCGCGTGGCGCTCTCAATCTCCAGGCCAATCTTTTGCATCTTTGTGTCGAGCTGCGGGATTTTCTCATTCAACTCTCTCAACCTTCCCTCGCACTCCCGCTGGTACTCCTGAAACTCCTTGAACTTGGTTTCCCACGCATCACGGTCATCCTCGAGCTTAGTCACTTGCTCCTTTGTTGTCTCCGCGACGAGTTTGGAAGACATGAGGCCCTTTCTCGCGGTCGAGCCACCACCAGACATGGTTCCGGACTTGTCGATTAGCTCGCCGTCGAGGGTGACGACACGCCATCTCTTGGCCCCGTACGCAATGCGGTTGGCCTGAGCCAAGTCATTGGCGACCAGAGTATCCTGCATCGCATGGTAGAATCCTGGGCGGAACTTGTCCTCCTTGGCCTTGACGAGGTCGAATAGACGGGGCGCGCCTTCGGGTGTCTGTATGGGCGACAAGTCTCGTGCTCTCAGCTTGTCCAAGCAGATAAAGTTGCCGCGGCCAAGGCTGTTCTTCCTCAGATACTCGATACATTGTTGGCCGGCCTCGACCGTCTCTGTGACAAAGTTGTCCAGCGACGGGCAGGCCGTCGAGACAGCGACGTCATACTTTTGGTCGATGGCACCGAGATTTCCCAGTCGGCCATGGAAGCCGTCGATACGGCCCGACTCTTTCATGCGCATGAGGGCTGTCAGGACATTTCCTCGCGTCTGTGTGCTTGCCAGACTCGAGCGGGCCTCGTCGGCCTTTTGGCGGGCGTTGGAGATTTTGGATCGCATTTTGGGTTCCTGCTCTGAGAGCACCTGCAGTTCCGAGGTCATCTTGTTGGCCTCTTGGAGTAGCTCCTCCTTTTCAGCCTGGCAAGCCTCGAATTCCTCGGCCTTGGCAGCCTTGGCCTCCTCGATAGAAGTCGTCTTGGCCTGCAACTCGTCGAGCGCCACTGCACCAGCATTGGCTTTTTCTTGGAGTATGTTCATTTCGCTCTCTGCCACAGCAATCGCGGATTGCTTCTGGTTGATCTTCTCCACCCAGGGCTCCAGCGACTTTTGCTTGGCTGCGATCTGATCAGAGAAGGCTTGCGTTTTCCCTTTGAGGCTGTCCCTGATACTGGCAAGCTCGGCCTCTTCCGACTTGACTTGTTCTTCCAGCGCTGCTACTTCCTGGGTCCGTGTCTCAATGTCCAGATTGCCTTGCTCGATCGTCTCCTCGGCGTCGGCTGTCGATTTCTCGGCATTGCTGATCGTCTTTTCCAGCTTCTTCTTCTTGTCTTCCAGGAACTTGCGCTTCTCGTCGAACTTGACACGTTCCTGCTCAAACTTGGCCATTTCCTTGACCAAGGCTTGCGTCTGCTTTTCCTGCGTCTCAAAGTCCTTGGTGCCCGTGGTGTACTGCTTCTCCAGGTCCTTGATTACCTGCTCGCCTCCATGGTGCTTCTCGAGCTCGTCGTCAAGCTGGGCTTGCATTTGGCTGATAGCCTCTTCGGTGACAGAGATGTTGTCATTGCACTCATGTAGAAACAGCTGGTAGAGAGCGGACTGTTTCATGGTCAACTCGTTTTCATCTCGGATGTAGGCGAGGGCCTTGTCCTTCTTGTCCTCGAGGCTGTGCTTTTCCTTCTCGACATGCTGAACGCGACCGCTCTTTTCCATGCAGACTTCATTCAGCGCTTCGACTTCGGTGGCAGACTCCTCAATGGCGGACTTGTACTTGGAAGTTCCAATAATGTCCTCCAGGTACTCGAGAAGGCCGTCTTCGTGCTCATTGGCGGCCTTTGCCTTCATCTGCGCAATCGACTCCACCTCGCCTTGGAGGATCAGGAAACGCTTGTGATCGAGATCGACGCCGCGGTCGCGGAGAAGCGTCGTCACCGTCGTGAAGTTGGATTCCTTGCCATTGATGTAGTATTTGCTCGAATTGTTGCGGAACGCCTTGCGCGAGATAATCATTGCGGAATCGGGGACAACCTCGTGGCCGCCACCAGGCTGAGACTGTTAGCCAAGACACCAACCGCGGCGATTCCGTCTACAACTTACCTGGTCCATGACCTCTTGGAAGTGGACCTCGACCTCGCAATACTCCAAGTTAGGATGTTGCGCCGAGTTGTGAATCAAGGCCGAGATCTTGCCCTGCCGCATCTTGCTGGCACGGAAGCCGAAAACGAATAACAAGGAATCGATGACATTGGACTTTCCCGAGCCATTGGGGCCGACGACGGATGAAAATGAAGCATGGAACGGGCCGACCTCCTGACGGCCAGCGTAACTCTTGAAGTTGTTGAGGATCAGATAGGTGAGTACGATGCGGGGCTTGGGCGCGGAAGTCTCCTCAACAGCAGGTGCGGTTACTGTTCGTTGCTTGAGCATGATATCCATGGGCTTGTCCATGACCGTATCGAATGGCTTGACAGGCTTGATGGAGGCGGCCTTATTATCATCTGCATTCTGGGTATTCACACTCGCAGCGGTGATGTCGGCCAAGGGAGAGGCTTGAAGCCGCGACGCTTCGGGAGACATGGACGGCTTCGGAGTCGGCGGCGCGAGGTCCGGGGTAGGGGCGATGGAGGCCCGTGGAGCCACGCTCTTGCGCTTGCGCGGCGAGGGATTCCTCGAGGCATCCTCAGGACTTGGCTGTGCAGCCGGCTCCGTATCAACGACTTGGCTAGACTCGCTCGGTTCCACAGCTGGGGCCGGCGCTGGAGTTGTGACCTTTCTGGGCCGTCCGCGACCACGGGGTGCGGCGGCGGGGGCAGCTGGTGGCGCAATCGATCTTCTCGCGCCCCGTGTTTGCCGCCGAGAACTCTTTGTGGTTTCCGGAGAGAAATCTTCCTGGCCGTCGCCAGCGGATGTTTTGGTTGCTGTAGTGTTTGCCGTCAGATCGTCTTCGGAGTCGGAGTCAACGATGGCCGTTCGTCTGGTCGCGGCGCGCCGCGACGGCCGCGCGGGAGTCGACGCTGACATGGCGCTTCAGTCCACTTTGATGGGATATGGTTTTCGAAGCGAAGAGATTATATCCGGTGATGAGTTGCTGTCGTCGCGTGGGCCGTGAATAGCGACAATGGTCGCTCGTCCAGGCGTTGGGTTTGCTGAAGAAAATGGGGGTCGCGATGCTGCCCCTCGCGACTGCGTCACAAATTGATTTGTTTAGAAATGTCCCGAAACGGTTGGCGGGCTGTACTGTAAACAACTTCGCCCCACCCTTGAGAGCCGACAGGCCCACGTGACACCGCGACTGGAGGGCGAGTGTGGCCTGTACAGATCGCCAGCCGGAAGAACCTGCGCTCCGTAGCGTACCTACTCTAGCACTTCGTGATGAGGTTATCGTCTCTTCGCAGCCCCGACATTGGACAACCCCTCGCTCGCCTCCACGCGCAGACGCCATGCTCGACTACTCCAAGTTCGATCGTGTGTTTCCCTCTGGCCGGCAAAGCCCTTACGATCGCGCGCTTCAGCATGAGATTGAGGATCATCGTAAGGGCCTGGAGGGCACCCTCTTCATCGACCGCGTCATGAAATCCCTGGGTATCTCCAAAGGTTTGCCCAGCTCAAGACACCCTAAACGGCTGGGTTCTGGAACTGACTTTGATACACAGGGAAACCTTACCCTCCCAAGTCTGATGGCGCACTGCGACAGCTGCACCAGCAAATATGCGAGGCGGCCATGTCAATCCACCACAAGCAGTCTCTCCTCTATTACATCCTGCTCGACTTCGACGCGATTGGCGGCCAAGGCTCCGCCTCGCAGGTATTCGCATCTGAATCCGGCATGCCCACAATCTACCAAACCTTTATGAAAGGCTTGTGGCACATGGACAGGCAGGATTACCAGGTCAGCCACCCCTCCCCTTTGATATACCTGTCACATAGGTCCTGACAACGACGCCTCTTCTTCCCAGCAAGCCCTGGAGTGCGTGGCGCATCCGTCGCTGAGCCCCGATTTTGCCGACGAAATCATCATTGCGCTGGTTCGCCATGCACCCAACGACGACTACAGCCTCGCTCTGTCATACTTTTACACGGTGCGGCCAATCCTCAAGTCGTCGTCGGCGCTCGAGCAGCTCTTTGATGCCATGATACGCACCAACGCCACCGAGGCCCTGCTTTTCTCCCGGTCGCACCCTCAACACACTCGCGAGCAACTGTTTCGACGATGGGTCTGGGGAACCCTAGAGGATGGCCGGGGCCAAGGCTCGCCGAGCGGGCGTGGCGAGCTGGCCTTTATGCCGCTTGATTCGACCGAGGAAAACTGGTTCGAAGAGTACCTGACTACAGGAGAAGGGAGAAATCTTAAAAGGGCAAAGGACACGCTGCTCATTCGCAAGATTGCCTGTGATCGCTTTGCCGATGTTGGCAAGCAAAGAGCCGGTGGGCAGTGGGCTGCCGTACTCGAGGGGATCAAGAATGGAACCCAGGGTCATGGTGACTGAATTGCACCGGATACAAGGGTTGTTTTCTGGAGCATTACGTGCATAGCATCGGCGTTGGGGAGGGACGAAGATTCCGATTCAGGTGGCATCAAGTAACCCTTGGGGTCATGAGGCGCCTCCGGGTCTCGTATTTCAATTCACCATTTTGAACAACTCGCCGGATGTTGTGTACTCAAAGCGACAATTCACCATCGCTTATTCCCAAAACCCTCCCTCATGGGTGTTCGCCTGCTTGCCGCGGAGCCCCCTTGGCTGTGGTCTGATGGTGAGCATCAGGAGGTGCAGATTACTACTGCCGTGAGAATTGGCCCTGGGCACCAATTGATGTGTTCAACCATTGTATTGAGGAGGAAAGAGCAGAACGGGAAAATTGGGATGGAAGCCAAAAGACGAGCCACCAGCCATGTGATCCCGCTGGGGAATGTCCCATGACGAGACATCCGCAACTCTTGCGAGGGCCGGTATTGTGCGATGCTCGCCATGGATATAGGGGCGCAAACTGGGGCAAGGCCCTGAGGGACATGCTATGAAAGGGGATACAGCCAGAAGCGGTCGAAAGACCCTCGCGGGCGTCTATTGTGAGCTGCTGGGGTCTCAGATCTATCATTACAGCACGATTCCACGTCCCTGGGAGGCCGGCTTTCTTGCAGGAGTTTCGGGTGGGTGGCAATTTGGCGCCACCGTTTTTCACGAGAAAGGATGGGCTTGTCACTTGATGTTCTAGAAACAAAGGGGTAGAAACAAAGGGGCATCAGGCTCCGGTCACGACAGATGTTGACCTTGACGCTACTACAGGGATGAGCCACGCCGCGCGCCATGGTCGAAGAAACTGGCCGAGCACTCCAAGGATGGTTAATGAACATGCTCAAAGCTGCTGCATAGTCCGTGCTTTGACGGAGATGCCATGGCCACGGGCTTCTCTGCCAAGGCTCCCGGGTCCATATCTGCAACTTGCAGCTCGAATCTGGAGGCCGCAAGTTCCTGTCCCTGGGCGCATCGACTTCATGTTCAAGTTGATGTCCCATTAGCTTGGCGTCTTGTCTCGTCTACTCCAACCATCCTTGTGCATTAACAAAGGGCCACGGGGTTGCATGGGATACCGACTCTGAATATATAACCTAATAAAGAACAGCCATGCAGCGAGGCCGGACAAATATGGGCCTGGGGATTTAAGACTGACGATAATTTACCGCTAGAATGTTCTATTTCTTCAAATTGGATTATGCGCAACCTACTTTAATCGCCGCCAACATCGAGTACCGCATGGAGTGTCGTGCTGATCGTGTCTACTAAGAATTCGTTGAGCGTGGCACAAGGCTCATATGCGTTGAGACTTTACAGTTTACACAATTTGGATGCCACACAGAGCAGCTTTATCTCTTTGTAGATGCCCGACTTCATGTACATACATACATACATACCTCGTGTCCCTAGATGAATGGATATGAATATACACGGTACCACTTGAGCGCGCTATAGGAAAGTCATCCGCATCACTTGTGACAGTGCTACTGCTCCTGATTGCGTCTCTCAAAGCTATGGGCACCGAATTCAAACTGAATATGAGAAGCTAGATCTGGTATGGCTATTGGTCACCCTCGCACCGTGCCCTGGAGTCGTTGCATTGCACGGGAGTCATTCAACGTGGAGCGGAATGGACACGGACAGGCCGGTACAGCATGCTGGTCTCAATATTGTAAACCTACAGTACAGCAAGACGATTCCTACTTGCACGAAGGTAATTAGTAGGTTTGCGGAACACCGGAACATGGGGCATTTGCTTGAAAGGAGTCCTGTTTTTGATCTCACGGGACTGGCATGGCAGTCCGTGACAGAAAAGGGGTAGGACAATCAAATGGTCTCCCGCCATGTTTCGGCCGAATACTTATGCATGGCATGATTGCTTGGTCCTCTCAAATCTCGCGACGGGTAAATTCGAGGTGGAGCGGGCGGCCGGGACGTGGGATGGAGAAATGAGCGCCCAGGCGGCGAGGCGAGTCAGAGCTCATCAAGACCACCGTCGGTTGATTTATTTTATTTATTTATTATATTCCGCCATTGACGATAGTCAGAGGCACTGCGTCAGACTCGCTAAGCCTAATCTAGAGCTGTCCAATACTCGGTTCCGAGCCCAAGGAATTCGTCCCGATCTAATCCCTGAATTTCTCTTACATCCTTCAATCCGTCTCTTGCTCACTTGACCTGTCCCTTCCAATTCTGGAGCCTGTCTGATGAGGTACAGACCACTCTCCTCCGCCGCATTTGACGAAGAGTCCACCTGCCTTTAGCCGTCCGGTGTAGCTAACCTACCAGCTGTGGGGCAACCACAGGTATAGGTAGAGGGTTTGTGCTGTTAAGACAGAGGATGTATGTTAGTAGGGCGACGGTCGTAACTTGGCGAGTTCCCGGCGATATACCGGGCACCCAGGATCTGTAGCCTTGTGTGCTCCTTTTCCACCGCACGCTGCACACTTAAAAACGTCCGAGGTGCAAGTCGACGCAGAATGGCCCGGTTGGGCGCACTGTCCACAGATCGGAGCTGGCGCCTTGCAGCGATAATGCAAGTGTCCGTAGAGGTGGCAACGGTAGCATCTCGCTGGTTGAAGTCCCTGAACAAATGGTCGCGTGTATGCACACTCGCCATTCGCCATCTCAACCGTTCGTTGTGCAAGCAACCTGTCCACCTCCTCTTTCTTATCCAGGTGTACCACCAGAGAGCGGTATTCCTTGTCGACAGACGCTGTCCCGAGCCATCGCATCTTGTGCACTTTCACCCCGTTCATCCGCTCAAACACGGCGCATCCGATATCATCCGTCGCAACCCCACGATGGGCTCTATCACCCAACTTCTCGAGGGCAGCGTTCGCGCGCCGACGAATAGTGCCGGCGTTGCCTTCCTTTATGTCGCTGTCTAGGACCCGACTCACGTCCAAGCCAATGCCAGGCAGTGGCCCTGGGACCGGAGAGGGTGGTGGCGAAAGTGGCAGGTGCTGTTGCTGTTGCTGATGAGGCGCACTTGGAGTGGCGGACTCCGGAGGGCTAGCGACGCGTGGGAAGAGCTCGTTTCGGATGAACTCTTCCAGAGACTCGACGCGTTTCTCCGCCCTTTCGGCCCGCTCCTCGACGCGTTTCAGGAGAGCTTCGATTCGCGCCAATGAATCCTCGTTGGCATTGGGGTCGGCATTCGTCGGTTTCGCTTTCGGGACGGCGGATTTCTTTCGTGATGGGCGCGGTTCAGGGTCGAATTGCAGCGTCGGTTTCAGAGGGCGACCGCGGGCGCTGGTCCTTGTCGCGTCGGCCGCGCTTGTCGAATTGGCCACGATGCTACAGGCCACATTGTCGTTCGTACCGTCTTCCTCGTCATCGAGCAACTCGAATTGGTTCGAGTTGCGCTTGGTGCTGTTCTTGCTCTTCCGCGGCATTGTTCTTTTTCCACTTACGGTATGTTGTCACCGTCGGTTGATAGCATCCCATATGGCGTCGATCCTTTTTTATGCAGATTTCGCTCCGAATCATGCCGGCAGAAAGATGATTCGCCCCACCGGGCAACAGGGGGGGCGGCCGAGGCGGGGAGGGGGCCCATCGGGCTTCCTTCACTGCTTCTAGAATATATATGTCAGTTTGAGATGGCGAGCAGACGATTCAGGGAGAATCGAATCTCGTCATGCCCTGTTATATCGGGACCTGAAGTCTCCTCATGCATCAACCTTACAACCTTCCCGACCAGAATGCTTTCTTCCCCAGATAGGGGTGTCTCCATGTTTCTTAGGACCAGAGACGACGAGACCTCATCATAAGACTAGGTACTCTGTACTGCTTTGCATCGTCAAGGCTGGCCCTCTTAATATCAAGCGGTCACGCGTTCCCTCCAGAGGGGGACCCATCGCCCACTTACACAGCAACTTTAGCCTGCTTAGACCTTGCCGATTGGCCGGCGAGTCAACATTGGCAAACAGAAAAATAGTGCCCACCTGGCCGAGCCAAGCCTGAGGGTCCCAGCACGATGCCTTTATCTGTGGAGTCACTTGGACGGCGGAAGCCGGGGGCATCGACGGTTGACGATGGGCGTTGCGCAGGGGTCCATACATCGTCAACAGAGCTCTCCTTGGTTGACGTTTGGAGTCTAACCAGTCTTTTCTTCCCCGGGCGGACGATCCCTCCTTTTAATTATGTACGCAGGTGTTCGAAAAGCACGTTCACTGGGCCCCCCCGCCATATACCAGAGAAGAGTCATCCACATGTAAGCGCCGCCACGCATCCCTCCCCTCGCGGCGCACGGCGTCTTGTTCCCCGATCGGTTCCCCGGACATGGAGGCGGGTGGCTGTTTTAATACCTGAGCTTCCCTCTCCGCAACCCTCGACGGCGCGCCGCGCTCAGTCTCTGCTCATCCCGATTACGACTTCGTCTCTCCTTCCCCCCTCGGCGCCATGACGCCGCTGCAGGGCCGCGACGGCCAGCTGTCGTCGTCGTCGCTGCTGGCCGGATTGAAGGCCTCGTCTTCCCCGTTGGCCGGAAACACCCCCGGTAACGAGGCCCGCCGCCCGTCCGACAAGGGCTCGGCGGCTATCGAGGCCTCGATGATCGAGATGGGTGGCCACGGCGCTCATCAGCGAGACCAGGCCCGAGGCGACTCGTTTGTCGGGTTACACGCCTCGGGGCAGCTTGTTAGCCTCTACTCGAACCCGTGGACTCAGATATTGCTCATCAGCTTCATCTGCTTCTGTCTCCCCGGGGTATGTTTCGCCTCCCTCTCTCCTTCGCGCAGACAAGACAGACGGCGACACGGTTCGCCTGATATAAGAAAATGAGGACCCAAGGAAACTGACCAAGAGTCCACACTTGCTTGCAGATGTACAATGCCCTGACCGGCCTCGGAGGCTCGGGCCAGGTCGACTCGACCGTCGCCGCCAACGCAACCGTGGCCATGCTGTCAACAACGGCCGCCACAGCCCTGTTCATCGTCGGCCCCGTCTTCGCCTGGGCCGGCCCGCGCCTCTGCTTCATGGCGGGCGCGTGGGCGTACCCCCTCTACAGCGGCAGCCTGCTCGAGTTCAACCGCTCGGACAACGGCGCCTTCGTCATCGCCTCAGGCGCCATCCTCGGCGTCGGCGCCTCCCTGCTGTGGATCGTCCAGGGCGCCATCATGACCACGTACGTTGACGAGTCGCAAAAGGGCCGCGCCATTGCCGTCTTCTGGGTCATCTTCAACCTCGGCGGCGGCATCGGCTCCCTCGCATCTTTTGGCCTCAACTACCGCTCCACCGCCGGCTCTGTCACCAGCTCCACCTACGTCGCCCTCATGGCCATTATGATCTTTGGCTGGCTCCTGGGCCTCTTCATCTGCTCCCCCTCGCGCGTCCAGGTTGCCCGCCGGCGCCCCGGGCCCAACGTCGAGATGGTCGAGGGCCGCCGCGGCCCCTCGGCCGGCGCCGACTCGACGTCCTCTCGCCCCCTCGCCGACGCGGTCCGCGACAGCTTCAAGACGGCCGTCGCCACCGTTTGCACGTGGCGCGTCGCCTGCATGCTACCTCTCTTCTTCTCCGCAAACGTCTTCTACAGCTACCAGCAAAACAATGTCAACGGCGACACCTTCAACATCCGCACCCGCTCCCTCAACGGCGCGCTCTACTGGATGGCCCAGATGTTCGGCGGCCTGCTCATGGGCCTCCTGCTCGACCTTCCGTGCCTGGACCGCCCGGCCCGCGCCCGCCTTGGCTGGGCTGTCGTCTTCGTCACCGGCATGGTCATCTGGGGCGGCGGCTACGAGTTCCAGAAGTGGCAGGACGAGCGGCTCGCCCGAGGCCTGCGCCAAGACGTTGACTTTAAGCAGAGCGCCATCTCGACGGGGCCCATTTTCCTCTACATCTTCTACGGCGCCTACGACGCCCTCTGGCAGAGCTACGCCTACTGGCTCATCGGCACCGAGTCCAATAGCCCTGCCCGCGCCGCCGTGCTCGTCGGTGCCTACAAGAGTCTCCAGGCCGCCGGCGGCGCCATGGCCTGGCGCATCAATGCCATCAAGGCGAGCCCCACGAAGCAGCTCGCCATGGACTGGGGGCTTTGTATCGGCTCCCTCATCGTCGTCCTGCCCATGGTCTGGACCGTCTCCAAGAGCACACCGGCCGGGGCGGAGGAGACGGAGAAAGGGGGCGGGCCGGAGCCGCAAGAGGCGGACATGGGGGCTTTGCAATCCACCAGGGGAAAGCCCGACGTACAAGGAAATACAAATGAATAATCTCGCTAGTACAGCACACATACCATGACTCGTGAGAGGAACTTTTGCCGGCATTGCTAAAGATGACGGAGCTAGAGCGCAAAGTTGCTGCTCAGCATGGTCGACAGTTGCCGTCTGCTTGGTAACTCGTTGAACAGGAAAATTAAATCAAGATGGCATTGATGCGACGACACAGTCAGCATGAATCGCAAGGCAGCTTTGTCCAGTTGAATATCGCTCCAACCTTGGCCCCCCGGTGTCCCGCAAGCATCCCCTGTCAATAACAGCAGCGTCCGCCACTGCGCGGAGCAAAAAGAAGCAACAGAATTGTCAATTCTGGCAAAAGAGATGCGGCCAGTGTGACTCGAACACACGACCTTCAGATAGGTATCCGTAGGATTGAAGTTTTACTTCAGTCTGACGATCTCCCAGCTAATCTATGGCCGCAGGTGTTGGGCGAATCTCTTAGTTGTGATAATGTAGAGAGAGGCCCATGATGGGTGGGCAGACCCACGAAAAGGTGGATTGGGGAAGATTCAACACGTCTAGCCCTAATAAATGCACCGCCGGGGGAGAAGAATACAGGGAAGATAGACACGAAAACACGCGAGTCGAGGCCCTTGTGTGCGAGTGGCAAGTCCACCGCATTGGTGAATTCGATATCATGTACGGAGGAGGTCCTCCATCGAGTAAAGAGGTTGATGCATGAGCTCGAGAAAGCGCTAGAGACTCATGACAGCACCGCCATCCGAGTCACGGCTGCTTGCTTCCCAGCCAGGTTCCAGTGTGGCCTTGCTCCCACACGCCAGGCCATGGGAGTGCTCCAGTCCTCGTCCCTTTCACTCCCTCGTTCAAAAAGCCCTCTTCTCCGTGATGGACTCGCCCAGGGGCTTCTCCACCACGAACCCTCCATCCCCTTGCCCCAGCTCAAAGATCTTGCGCCCACGGAGCCACGTCTCCCTGACGCGGCCGACGAACTCGTGGCCCTCCCAGGGCGAGAAGCGGTTCTTCCACCGCATGTCGCCCTGCGCCAGGGTCCACACGTCGGCGTCGTCAAACACGCAAACGTCGCCGTCCATGCCCTCCCGCAGCGCGCCCTTGCGGTCCGCCAGGCCGACGTGCTCGGCCGTCGCGCGGCAGCAGAGACGCACCATGTCTACAATGGTGAGATTGCCGCCGGTGGCCTCGGAGCGGCGCTTGGCCGCCGTGTGGAGAATGGGCAGGCCGAGGCCGACCGAGGCGATGCCGCCCCATGCTCCCATAAAGTCTCCGGCTTTTTGGTTGCCACTCCAGGGTGCTGCGGCGACGGCGGCGTCATCGCGGGTCAGATGCGCCGGCAGTAGCTTCAGATCCGGCGTGCAGGGCGAATGGTCCGACACGACCGTCTTGATGCACGAGTCGTCGGCCACGAGCTCCTCCCACAGGCCGTCGCGGTTGGCGGCCTCGCGGATGGGCGGGCAGCATTTGTGCCGGGTGTCGCCCTGCGCAATCTCCTCCGCCGACAGGCCGAGGTAGTGGAAGCACGTCTCGGCCGTGATGTTGACGCCGCGTGCCCTCGCCGCCTTGAGCAGCGGGATGCACTGCGTGGCCGAGAGGTGGACAATGTGCAGGTGCAGCGAGGGCGCCACGTGCGCATGCGTCAGGATCTCCTCGACGGCGCAGGTCTCGTAGACTGGCGGCCGCGAGTCGAGAAAGGTCCGGTATGCCGTCAGATTTCCGCTCGGAGCCGGCTCCACGTCGCCGCCAGGCCGGGCTTCCGACGAGGGTACCATCTCGGCGTGGAACATGAGGGTCGTGGCGCTGTCCTTGAGCGTTTCCATGGCCAGGGCAACGTCTTTTGACGAAATGGCGGGAAACTCGTCGACCTAGACGTTTCACTCGTTAACATCCAGCCATCCAGGCACCTGGGGGAAAGAGAGGGGAGGCAGATGATTATGCCCATCTACACGTACGCCAGACTCGATCAAGAAGCCCTTGAAGCCCCTGACGCCGGCCTCGACCAGCGGCTTGAGCTCTTCTGCATTTCCAGGAACGACGCCTCCGTAGAAGCCCACGTCGACCCAGCACTGGCCCTGACTCGCCCGCAGCTTTTCATCGAAGCCCCTGACCGTCGTCGTGGGCGGGATGGCGTTGAGCGGCATGTCAATGACCGTCGTCACGCCGCCGCTGGCCGCCGCCCGCGTGCCAGTCCAGAAGCCCTCCCATTCCGTGCGGCCGGGCTCATTGAGGTGGACGTGGGCATCGACTAGGCCCGGCAGCAGCAGCCTCGGCGAGTGGTCCGTGTAGACGGTGCCGGGGGGGAAGCTGCTCGCGGGGACGACATGGCGCACGATGGAGACAATCTTGCCCGTCAGAGGCGAGATGGAGATGGTGGCAGGGGACAGGATCAGGGAGTTGTCAGGCAGCGTGAGGACGGCGCGGGTGGAGGCGAGGACGGCGAGTGGTGCTGCGCCGGAGGCGGCGGCGGACGTCATTTTGCCAACGCTGACGGTAAATAAGGGCGTGAGATGACGCTGAAACAGACGGCTATGTCTAGCCGGATGAGGCGACTGTCACCGGTATCTCAATATGTATAACAGTTCGAACGGTTGGGCAGGTAGAGAAGAGGAGGCCGGGTGATGAGGCCGGGCGAAGAGGGGAAGACGGCGCGACTTATAACTCCAGTCTCGACGTACGTCGTCGGCTGGCGCCAAGCCATGAGAACGGCAGCTTCCATAAGCCAGCTAGTCTATCGGAATGCCCAATGCCATACACGTAGCTGTCCATTACAACGCTGAGATACGCAAAGCTTGAACTCAAGCTAAATAAGCAGCTTCATCTTGGATGCACGGTCGATCAATCACCGAAAATGACGAGAGCTTGACAGCCTGGGCGATCAACGGACAACTTTGATGCCAACTGCGTGGGTGTAGGGTAGGTGTGTGTGTTGCGAGGAAATCCTCGGGCTCGGTCCCGTGTCTCGGCCACGCGACGGCGCCTCGGCCCCCCGACACGGAGTATTGCGCCGAGTGGATTCATGTGCATATCGCGCATCATGTGCAGCAGCCCTGCCGTCTATATATTGACTTGGCGCGCCATCACAGCCACACTGAATGAAGCCGGCACCTCTTGGGACCTCCGACGACGCCAATACCTGTATGGGGTGTAAATGCATCCGAATCGTTCGAGCTCCCGGCTACTCGCATCTCCCCGGCCTCTCCGACGTGATGCACGCATCGGGTCACTCAATCCCCGACCGTCTCTCGTCGTATGCAAAATGCAATATCGTACACGTCGCAGAAAGACATGGCATATACTCGTGGCGTGGCCTTGCTGTCCATGAATTACTTTTGCCGCCTGATGGTTTTTTGCGCCATCTCTACCAGACCGTCCTTTGCCTCGCTGTCGGGAAAGTCGGCAATGGCGGCAATGGCCTTGTCTGAATAGTCGTGCGCCAGGGCCCGTGTCTGTTCGATTCCGTCGCTCTGGAGTACTAGCTCCCGTGCCTTTCCACACAACATTATCAGCCGGCCGAGTACATCAAACACAGCGTTTGCACGCGGCGCCTTACCTTTTCAACATCACCCTCCTGCTCAAACTTGCGTCCGACCAGCGCGCCGAGCTCTGGGTTCTGCTTCCAGGCGAACAGCAAGGGTGCCGTGGCCAGGCCCAGCTTCAAGTCGGCGCCGGCGGGCTTGCCCAGGTCCGCTCCACTTCGAGTGTAGTCCAGCATGTCGTCCACCAGCTGGAACGCCAGACCCAGGTTCCTCCCATAAGAATAGGCCGCGTCGACCGTCGTGTTGTCGGCATTGCCGAGCAGCGCCGAGGCCCGACACGACTTGGAGATGAGGCTGGCCGTCTTAAGATACGTCTTCTGGAGATAGTACCCAAGCGTCTCCTCGGACCATTCGGGACTCCGCTCGTCACGCTCCGTGTTCTTGAGCTGCATGAATTCGCCCTCGACCAGGTTGGCAATGACGGTGGCCAGCAGCTCGACGACCTCGACGTGGCGCAACCTCGCCAGGGCGACGGATGCTCGGCCTAATAGAAAGTCGCCAGCGAGGACGGCCATCTTGTTGCCAAACTCGAGGTTGGCCGAGGGGGACCCGCGCCTCGAGACGGAATGGTCAATGACGTCGTCGTGTAGCAGCGATGCCGTGTGAATCAGCTCCGTGATTTCGGCCAGGCGGCGCTGGCTGGGCAGGATGTCCAGGCTTCCCTCAGGCATGCCGGGGTCCCTCGCCGTCAGCGGTGCGGCCGAGGGGTTGACGTCGGCAAGGATCTGAACGGGAGATATGGGCGTGTCGATGGCGCCATTCTGGGGCAGGTCTGGGCGGGGATTCTTGGGGCAGAGGTGGGTTGCTCGGCTCATGAGGAGGACGATGAGCGGCCGGACGTGCTTTCCCTGAGCCTGGGTGTAGTATTTGGCAACTCGGTCGAGGGAAGGGTGGCCGGAGCCGAGGAGCTTCCGGATGTTGCCTGTGAGGAACTGCATCTCTTTGGCGACGGCGCGGAGAGGGTCGATGGTCATGCCGTCGTCTGCGGCTCGCTTGACGACATTGCCAACCACATTGGAGGCGACCTGGACGGCGGCGGCCCAGGCAGAATCGCGCCGGGGAGACGAGTGGAGGCCGGCGCGCCGTATCCTCGAGGGGTCGAGGCTAGCTGGAGGAGAGCGACATAGCACGCAGGATTGCGCCGCGATCCTGCCACGCAAGACGACAGCTCCCCGGCGGAGCTGCATTGCTGGGGGAGGCGCTCAACCGCGAGCGCGCGGTGCGGCCCAGAGGCTCGTTAGGCGACGAGTGGGAGAAAGGCAATGGTATGTCGTTGAAGGACGTGACTCGTAGACAAAGAGATGGGACAGGCGGCCACGTTGGTCGGTCGAGAGGAGCTCAATTGGAGGTTCGAAGCCTCAGTTTTCATGGCACGCTGCGGCGAAAAGCGGCGAAAAGCGGCGAGATACCTTGTCAAGGTACCTCTGATGCGGAAGCAGCCAGGGACTCGATAAGAGATAAGAAAGGAGCGTTAAATCCGACGGGGTTTGCGCAGCGGCTAGAATCCTAGAAAGCAACGCCCGCTGCGATACACGGTCTGCGACGGCCTACAGTACTTTGTACAGTACGTCATCCCGTCTGAATATAAAGGGCGCATTGTCCATGGTGACGGCGACCTCGTAGTCGCCCTTGAAGCTGCTCATGCCACCAAGATTCACGGCAACTCTCCGTCTCTTCTGTTTCAAGCCTTAAGTGATGGATGGCTGAACTGCGCCAAACTCATGCTAGAGATAACAGCTTCACCGCGTTTCTCCCATGTGTTCTTAGCAGCTTTGCCATGCACGAGCTACAGCTTCAGAGGCTCGTTGATGCGATAGTCTACTCCGAGGTTACTAAGCAATGGTTGGCACGGACCACAGCCGGAGTCGAAAAAGGCCGGCTTTGTACCTCGTGTCTACGGCGTCATCAGCCAGCAATCCTCAGATGCTCAATGAAGACAACGTTTAGGAGCCTAAAGCCCCGAGCTCCGCGGATGAGAGCTGCCTGTGCTGGCATATCGGGTCCGAAATGGTGCTCCTCACCATGACGCCGTCCATGGTCGACGGGCTCAAGAGCCTGGGCGACGACGTGTCGGAAAAGCCCACCGACGACGGCCCGAAATGCGACGAGGCCAGGACGCAGCCAAGGCAAGGCAGCGATCCTTCACTGACCGAGCCCGCCATCGGCAGACCGATATCTCACGGCCAGGTGGTTGACCTGTGGAAGAGGCTGCAATCGATGCAGCCTTCGTCGTGCAGCCTCGATGCGCTCCTCAAGGGCTCTCGCGTCTACGTCCCGCCGCCTCCCCCCAAGCCCGAGCCCGTACGTCCCAGTCCCGTCCTGAAACGAGCGCTCAGCCTATTGAGAAATCAGCGCTCAGCCTATTGACACTGCCTTCTTGTTGTAGTCGGACGAATACAAAGCCCTCATGGCTCATCTGCGCCGCGAAGAAGCCGAGCGCGCCTACCAACGCATGGTTGACCCGCGTCCGCGCCTCGAGACGTTTAGCGACCGCTTCCCGACCGCTGCGCAAGCCTTCGCCGAGGTCAACCGGCCCGCAAACGCCGCGGATATCGGCGACGACGACGTCACGTACAGTGAAGTCCACCGCCAGGTCATGCTCATCATAAACTTTCTCGTCAGCATCGTGGGCGTCGCGGCAACGCTGTGGGTGGCGGCGCGGTGGTGGAGCCTGCCGGCGCGCGTCTTTCTCTCCTTGGGCGGCGCCATTGCCGTCGCCATTGCCGAGGTTGGCGTTTACCAGGGCTACGTGTTTAGGATGAGCCGGGCAAAGTCGAAGCAGAAGGCCGTCGCGGAGGTGAAGGAGGTGGTCAAGACATGGGTTGTGGGACAGGGTGAGGGCGGCGAGGATGACTCGACTGTGCTTCTCAAGAACAGCCAAGATGGTGCTGATGAGACGGTCAGGCGAAGAAGGCCACCAGCGGGTGCATATGCCAAGCCTGACGATTAGGTATTGTGTTGAAATGGTTTCCGTGCTGTTACGGATTGCGTATTCAAATGCAACGGCTAAAGTGGTGTTGAGACTCCTGCTTTGCCTTCTGGCTGTTTAGGCGCCGACGTGAGCATATGACTTGGCGTAATTCATCGTCACCCCGCGTCGCGTCGCGTCGCGTCCACATCATCGGCAAGCGCCGCCCTGCACCTCGGAACCGCCAACTTCCACCCCAAAGCTCGACAATCCTTTCGTCGCGTTTCCACGGCCTCGCCAACTCCAATTTTCGAAACTTGTGCAACGGCACAGATGTTACCATGCGTCGAATAAGCGTGTGTTCTCCCTCCGCCAATCGTTGCCGCGACCTCTCCTCCCCCTCGCCATAAAATCTGCCCGAGCAGTGCCATCATGATCAAGTCATCGCCAGAGTATGCCATGTATGGAGCGCCCATTTCCATCGAGTCACCGTGATTGGAGGTCTGACATGCCGCAGAACGAAGCCGGGCATGTCGCACAGCCTGTCGCGGAAGCGCGACAAGCCGCTGCGCACTTATGGAAAACGATCGGCCTCTGCGCCTGATGCGCATGACAAACCTCTCTCGAAGAAATTTCGGCTCGGCGCCGACGATACAGCCCCAGGTGGCGGCTTGTCTCTGATTGCAGACCGCGATGCCGGTCTTGAGAAAAAGGCAGCTGCGAGCGGGCACACGGAACACGCGAATACGGCACAACCGAAGATCGGGGCAGATGGCCCACTGCATGTTTCGATCCTCAGTTACTTCAAACCCCTCACGCCGGCTCGAAACTATGAATCGTCCGAAGAAGCGACGAGAAACGTGCCACCTGGAGAGTCTTCTCGTCCATCCCCAAACCCTGACACAGTCCATCCGAGGAGCAAGCGCCGTCTGCTCAGGCTGCGTGTCGCATCATCTCCCTTAAGCGACACACCAGAGGCCGCTGTTGATGACAAAAGTGAAAAGCAGATGGGAGAAGAGGCGACAGGCGAGGATGAAACCAACAAGAGCATCAGCGACGGCGAAGAAGAACGAAGCCCCGCGATACGTGACGTGGAGGGCCGCCTATTGAATCAGGAAGAGGGCAACATCAACGGGCCGAGACCAAGCGCGGGGATCAAAGTGAGGAGATCGCGGAGAGTTCAGACTACACTGAACATCTCGACGCGGGCAGCGTTTGCCGAGTGCAGGGTGTGCAACACGGTGTGGAATCCGCTTTATCCTGACGATGTCAAATACCATGCCAAACACCACGCGACGGTGATGCGGACAAAGGAGAAGAAGCAAGATGAGCTATAGCATACGATACCGCTGAATCTTCTCTGTCGACATCGGGTTACACCTTGCACCTGGGACCCGTGATTCAGGACTTGTGTCGCCATATAGAGAGACCGCCATCGTTCAAAGGCTTGGTGGATGGCCATCACGAAGGGGCCCTGCGGGAAGATAAAGATGGGGCTGTCGCCGCCGTCCAAGATCCCCAACTACCCAAATTCCATCCCGTTACTTTTGCGTCTTCGCTCAAGCAGGAGCTCGGCACGACAAGTTGTTGCAGGTCTATTCGGCGCCCGGCTTCGTTTACAGGCTCCGCCTCTTCCGTTGGTTTCCTACTGTGTTTGCAACTCTCCGTTTTACTTTTTGAGCTTACAAGGGGAGCCCGTGTCGCGTTGCTTACCGCCGGATCTGCTTCCATCTAGACCTCGACGACTCTTACTGCCATGGCAGAGCGTGATTTCGACATGGAAAGTCGTCAACTCGCATTGCAGCTACATATGGAGGAAATGGAGTCTTTAAGCCGGCTCCAAAAGGGGAAGCAACGCGAGGGAGACGTCGCCGATATTGACGTTGCGATGGGCATATATATGCGAGACCTCCAGGACTTCGTTGGGCTGGACTCAGACCAGCCCATGTACCGCACCAGGGCCCACGCTGTCAACCGCGAGGCCGACCTTGTCAAGTCTATTATGGCTGAGGAACAACAGGCCAAGCGCGACCGTGACTTGGCACAGGCCCTGAGCGGAGACCACCCTTACTGGAGCGGTGCCAACGCTGGGCCATCTTTCGATGAGGACGAACCTCTCGATGCTGGATTTTACCGCAGGCTTGAGGCGCTCAGATTGGCGCCTGACCACTCAAGGGGAGAATCATCGGCTCAGGGCGCGGCCAGAGGTCTCGCCAGCGGTGGCGGAGGCACCAGGACTGGGACGGGGCAATGCACGGCCTGCGCAGAAGACCATGCAGCCTCGGACCTTGCGAGATGCCCCTGCTCTCACGAGTACTGCCACGATTGCCTCACCACGCTATTCGAGCATGCCACGGTCAACGAGTCGCTGTTCCCGCCGCGCTGCTGCCAGCAGCCGATCCCCGTCGGCGACCATCTCGACATCCTCGGCTCGGCGCTCGTCAACAAATTCAGGGCTAAGGAGGCGGAGCTGAGCACGCCCAACCGGACGTACTGCCATTTCCCCGACTGCTCTGCGTTTGTGCCTCCGCAGTCCATAAAAAATGGCGTTGCCTACTGCGTCCGGTGTCATGGACAGACATGCGTGACGTGCAAAGGACAGCGTCATGCAACGGACACGGAGTGCCCGCAGGATGAGGCGACAAAAGACGTGCTCCGCCTGGGCCAGGAAAATGGATGGAAGCGCTGCTACAACTGTCATCGCATGGTGGAGTTGGATTTCGGCTGTAACCATATGAGTACGTGATGGCCCCCTCCCTTTTCCGTTGACAAAAGACTGACCCTTGATCCAGGGTGCATATGCCAAGCCGAGTTCTGCGATGCCTGCGGACAGCGTTGGAGAACCTGCTCCTGCCCGATGTGGCAAGAAAACAACCTTGCCGCCCGGGCCGAACAAGTCGCAGATCGAGACGCCAACAATCGACAGCTGCAGGGCGACAGACGTGTCGAGGTCGTTGAGCGGGCGGCGGCGAATCTTGCTGACGACGGCGACAACTACAACGACGATTACAACAACTATCACGACTGGGAAGCTCGAATTGGAGACGGCGCTTACCGGTGCGAAGAGTGTTACAGATATCCGCAGCACTGGATCTATGAGTGCCGTCGATGCAGAATGCTCGTATGCAGGCAATGCCGGTACAATCGCCTTTGAGGTGGGCGGATGAAGGATGGACCACAGCATAATGATACTCTTTGACTGAACGCACGATGTGGTTCCCTTTTCAAGACTAACCAGTTCTTCTATCACTGAGGCGACCACGGCCACACCCCATGTTGGCATTGAGCACCGAGAAGGAGTCCGGCCGGTTGCTGCAGGGGTCGTTTCTGGACGCGGACGCATCTTTGGCTACCCATTGGAAAGCATATACGCAGAGCGATCAACATGATAAACAAGAACGCTGAGCTGCGAGCGGGATGTCCTCGACGACACCCAATTCCTCTCTGCACAAAGCACAGGCGCGATGTACACACCCGAAGCGTCAGGCCCCTGGCCACGTCTGCCCACCTACTCAAGCATCTGAGCGCCCGGCTTCAACCAGCCAACTGTCCACTCCCCGTCTCCCTCGCAGCGAACCTTGCCCTTCATCTCCGGGTGGCCCCCGGCGAAACATTGGCACTTGAAAGTGAAATCGATGACGTCTCCCGTTTCGAACTCCTTGTCGGGGAACTTGGACTTCGTCACGAAGACCCAGGCGCACAGCGTGGTTCGCTGCCTCTGGACACAATCTTGCGTATGAGGCGACCCAATCGTTTGCGCACTGGGCGCCGTCACCGCAGGGATCCTGGCCAAGAAGTCTGCGAAATCTTCTTGCTCCTTGTACAAGTCGGGGTTTACAAACACCTGCGCCGTTATATGGCGGATCGTCTCCTTCGAAATCCACTCCCCATTCATGGGGTCGTACGGGAGGCCCTGCATGGTGTACGGGAGTTTTGTTGTAAGTCTTGGCGTGTGTCGCACGTGCGGAGGATCGAAGCTGCAATCTTGAAATCTCAAGAGGCCGCGGCAAGTCGGATTCAAACAGTGCAGTTTCGGTAGTGGGTTGTTTTTGAGTTGGGCTTTTATTGTTTGGTTCAAAGATGACTAGAAAGACAAGAATGTCACTCTTGTTGGCGGTGACGGCGTCATTTATACCCTCAAGTGGGTACTCTCGACGATGAGGATGTCAGTTCCCTGATGCTGTTCAGAGGCTGATTCGTCTCTACGGCACTCGTTGTTCACATGCTTGTTGTCAGACCAAGTTGACGGACCACGATCGAGTCAGGATCAGCCAGTCGCTTAGGAAGCACGCTGACCATAGAAACAGGAGGTTCGTTCATCACCTGGGCAAGCTCAGGGGGTGAACAGCTCGCCGCGCCGATAATTGCGTGATGAGCTGAACAGAGATCTAGTTCTAGAACTTATGGAGACGAAATGGAACGAACAAATCAGTCACTACCCGATCAAGGACATGTATCTTATCAAAGCTCAATTTGTCTTCATTGAATTTGTCTTCATTGACTATGGATGAAAGATGCGGGTCCAAGGCTAGCCCAAATATAAACAGAATCCATGCCGGACCGCACCCATCTACGGCACTATTGAACAGAAACGAAATCATGGTGACTGGATCCGACAAGACCTCATATAACATAATGTAGGCATCAACATACAGTAGCTCGACGACACCAGGTACTGACAGAAAGGGAATCGGTGCCGTCGTAGCTATACATATACTTCAACCGAATAGAGGCGTGGCGGGCCTAGATATGTGCCAGCTTTCCGCGCCACGGGGGCTCACAGGGTTGACAATCAGTCGCTTTTCGCAGCCGCCCTGGCGGTTCTCGCTCGTCAATACTTCCTATCGTCGTCGGAGCTCACGGTGGTAAAGGGCTGGGTGCCGGACGCATGCTTGCTGGGCGGCACGGCCACGTTCTCGAAATTGTACAGCGGCCGCCTGACGGCGTTGCGCTGTAACAAGATGTACCGCTTGAAAACCCATGGGATGGTCTGCGTGACTTGATAGGCGGCGAACTTGCGCACGGGGACGGCGAACACGAAGTCGAGTTCCTCGAGTGTGCGCTGCATGGTTTCCGGAACCCAGAGGAAGATCATGATGAAGGCAACAAGGTTGAAGCCCGCGTAAAGTCCGAATGCGCCGACGGTGTGGAGTTGCTTCAAAAGGAAGGGGAAGGATGTGCCCAAAACAGCAGCCTGAACAGTGTCAGCAAGACCGGAACTTTCCAGAAAATATTCTCCAGGTTTGCATACCCAGAACAGGCATGTGGCCACGGCAAAGCCCATGCCAGTCTCTCTATGAGACAGAGGGTAGACTTCGGCGCTGTAGGTGAACGGAACGGGACCCTCACCGGGTGAGTAAAAGGCTGTCATGTCGAGTTAGTGCCGAGCTCATCGAGTCAAGGCATGGCTGCCAAAGAAGGGATCAACTCACCGCCAAAGAGGAAGACGAATAAGCAGACGAGAGCCGTCCTTGCGTTGTTAGGGGAGTCGGCAGTTCCTGAAGGCATGAGGGTGCAGAGACCAGCGGCGAGTAGAGTCCAGAACTAGAGAGCTATTAACCGAAGTCTTGGAACAAATATTTCATATTAAGGCGACGTACCATCTGGGGGAAAGTGAAGAGGAGCAGGCTTCGTCGGCCAAACTAAAGTATTCGTCAGCACTGTGTCAGCGACGGTTCGAGCTCAGGAGCGACGTACAGTGTCGATAGTCCAGAACGCCGGGAAGGCAAAGAGCCAATTGACCAGACCGAAGCCAAACGACCCGATCATGGCCTTGAACTCGCCGAGGCCGGCATCAACAAAGATTGTGGTGGAGTAGAAAGCAATGATGTTGATGCCTAGATTGGACATTAGTTTGGAGCGTGCCACGGCGCTTCCAAGTACGAGCTTGACTTACCGCACATCTGCTGCGCAATCATGACGGTAAAGGCAGCCAGGTTCGCTCGTCGGACGCGGGGAATGGTGAATAGTTGAGTAAATCGCGACAAGTAGTTTGTCTTCCCAACAAGCTCCTTCTCAATCTCGAGCTGAGCGCTGATGTAGTAGATGTCTCGGGCAACCTGGATGGGATCATTGCGCAGCACGAGGAGCGACTTCCAGGCCTCGGGGTAGCGATTCTTCTTCATATACCAGCGGGGAGACTCGGGGCAGCAGTAGATCAGGAGCACAAGGGGAACGGCCGGGAGGAATGGGGCGCCTAAGGGACAGCATTGTCAGTATTTGACGAGCAGGACAGGCTGAATCCGCAATTTCTCACCAAGCATAAGCCGCCAGTTGATATTATCGACATAGAAGACGGCCAAGTTGAAAGCAGTCCCGAGCATGATGCCGAAAGCAGTCCACATTTCTGTATCGAGTTAGTTAGCACCAAAGTCGACATAGACTCCTCCATCGCGGGCATCACGTACGCCAAGACATGACGAGAGCGCCTCGAATCGAAGCGGGAGCGTTCTCGGCGGCGTAGATGGGCACAGTCGAGGCCTTGGCCCCCATTCCTATACCCATGAGCAGGCGGCAGGCCATTTGTTGTTCCCAGGTCCGACACAGAGCGGATCCAATGACGGGCCAGATGCAGAAATGAGCGGAGAAGAAAATCGTGCCTGGAGAGAAGTTAGTCCACGTCTGCCTCGATGGTGGAACGGAGGAGACAAAGGCTCACCTCGACGGCCGAACCAGTTGTTGAGGGGGTCGGATAACCAACACCCAATGAATCTACAGACGCGTGTTAACGGTCATCCGGGGTTGAAATGCGAAGAACGACATGAAAAGGTACGTACGCGCTGCCGATGTAAGGACCAGCATTCAAAAGACCGATGATTAAGGAGTCCCGATCGCTCTCTTTCGGGAACAGGCCGTATGCCTCTGGGAGAAATATGTTGGCGCCATTGCTTCCCGTCTGGTCCCAGCCCTGTACGGCGGCGCCGATGGAGCACGTAGCGATGGTGAGGAAGAGTCTCAAGGGCATGCGCCACCTGTGGTTTCTCTCCGTCTCGAGGGCGTCAAACTCGGCTTGGGTGAGCTTCTCGGGGCCGTCAATGGCTGCGGCTTCGGCGGGGTTCTGGGCCACCAGGGCGCCCTTTTTGAGGAGGCCAATATACTCCTGCAGGCCGCGATACTCGGCAAAGGCTTCGACGTCGCGCATCAGCTGCTCACGGGGGATTCCCTCGAGGGGATTCCGGATCCTGCCTCGGATATTAGTTTCGGAGCATTGAACCTGTCGCTTCCGTCCACGTACTTGGCCTCGAGGGTTTTGGAAAGATCAACCTCTTCGGCGTGAGTGACGCCTTTCTCCTCCAGGTGGTCCCCATGGCGAGCTTTGGGCTCTGGGCTGTTAGAGGCAAACCGGTCAGCAACCCATATTCCAATGAGCAAAAGCAGGTTGAACGGACTGAATGTCTGCCATTGTGGGCAGGTGTCGCGTCTGTGCTGTACGTCTTTGTTGATGTAACTTTTGTCAGATGGCCACGATTGCTGGGAGTGAAGCCGCCTTGGCAAGTCGAGGTTTTACTACACTTGGCCGACCAGAGGCGAGGGGGCGGGGAGGGACGGAGATGAAGTAGTGGACGGGGAGGCGAGGAGAGACAAACGATTCCGGAGGCGGACGACAAAAGCTATTTGTGTGTCTGGTGTGGTCAGGCGTCGCGTGCGAGCAGCCACCATGATTGCGGCAGCCGGAAACACGGTAAGACCAACTCTCACGCCCCTCGCTGGGGAAGCCCGTCTTCGCTCGTCGCACGGTTGCTGCATGACCATGTATAATGACCGGATGTGGATACTGCGATGCGGATTGAGCTGACCCCAGCAACGACGTCTGTGAAGGCTGTTTGGACGATGCTTCTTTTTGCCCCGGAAGTGCCAAGGAGCAACCCACAGAACCCCAGGCCCCTAGGGGGAGGCCGCAAATTCCCCAATGAGCGATGCAAAGTTTCTCCCCACAGTCTCCGCACCCCCTTTTCCCCGCACCCCCCGGCCTTGGAGGTGGAGAAGAATCCAACATCGGCCCTTGGGATTCCTTGGCAGATGACCATCAACGTGCTTGGGGCCAACGAACCCAGCCAGCGGTCCGAAGCCTCATACGTGAGTATGCAGTAACACGCTGTTGGCCAAGCATTGCCTTGCCCGTTTCTCGACAACCTCGGCACCGTGGAGAAGGGAGCTCGGAGCGTCGAAACTAACGGCCTCGCGAAGATCCGACCCGACAGTTGTGAGGAATTGGCGATCGGAGCCGACAACGGAGCACGTGGTCGACGACACAGCAAGGCCTTGCTCGGCCGCTTGCGTACAGCAGTCGGCAGCAAATATGGCCGAGGCACGCTGCTTACAAAAGTTAACGTAGAACTACACCCCCGTTGGGGCACTGGATGGGGCTTCCGGACGCATTCGTCTAGAGGCACTAACAACCCTTCTCCATGCTGCGCTGGAATTCCTAGGACCACGCCGGCGGCCGAGAAACAACAAGCCGGCGTCATGGCCCGTCTGTATGCGAGCAGGCAGCAGGATTCCTCCGTCGTTGACTGGTGGCCTGAGAACCCACACCCCCTCCCCCGGCCGGCAGTGGACTCCGCCCGTGGCCCTTTCGGACTCAGCACCTGGAGATCCCCCGCTCTTGGGTCGCACCAGGCCTGCGGCAGCTCGTGCTTGTGCTTGATGTGAAGGCCGTGGTTGCAAGCACAGTTGTCAAGCTCGCCTGTCGCCTCGCTCGGAAGAGAGCCATGGCGCCCCCATCTGCCGTCCCGGCAGGGCGCAGGCTTGGCGAACGCCGCGGTTGTCGTGTTTCGAGGCTGGGCCGGATCCGGGAAGAGCAGTTTCAGCCGTATTATTTGCGGCCGGGCAATTCGAGCCAGTCCCAAGGCGACAAACCGACGGGAGTCTTCACCAATCCACCCCCTTCGCGCTACCGTCTTCCCCGCCCTGCCGCTACTCTGTTGCCTAATCTTGCAACAGGGATGCCAGGAAGAATAAGCTCGCCGTAAGTATCCCTGCTACTCTAGTGCGGCTCCCACCAAGCGCGACGCCATCGGATGGCCATGGCCTGTCTGTGCGCTCACTCTGGCTTCCTCGGGCCGGTTCTGATGGCGAACGGATGCCTTGGTGATTGATTGAGGCTCGCTGTCAAAGCTCGAGGCCGGTGAGTGACCGAAGATGAGGGCAGGCAGTATCGGCTGAAACGCTGGAATGGCCACTGCTTGGAATGAGGCGCAGAAATCTTCATCTTCGCCCCTTTCTAGCGGCAGCCCGTGACTGAGGGCCTTCCCGCTTGTGTGTGTGTACCAGACACTAAAAGTACGGTCAACGTTCGGCCACTACTTGCTAGGGCACGTTGTGCCCGCAGCACGTGACACCCGAAGTGGTGATGATTTTCACCTGTCGTCCACAATTACGCGGGCTCGAGGCCGCATCCTCTGGCCCCAATGACGATCCGAGACAGCTGCTCCGCCATACTGCATATGTCAAGCGTGGATGGTGGTCAGCGATAATCGACAATCGGCTGGCTATCCGAATAATAAGCCAAAAAAAAACCTCGCACTCTCGCACCCATTCTACCAAAAATACCTCGGGCCATGTATGCAGTACAGGTCACCGGCCACGAGCTGCTTTCTCGGGCACAGCAGGCAGGCTTGAAGACATGGTCATGCACGGGTCCCGTTTGGCCTTGAGCTCCGTCAAACAGACCTTTCTGGTCAATGGACAGCAATGGCTGGTTGCGGACCTGCGTCAAGAGTCTCGGCCCTCGATGACCCTCTCTCAGTCTGTTCCAGGAGTTGCCGCGAAGCCGCATCGGGCATCGACATCTAGGCACCAGCAATGCGTTTCTGCGGCAATGCTTCACGACAAGTTGTCGAGTGCCGGCGACCACTTACTTGTACATGCTCTCCGGCAGCACTCTCTGCCTAAGCGCGAGAGGCTAACTTACCCGATGCACGATGACACCGCTCCGTGTCGAAGACGCCTGTACAGGAGGACTGTACGGCACAGCACACACAGCCAGGCCGCCCGTGCAGCCATGTGAAACATCCTCGCATGTCAGCCCCTGGCGCAGCGCCTTTGGGGGCTGCGCGCAGATCTTGGCCCCAAAGTTGCCGCAAAGTGTTGGCTTGACTGATCAGGGATGAGGCCTGCTCATGGATGGGCGAAAAGCTGGTGCCTGTTTTTTATGGGCCCGGAGCGGAGCACGGCCGTCCCACCCCTCCCTTCCTGTGCGGGATGCCCCGATCGCCAGATTCTTTTCACACGGCGCATCGAGGCCGTCGGACGACAAGATTCATTCATCAGTGGGACCCTCTTGCCGCCAGCTTGCCACTTCAATCGTCGTTGCCTTGGTTGTCGAGTCGTCTTTTCAGGGGCCCGAGGGGCACATGATCTGCAGCGAGTCAAAGTCGCAGTCAACTCACAGACACCATCAAATTACGGCCTACACTATACGATTGGAGATCTGCGTGTCTGGGCATCACGTGTCCATGGCGGCCGGGCCCTCGTTTCGACTCTGAACAGTTGAGGCCACCTCGCGGTGGATCAATAGTGATGGGGATTTTGACTCCCGGCGTCTTCGCCTGTCCTGGAAGACTGACTGCTCGGAGAGCGCGTCGCTGCCGACTTCCCAGCACACGCGACGACTCCTTCGGCCAAACCGCCAACGCCGCGTAACGCGTGCCAAACACCCAATTAGAGCCAGGCGTTAACTCTCCCACCCTTTCCCCTTTCTCCATTTTGGGACCCAGTTGTGCTTCCTGGAGAAGAAAAAAAACGGAGAAAGATACGTCAGATGCCCCTAGGGTGGGACGCGTAGACAAGGTCCACGATGCTCGGGCCCGAAAGTCCGGGTGCACGGGGGCGATATAACCAAGGCAAATTGTTTAGGCTACCCTACCGCCCTTGCTTGACCTGGCACGTGGCCATTGCCCAACGTCGAGCATCGAGGTCAAGACTCTGTCCGCCTGAGGCGAAGACTGAGCAAAGTTAATGCCGTGAATTTGTTCCCCAGGAGGTTTGGCGCAAGCACGAACCATGGACGCCGTTGGCGTTTCCAGCCAGCCAGCTTCGGCTTGCTCTCTGCCCCTACCTCTCGTTGGAGCTGAAGGACAAACAAAACTTGCCACAGCCCTTTGCGCAGGACAGACTCAAGGCAGCATCTTGCTTTATCTACGAACCGGTAGGCTGTCCAGGCACATCCATACTAACTACCACCATGGCAAGGGAGGTGACCGTTCATTTCTCCAGTCATCAACTCAATCTGTGGGAAAACTTCTCAGCCACTCAACTCTAACCCATGCCTCAAAACCAGTGACCAATGTGACAAACTCGCGCCTCCTCGGCCGTTGACATTGTGAAACATGAAAACCTTCCTTCATCAGTCGTTCCACGTGTCTCTGTTCATCGCCCTAAAACCTCAATGTCTCTCATCAGCCAGTCTGAATAGCACAACTAGTCGTCGTTGGTCGCCGTTTAATCTTTGCAGAACCACAGGCACACGACTGGCTTCTGGCCGTTGTTGCCCGTCCTAGTCGCGTCCCATCCGATCTCGCCAATCGTCTTCTTCATGCTCTCCTTGTCGCTCCCGTTGATCTCAAGGCCCCTGTACCATTTCCCACCGCCGCCGCTCGTGATTTCAAACACCCTGTTCTTTTTGGCTGAGGGGTTGGTGCAGCCGAAGCCCTTCAAGAGTTCTGCGAGCGTAGTGTTGCATGGAATGTGTGATGCCGTGAAGGGGATCTGAGTAGCGGCAGGGAGCTGCCAGGGTGGGGTGTTGGACTTGAAGATGTGGGCCTTGGTGTGCTCGGGGGCAAAGAAGTAGTTGTAGCCGGGCTCGCAGCCCACTCCGCCCGTCGAGTTGGACATTTGCGCGGCGGGCATCGACGGATCAATGGAAGGCCACACCTGGGGCTGACGAGGGAAAATGTTGCCGGTCCCATTCGGCTGGTGCGAAAATGTGTGCTGCGTGTAGAAGCCACCAACCGGGCCTTGCGGAGGACACATGCCGGGGTTGGGGGGTGCAGGGCTCGCTGTGGGATATGCTCCGTAAGTCATGTTGGCCCAAGGGCTGTACTGAGGCGTGGCACCGAAGTTGTAGCCAGGACCACCAGAATGATAGATGTAGGGCTGACCTTGGCTCGGCATCGGAGCCCCGTACGGAGCAAAGGGCGGACGACCCCCCGCGGAGTCGCGTCCGGTCATCGGGTTCCAGCCTCCAGTCATGTTGGAGGCGATGCGCACGAAACGATGAATGCCCTCGGGGGACAAGGGTGACGACGAAGAGGAGTTTAGCCAAAGGGCTGCCAGATATGGACCCAACGACGAGCGGAATGGTCGAAAGATGCTTGCCAGTATCCAGGGACTGGGCCTTGTTGCGCAGGGTTCCAGAAAACGGGGGGATTGATATAGTAAATGCCTGCCAGGTGGGGGAAGAAGCCGTCCTGATAAAGTTGCGGTGGGGGGTCTCGAGTGAAGACTGCTGCTTCGTCCTCCGCTTCTTCAGCGTCCGAAGAGTAGGCTGCATTCTCTTTGTCAGCTTCTACGCAGCCAAAATATGCCTTTGCGTGTGACAGCCACCCGAAGGAAACTAGTGATCCCGCTGCAGGAGCAAACATGCAGGAGGTATGACGAACCTGATGATGAGTCGGAGACGTCTTGGTTGCCGTTGATCTCCGACTGTGTCTCCTCGTCGTCCGACTCCAACTCAATGTCGAGGTGTGCGACAAAGACCTCTGTGCTCCAAACGATCTGTCCGTGCCGGTCAAAGAAAGCACCGACAGCGATCCACGCCCAGAAGGGGGGATCTTGGCTCGCTTCCAGGTACTGAGTTACGATGAGTTTGGTCGCCGGAGACGGCAGGAAGCCGGTGTCGACTTCTATCGTCCTACTGTGCGTCTGAGGAAGGCTGGGCATGGACGGTCGCTGGATGGTCGAGACTGATTGCCGTCGACGGCAAGCGGTTCAGATGGCTCAGGTGTGCGAGGCCTGACAGGAAGCTGTCTTGCCAATGCCAGAACGTGTCAAGAGCTGTCCATCAGATTCGAAAGGAGGGACAGGCGGCCAAGCCCACTTGGTGTTGATATAGATACCTAATCTCGGATGTCTGATTCAGTAGTTACAGACTGGCGGGAGCAGCGGCACGCCAGGTGCGACCGCTGTCGCAACCAAACCTCAGGACTTCGGTCCCAAGATGGTGGTTGAATCACCAAGCGCGGCGCCCGCGTGCCTATGCGGCAACACCGCCAGTCAAGTGAACCCTAATTCCGACGACACAGTGAATCGCCCGGCCGATGAGCTGATGCACATGCCTTGCATCAAGGTTCGTCTGTGAGTTTGTACACTGCAAAGCCGCCTATATGTTGGCGGTGACTGACCCGACTCCGGACGTTTGATGAGGCTCCGCAGGTTGCTGATCAGATCAGGTCATGTTTGGCAACTTGTCGTGATGAGATGTCGCTTCAGCACCGGCCGAGAGGCAAACGGTTGTAGCAAACTGGGGTTAGGCGAGACTGATGTCACTGACCCGCCCATGGTCAGTGAGCCGTCGTGCAAAAAGCTTCAATGCATTGCACGATGTCGTACCGTAATGCTTGATTGGTGACCAAGACGCAGAGACGCTGCGCTGTGACGACGGATTCTGCGGTCACGGGAATCACCACCACGTATTCGAGCTCCGTGTCACCGACACAGTGGTCCTCGAGACTGAGGTAAGCCGTTGGACATTGCACCTGGAGGAAGGGCAAGTGCGGACAGTTCGGAATATGTCAGCTGCAAAAATCTGTCCTGAGTCTCGCCCTTGCTCAGTCACCGCCATCGCCGTCATCTGTTACGACACGGACAGCACCGCCCCTCTTGGAGGCGTCAACCCCTCTCTTGAGCTGCTGGCGTCTCTCAACCTCGGTGACGAGGCCCTTAAGGTAGACTTCGGCCTGGACCGTGGCGCTGTAGGCAGCCGGAGTCCAGTTCCAGATGTTACGTCTCTCGACATCGGCGCCGGCGGCGAGGAGGGTGCGGAGGCCCAGAAGATTTCCACTGCTGCTGGCGAAATGCAGGGCCGTGTTGCCTTCGACGTCGGCCCTCTGCACAGCCTCGTATGGGCCAGCGGGGGCGTAGGTGAGCAGAAGCTGCAGGATGGTGTCGTGGCCGCCTATGCTGGCCTCCATGATGGCATCGCGACCGCGGACATCTCGCCTGAGGATGCTGCCTCTGTCATTTTCGCAGAGTAGATGGACGACGTCGGTGTGCCCCGCTCTGGCGGCCAGCATCAGGGCCGTCTGATGGTGTTCGTTGAGGGCCGGGCACGGGACCTCGTGGCCCGCACGGAGCAGCGTTTCGCAAATGTCTCGGTGACCCAGCGACGCGGCAAGATGCAAATTCGAGTTGGAGAGGCCCATGGGAGAGGCGTCTGGGTTGTGGAGGAGCGAGGGGTGCGACTTGAGCAGACGCCTGACGAGGAGGGCATCCCCGACGTGGATGGCACGCCGCATGCGAATCGAAGGCTCGATCCTGAAAGCAAGTCAGTACGACGGCGGAGAAGATATGCGGGCCGTCGGTCGGGGGATCACGGACATGGCGGGCGATGGATCATGGCGGACGGGCGGGACGGCAGCGAGGAAGCTGACGAGGTTGACAAGACGGATTTTGATGATGCCCGGGGCTAAAATGCCTACGTATATTGGAGGTACCTGGTACCGCGTCTCCCCGTCGCCAAGCCTCCCGTCTCTGCGAGGTACCTCGTTAAAGAAGGGAAGGAAACTCCATGTTCCCCGCCTTTGCGAAGCTTGATATTTCAAGGCAGACAAACACGCAAGTCACAGCAACCAATGCCGTCGCAACCTGACGCGCTTCGCCGGCACGCGGATTTCGTTTTCTGTCGTGATCGCTGACTGCGGTCAAGTCTTAATTCATGGTCAATGTGTTGGATGACCTTGCACATAGACAACAATTGACGACAAACTCGGACGAACACGGACGCGGAAAACAGACTGGAGACTGCGCATGAACCCCAAGACCACTTTATGGTACATGATTGCTAAAAGGTCGTTCAGTTCAGCTCGTGGGCCGACTTGATCGCCTTGGACTTGCCCGTATCAATCACGATGGCCGGATCCTCGGGGTCCCCCTTTCGACTAACTTCGTTGCCTCTCTTGGTCTCGACAGTCGTCCTGTTGTCGTCAGTCAGTCGAGTCCATTCGGACATGGGGAAGAGACAGCATTGCAAAGCGTCTAGCTTGACTTACCTTTCGCCTTTAACATCGAGCACCTTGCCCTCTGGCTGGCCGTTGCCCCAGTTCCAGCTCACTGTGTCGCCAGGCTTGGGACCTTTGGCTGGATTTTCGGCACCCTTGCTCTCCTCCTCTTTCCCCTCGTCCTCCTCCTCGTCTTCACCTTCTCCCTCGGTTTCTTCCTCTTCCTCTTGTTCTAGTTCCTCGCCGTCATCCTCTTTGTCCTCGTCTGCATTCTCGGCCTCATTCTTCTCGTCACGGCTCTTCTTTGCGGTGCCTTTGGACATGCTTCGGGTTTCGTGGGCTCCATCGGTCCCATTAGCCTTCTCGCTGTGGCCGTTCTTCTCACCTGCCTTGTTTTCCTCAGACGACCTGCCCTTTTCTGTCTCTCTTTTTTTGTTGGCGCCGGTATTCTTGTCGTCAGCTTTCCGCTTGTCGCTAGTCTGCTGCTCGCTGTCCCCATTCTTGGCCTCCTTGTTCCCCTTGTTACTTTTCAAGATATCGTGACCCCAATTCTTGAGTGACGCGTACGACTTGGTCCTTTTCACCTCCTCGGTCGACTTTTCGTTATTTACCTTTTCTTCTTGGGCCAGGTGTCTCTTGCTGTCATGGTGCGCTTAACCGAGTGTCAAGTAGTAGTTAATTCATGCGCGCACTTACCAGTAAGCCACAACCTTTCTCATATGCTGGATCTGATCGTCTGTGTACCTCTCGGGGTCCTTATCCGGGTTTGACTCGAGAATCGAGATGATGTTGCGGCCGCTATCGTGCCCAACCGACTCTGTTGCCCCTTCGCCCTTAGGCCACCCAGCGCTCTGGGAATCGTCCGACTTGAGCCAGGTCTCGAGTTCCGACACTGTCATGTTGACAAGGTCGTTGAACTCCTCAATGACTGTGCTTTGGTCCTTCATGGTGTCCTGGTCCTTTCCGTGGCTATTCAACAATTCAAATTGTCTCAATAAGCTGCTTAGGTCTGCGACGATGTGTTGGTCGTCCCGGTTTCCTGCTTGTGTGTGACTCTTGAGCACAGCTGGGTCAAAGACCCAGCCTAGCTTTGTATCACTGCGCCGATTCCTCGGCGAAGTGATGACGTTTCCGGCACCATACGTCATAGACATCCAAGCCAACCAAGATCGGGTCCGTTCACCTGCCTGCTCTGAGACATTGAGCGCAGCGACGGGGTGGTTTACTGGGTAATGAGAAAATAAATCTGGTAGTGCATTGCTCTTCCTTTTTCTTGTCCCGATTCGATGCTGCATGTGCGCGATCGTACGAGAACATACGGATAATAGTCCTCCTCATTGTGAAGGTTGAACAGTGCGTGTTTAAAGTTTCATCCACGCTTGGTGAATCCTCAAAATGATGGTATAGATGAGCCCAACGTGAACGATCTGATACTTTCCAAGATGAATCCTCGGCCGAGAGGATCAATGGCGTTGCAATGCATCGTGTAATCTATCAGCGCTGTCTCCCTTGGCGTCCAATGGTGACGACGGACGTCTACACGAACGTGTACGTTCAAGTGGCTCCACGTGCCGCCAAGCACATGGCATCCTTTAGATACAGTAGTGAGGCTATATTTATATGACCACGTCTGCCTTGTCCTTAGCGAAACCCGCTCGTGACGCTTACTCGCTTTGTCTTTGTTTGTCTCTCCATCTTGCTCTCAATGCCCTCAATAAAACCCACGCCAAAATGCGGTATGCCACAATGCTCCCCGCCAGTGCGCCCACGTTCACCACCGGATCAACATCAAATTTGTACAGCTCCAGCACCTGCTGGCCCGTCTCGATCGGACATCCTCCCGTGGGAAGCCGCTGCGCGTCGGTGCATGTAAAGGTGACTCCGCGGAGCGAATAGGGCGCCACGGCACGGGTGGCGTAACGGATCGGCGAAAGATAGTTGGCGGCTCGGAACATGTCCGGCATGTCGATGGAGAGGATCCCGGCCATGACGGTGGCCACGGAGAGAAAGATGCCCATGGCGTTCACGGCGAAGCCTGTATGTCCGAAGAGCGTGTTGAACATGATACCCAAGCTTTCGCCGCAAGACACGATTCCGAAGCAAGCAAAGACCCAAGAAAAGTACATGGCGAGCGTCCTTGGCAGTCCGACGGCAAATACTGCAAGCACTCCGGACAGCAAGCAGCTCACCACCTCAAAGGGCACCTCGAGGATTGTGTAGGCAGCCAGGAAGGGGTCCACGCCGTACACGCCGTCGTCGTCTTCCCGGTAAAAGACGTCGCGCTCGGCCGGGTATATGGCGACGTTCTGGAGCATCCCGACAAAGTAGAGCGCCCCGAGCTCCTGCACGAATCCCATCCGGTTTTGTACGGAGTAGTAGTCGTTGCGCAATGGGGCGAAGAAGAGTGTGAGCACAATGGCCAGACCGAGGACCTGCATTGTCCGAGCAAGGATTTGTTGTGGCTGGCGTCGGGTATTGATGAAGGCCCGGTGAAGAAGCAGGGGGAGCGCAGCCGAGAAAGCCGTCCGCTTACGGACGAGAGCGCCAAGCTCAGCCGGCGTTGACAGGTCCGCCTTATTGAACGAATTGCCGCGGGGGCATGTGCGGGCGCGGGCTTGGAACTCTTCGTTTGCCATCGGAGCCTCTGTATTTGCCATTGTCCCTTCCCTGTGACCGTCAAGCCGTGTTGCTTCAGGAGTACCACTGTCCGGCCCGTCCAACTCTTGAAGTTCGGCCTTGAGAGGACCTGCCCCATCAAGCGGCCTTTGTCCATGGCTCTTCCAACCCTCAATTAGCTTCTGTACTCTCTCCTGGCTTTCAGCCTCTCTGTCATCTCGCTGCAAGTCAACGGTTATCAGGTCGAGGGCGAAGTCGGCCGGGTTTGTATCACGCGGACACGCATAGCCATACGTGCCAAAGTGATCGAGCATATCTTTTGCTGGACCGGCGAAGACAGACGAGCCCCCACGTGCGAGCAAGAGGATGTTTCCGAAATGTCTGAACAGGTCTGAGCGCGCTTGATGGATGGTCAGAATGAGGGTGCGACCTTCGCTAGATAAGCCTCTGAGAACTTCCATGATAGAACTCGCAGTGAACGCATCGAGGCCCGACGTCGGCTCATCAAGTAGAAGAACGCGAGGATCGGTAAGGATCTGCACGGCGATGGAGACGCGACGCTTCTCGCCGCCAGAAATTCCCTTGATAATATCGCTCCCGATCAGCGTGTTGGCACAGTCCTTCAAACCCATTTTGAGCAAAATCTCGTCGGCGCGTCGGCTTTTTTCGGCGGCGCTCATAAAATATGGCAGACGTAGGCCGGCCGCGAACCGGAGAGTCTCTCGGACAGTCAAGGAGGGCAAAAGCGCATCGTCGTCTTGACAAACATAAGAGCAGACAGATCGGATAACGGCATTCGAAGGCATGGCATCGTTGAACGTGAGCCTCCCAGATGGGCGATACTTTGTACCGACAGAATTGCGCAGCCGCAGCGCCATCGCGTTGAGGAGCGACGTCTTGCCGCTGCCTGATGGACCCATGATGATGTTCAACACGCCGGCTTGAAACGTGGTATCGACAGGGTTGAGAATGGTCTTACGCGGCAGCTTCTTGCCAAAAATGGATGTTTTATCCAATGCCAGCGCGAAACGATCAAGTCCGAGGTCAACGGTCCGCACTTCGGCGGAAGGGGCTGCCATCGTCTCCTTGCCGGCGGACAGGTCGGTATCTGTAGTACGGGTACGAGTAATAGCTATGCCCGGCTTGAAAAAATGAAGTCCGACGGAGGAGAGGGCGCAAAAGAGGACTGTGAAGGCTACCATTGCGATGATGGGACGGGCGACCCAATCCCTAGGGAAGCCAAGAGACTCCATGATGTACTCGCCCGTGTACTGGATGCACGCAGGATTCGAAGGGCCGCCCGGGCTTGGACAGTCATAGAAACTGCCCTGAAACTCGTTGCCAGCGTAGGCGCTGAAAGCATAGAACTTGTCATAGTTAGACCTATGTCCTTGATCTCGCATTGTGTTCTGTAGGAGGAAGAGGGAGCTCACAGTATAAGTTATCCACTTGAGCCATCTCACGTAAACTGGAATAGTATTGCTCTGAATGAATATGCCAGCTGCAACGCTTTGCAGTGTATACACCAAGTTCGCGATCAAACTTGCGCCAGCGAAGTGTCTCACAGCGACGACGCACGTCATGGCGCATGTCACAGCGATGTAGTGGCTCACCAAGGTAATGGCGAAGAAGATGAGAAGCTTCTCGGCGTCGCGGTCGAAGCCGGCCATGAAATAGACCAACAGGGTAAAGAGGAGAGGCACCGGCACGTCTTCCGTGGGCAACCGAGCCAGGCGGCGCGAGAAAATGAAAGGCAAAGCGTCGACGCAATTGTCCGAGAACTCGCGGTCAAAGGTAGCAATGTCAATCGTCATTCGATAGACTTCGAATATAAGAATCAAGTATCCTTGCAAGCCGGCTACCGTGTACAGACCACCCTCGCGCGATCGGATGCCAGCCTGGTCTCGACCGAGGTTGTAGAACAGATAGCCAACGACGAGGCCCATGAAGATGGCCTCGAAGACGGAGGCCGCCATGCCTAAGGGGTCCCGATACGTCACCTTGAAGGTGCGGTCAGTCAAGACGCAGAGCTGGCGGCCGAAGCCGTTGCGAGCCACGGTTGTCGAACCCCGTGTTCCCCGGCCGACGGTGTCCTCGGCCGCAGTCACCGGGGCGAAGCGTGTTGGGCACTCCAAGCGCCACGCGGCCCTGAGCCTCTCGACTCGGGCCCTGCTCTCCTGCTCCAGCTCGGGAGTTCTGTTGTCCACCGCAGAGATGTCGATGACGTGGTCTGCGGGATTCACAAAAGCCGGCATCTCGAGGCCCTGGTCGTTGAACCAAGGGAGGCAGCCGACCATGGTGCCGGAGTAGACGGGGCCGCCCTTGGACAAGACGATGAGATTATCAAACAAGTGCCATATCTCGGAGCGGGGCTGATGGATGGTGGTTATAATGGTCCGTCCTTTGCGAGCGAGTGCCTTGAGAGCGCGCATAACTTGAAAGGCGCTCGTGGCATCAAGACCTGTTGTAGGCTCGTCGAGGAAGAGCACGGATGGGTTGGCAAGCAGCTGGACTCCGATACTGACGCGCCGCTTTTCACCGCCCGAACACCCTCGGTGCTGGCTGCTGCCGATCCTTGTATCGGCGCAGTCCTTCAGCCCGAGCTCGCGGATGACCTCGTCAACCACCCTCTGGCAATGGCACGCCGGCGTCGAGGCCGGCAAGCGTAAGTCGGCAGAGTACCGGAGGGTTTCCCTGACGGTGAGAGTGGGGAGAAGGACATCCTGCTGCATCACGTAGGCGTGCCTCACAGAGTGCACGCCCAGCCGCCCGTTGAAAGTCGTCGTGCCTGTTTGGCACAGTCTCGAGCTGGTGACCCTCTCGGCCATGGTATTGAGCAGTGTCGTCTTGCCGGACCCGCTGCCCCCGATGATGGCCGTGAGGGAGCCTGGCTCCAGATCAGCCGCGACCGAGTCCAAGAGCGTCCTTGCAAGAGAGGCTACATGTTGACTGTTTGGTTTTGAAGTGAAGAGAAGCTGGTAGGTGGCTGGTTCGAGGAGGGAGGGCGTTAGATTGATCGAGACGGAGAGATTTCGGATTCGGACATGGACAGACTCGACGTCGGCTAGGGAGAGACTTCCGCCGCCAGCCAGCGACAGCCGCCTGCCCACTTGCTTCTCTCGGGCAGTTTGGTCCCCCGACGTGTCTTTCAAGCTGTGTGGGTCTGTTTTCTCTGGCTCTGACAGGCTGTGGGCCACCTCGGCAACGTCTTGGACGGCCATGACCTCGATTAGAAGCGTCTGGCGCCGAGTTCCACGATGCAGCTTTGTTGTATCTTTCTCGTCTGCCCTCGCCAAACCCGTTGTATTTCCTGGAAGAGTGGACGCATATACTCCTCATGTACGAACTACACTCCTAACCGAGGCACGGTCCGAGCCCCCGGGGATCTCGAGGCGGCTGCGGTTGGGTGGACTAACCCGACTCGTACCCCCGCCTTGCTAGTGATGCAAGATCCGTGACGGGACGGGCAGATGAGGTGGAGTCTCAGGGGGGAAAGAGAAAAAAAGAAAATAAAGCTCACAAACTGGGCGGCATAGAGAAATGGCTCGGGTGAGGAAGTAAGTTACCTGTCTCAAGTCGAACAAACATACGTACAGTACTCCGTACCGTAGCACTGGCTCTCATCAGGACTTCGTACATGCGCAGACGTGGTCCCTGTCTATCCCGACTCGTACAGCAGTGGAGCAAACTGCAGCTAAGTATGCTGCTGCCCTTTTGGGAATCCGGTGCTGCACAGTTGACTTGTACACCAACTCTGCAGCCCATTCGTCTTCTCTTTGGTCCTTCTACTGACGGAGCAGTCCACTCTTCCTCAACGCATTTGGCACCATTGATTCGTTGCTCGTCTCGCACTAGAGTTCGTCTTCATGTTGTCATTGACAATTTAATGTGGCGTAGCGTGAAGACGCGCGAGGCATCGACCAACATCAGAGTTGCGTGGCACCGTGGGGGCCCAACAAACACGAGTACTGGGCAAAACCCTCATTTCTTTTGTCCAACGGCCCTTGTCGCGACAGCGGCTGATGATTGGTTCTTGTGGTCTGGTCCTCTCGAACTTGACTGCCTCAAAAAAGGACGTGATGAGCGCCTCAGTATTGCTGTAATTGATGGTAGGCCAACGGCGGGACCAATATGGAGCCGAACAAATGTCCCGGTCGCCAACACATTCCCGTATGGCGCAATAGGCAGCGCGTCTGACTGTTAATCAGGAGGTTGAAAGTTCGAACCTTTCTATGGGAGTATTAGTTAAAGTTGAATTGTTTTTTGGCAAGGCGTTGTGAAAGTCAGTTGTGGTTTTTTTCTAGCTTCAAACTGGACCCGACATCTTACTTTCAAGCATGCTACGAAAGAACCTTGCGCTGCGAGAATTCCCCAATCGAGTATCTCCTGTCTCGACCTCTTTCCCGTATCTTCGACTGCTACTTCATCCAAGCATCTTCAAACGCACAGGACGCGATCCAGCGGCAGCCAGTTTGGTGGTTACTCAACCCCGATTTGACAGCTCATCTAGACATGGATTTGTTTTGAATCCGTCTTCTTGGGATGTTTGACGGATGTGGGGATGGCTGCTTGACAGGTGCGGAGGTTCATGCTCGCCAAGACCAGTATATGTGGTCTACTTCGGAGAATAACATGCAAGATCATTAATGCCATTAATTGGTATTCGACATGAGACAGTAAAACAGGTGGCTGTACTAGCCTGTAGGATGGTGGTGTGCAAGTCGGCTAACGATGCCGGTATCTGGCAGCTCCACGCTTAGAGCAACGCGAAGGGAAGGTAGAAAGGACGATGACGCTGTCGAACTCACCGTCGGGCTCATGACAGCTTGATTCGCCTGGCGAGCTGATCTCTCAACCAGTGTGAATCGCCCAGAAAGGGGTCTATTGACTTGACTCAATTAGGCCTATCGATTAGTATTAAAGGCGATCGAGTGTTGTAATTAGCTCCGCGGAGAAAAGCGGTTAGAGTTAAAGTTAAGAATGGCGGAATACCCACTTATTTGACACCATGTCTTCAGAGCCGTCGAAACAAGGGTAAGAGCAAGGGGCCACTGAAGACGAGAGAAAATACGTCAGCTTTCCAAGTTTCCTCCCAAGAAAGAAAATCATTAATTAATTACTATCTCCTAAACAGCACCAACATATATAGCTACCACCACCACGTCTGGTAGGCATTCCCAGCTGAGCGTTCAGCCATCCAATGCTGGTGCTCTTCTACTGGCAGCCCTACATGACTATGGACGTCCTCTTCGCCAAGACCCCTCCTTGTCCAAGGTCTAGCAGGACAACATGTTCGCCCACACGCAAGACCTTTTCCAGCCGCGGGTCCCGTGTATGTAGCCATAGTCGGCCATGGCCATAAATGCCGCTGTAGCCCACGGCGACAGGTTCGCCTTGGTCGAAAGGGGGTATGCCGTCGATGTAGGAGAAGACTACTGTTGGGTCAATATGGTAAGTACCCTCGCCGTAGAACTCTGATCTGAAATTGCTGAGCCCTGCAGTCGATGTAGCTCCTTGTACATAGTCTTTTCGTGCTCGACCAAGGCTTCGTGGCCTGGCCTGAGAACCACGCGTTGAGAGAGGAACACGGTCGGAAATCGTGGCCGGACTAGCGCCTGGAGGAAGGCTGGCCAAAGCGACATCACCCACATCGCCAGGGTCTCGATTCGACCATGTTCGAGGGTGGCGATAAGGACACTTATTCGGGGCGTTCGGTTCTCCCCCGCATCGACTGCTAAGCTATAAGTCTGGCACTAACGCAGCGGCCCGTCCCGCCCCTCGCCATTACCAGATGGCTCCGTCTAGCCGCACAGGAATGAAGGAGGGAAAAAATCAAGAGGTGGATTAAGGTCTATGTTCACTCCCCTCCTCTCGTCTCAAACGACGGTCCATTTGTACCCCTCCTTCCCCTGGCTGGCCCCTTCCTGCTGCCATGGTCCTTCTTGCTCCATCACACAGTCCTGGACTTGCTCCTCGCCTGCGTGGATCACTCATGTAATGCGAGCATCAAGACGCCAACCAGCACGCCAGCCACGAGCAAGTGGCTAGACAATGCCCTTGCGCCTTATATAATGGTCAACCCCCAGAACGTCGCGCCCAACGCAGTAGTGTCCGATTTGTTGCCGCGCATTGGCGGCATCTAATGCCCGAGGACGAGGCACTCCTGAGGCAAGTGTTCAACGGGCGTAAGCCACTCGATCGAAGCAGCAATGTCATGCATGAATGGCACGCTTGGCTTCATCGGACGCAGATCGGCCCTATTGTCGACCTATTCCCCGAAACATTGCAGGCTGGCTCCCTCGGACTAAGGCTAAGCCAGAAGCTTACCATCTGCATCGTGTCGTGCAGCAGCCCCGGCTGCGTCGTGCTGGGCACTGTCCGGTCTCGCTCCATCACATACGAAGAGTGGACACGATCGAGCCTCGGAGAGTTACAACGGAGAATCCTGGAGGACTTGGCCGAGTACATCCCCCGCCGCGGGCGAGCCGGATGTAATCCGACGGGACATCTGCTGACCACCCAAACGTGACTCCAGCCTAGCCTACGATCACAAGTGCACAGAGGTCTTCAAGTTTGACGGGTTCAACCTACTGGCTCTCAACTTCGTGCTTAGAAGAACAGTCGTTGGACCGCTCATCGCCTCTTACGAAGTTCTCCCATCGTTAACCCCCCTTTCATCCTTTGACTGAAGCCTCCGTTCCACTTGCCACGCCTTCTTTCTTGGGTGGAGGCATATTACGTTTACAGCGGGAGTCTAATGAATTGTCGAATAATTCCGGCCCACACCCAGCGCCCGACTTGCCGCACCTTGTAGACGCTGCTTCCATCCACCGGCCGAAATTATAACCGAACATATTTGCATCGAGGCGGGGTTCATTTGATTGAATCGTTGCATCATGTTACAACTTTCCTCCAAGTTCCTTAATACGCGTCCCCCTAGCCGGTAAATTTTAAGGAAAAGATGCCGCGCTCGATGCTATTGACGAGCACGTAGCCACTCTTGAAGTACGGATAAACGGACCATGCTCCATTAAATGTAACAGTACCGCCCTCCGCGTCGTCATTTGGGTAGACATCGAAGAAACCAACCTCTTTGAAAAGAGAGCCGGTGTCATCCTCGACAATGGTGGAAACGTTGACCATCCGCAGGCCCGAGCCGTAGTTGCTCTGGTACGAGAGGCCGTCAAGTACGTACTGGTTGTGATCGATGGATTTGACCGGGCTTTTGTAGATGCCCGTGAAGACTGGCTTGGTAAGGTCGGACACGTCGACAATGTACGTAGTTGTGTGGCCATCGCTCGCCATGCCCGCAGACTTCAACTCGTCCTGCTCATCATCGAGGAGCAAATAGCGCTGGTCGCTCGTGGCAAGCCAGCCCTGATGAGTGTAACTCGCGCCCTTGTATGTCGTGCGAGACAGCTGCCGCGGCGATGGCCGGTTGGTGATGTCGACGATTGTCAGCGAATCCTCGTTGAAGCAGTGACAGATCTCGCGTCCCTGAAAATCTCGCTGCGGACCCCGATAAATGACACACTGTGCGTCGTGGACGTAGCCGTCCTGGGAAACACAGCCGTTGTCCTGGGGATGGCGGGGATTTGACACGTCAACCATCCATAAGCCCCCCCGACACTTTTCGTTGCGGGCGGTGCCGACAGCGAAGATGGTCTTCGTTTCTTCGTTGGCGACGATGTTATGACTGCTGCCAAAGCCGCTGAAGAGAGCCGCCAGATCGCTGCTAGTGCTGAAGCTTGGCGGGTTCTTGGGGTCTACCTTGAGCAGCTTGGTGAGGTCGAAGATTTGCAGCCCGTGGTCGGGGGCTTCGGAGCCAATGTACGCGTGGTTGCCAATGACTTTGATATCTCGCCAGATTGAAGCCTCCGTCTGCGTGTTCAATCGGCCGAAATATTGCAGGCTGCCATCAGAGAGCACTTCGACAAATGCGGTGCCGTCGGCCTGTCCGACGAGGGCAAACTCGCGTCCGTCAGGCGACGTCCAGCCTGGGTCGAACATTCATGTCAGTGTCACGCAGGTCATGGAAGTCCGCCAGCCTTTGGAGAGGTGAGAAGAGAAACCGAGTTTCTCTTTACTGCGCTGATCGCTTACCCCAGACGTCGTTGCCTCTGCGCGAGCGGCTTTGCATGTCCTGGTGACGGAGAAAACCCTTGAGATCGAGCTTGTTGCATGAATACTCGCCCGCCTTTCCATCCTTACAAGCAGTAGCAGGCTGTAGAATGTAGCGGTCCTTGGCAAAGGCTCCGGCTTGCTCGTCGCGTGCTTGTTGATCAAGCTTCATCCGCTTGCTCTCCTCCATGGATACGGCATTGGGGGCATTGTAAGCTTGGAGATCCGCCGGTCCGACAACGGCCTCGGACTTTGATACCCGAGTCGGGCCTGCCAGGGCGGTACCCGCGAGAGTGGCGAGGACAAAAGAAGTAATGGAGCCCTTCATCATTTCCGGCAAGTGGAAAGTTGTCGAAGCTTGGTGATGTGGCTTTGCAAGACCAAATCAACACACTTGTTGCTTCCAATCGAGCAATTTATGTTATCTGCCGGAGCCCTCTCCATGATACAGTACTTCTAATAATGGGAAGACGTTCTCGCTTGGATGATCAGGGCAGGTCGCGTTCAAAGGCGGCATATGTGGCCAGGGTTGTATTCGGCTAGATTAAAGATAACCAGTGCTCCTTCGGGAAGCTTGGTAACTGTTCGTGGGAGGTCGTGACCAGCATATCCATGTCCCTGGAGTCGAGGAGATTAGGAGGGCACCAAAAACGTCGCGGTGCATCGCCTTTCACACTTGTTTGCTCCAGCCCTTGGAGGGGAAGGGGGTGGAGCAGCCAATTGACACTGCCGCACGGCCGTCACTGATTCCATCCCGTCTTCCGCCACGGCTCCGTTTGGCAAGCCAAACCAGGCCCTTTTAAATCGGACAAACAGGCGTTGTGTGGGGAAGTAATGAGTTGTTAATTAAAGAATTGGGGTCAATATGTGTTGCCTTTGCGAGAAAATAACATAAAGCGAACACTGCTTGATGCCGAGTCTCTGAACATGACTTCCGACGTGTACGATCAAGACGGAGAGGTTAATGCAAGCACCAAGAGCCGCCAATGGGAACGACTAGCCCCCCAGTCATGACTTCATCATCAGAATGGGGCAATTGAGGGGTCCGATTGCACCAGACCAAAGGAGCCAGCTTGGGGTGGGTGTTCGGTCACGCATGAACCCTACAGTTGCATGCACACACGAATATGATCAGGCACAACGCTGCCGATGCAGAGTAAGATAAGAGGTTAGAAGCTGTGGCATTTGCCTGTCAAGCCGTGTCAAGCTACACTGTTCATATTTTGCAATCATGGGCCGAGAAGTCGAAGCAGACTAAAGCGATACTTCTATCGCCAGCGGCACGTCTCTTGACTGCAAGGCAATTTCGTCAGCAGCGTAGACTCCAAGCTTTAGTAGCTACTGCAACAGCTCAGACCAAGGTGGAAGGTGGAGCTTGTGACCATTGAATGCTACCATACATGTGTGGCCAAGGCAGACTTCAACTGTGAGGGCCTCCTCATGCATCTTGGATGGATGGCCTGCCATATCGAGAAGGAGAAATGACAGAGGGTTTCACATCGACTTTCCTCTTTGGCCCAAGTGCGTCTTTGACCTGGCTGCTAGTCACCCCCCGCTACTAGTGGATACGTTGCTCCGGATTGTAAGACGGAGTTGGAGCCTCTGGTTGCTCTTGGCCTCGATGCCCTTTGCTGGAGAAGGGTGGAGGGTCATAAGCCATCACTCGCCCCATCGTTTCAAATCTTGGAGCTGCCTCCATTCTAGCTGTGATCATTCCGTTTTGAGAGGCTCCGCGCGCACACTGAATGTCATTCTCCAGGTTTCTTGGGCAGTCGTTTGCATACACGCTCATTGGACAAATGCCATCCGTTTGGGAGCACTCGAATGGCAGTCACTTCATATAGGGGAGAGTTTGTACATGGTGACGCAAGCTGGATCAAATGACACGAGCCTAATCAGGAGTACGGCTGCGCCCCGATGAATCCTTGGGTCGATTTGGATGATGTAAGGCCGAAAGAACTGCAATGCACAAGCAATACACTCCAACAAATGCCTCTATTAGTGCGGATTATACCTGATTCCCTGATTTGCTCTGCGTGACAGACCCCCTAGGTTGGTGATATTGGCACGGTAGCTGAATCAAGCTTCAAGCTATCCCTGATGCCATTCCCGGAGCACGATAGCGGTTGCTTATCCGTATGTTTAAGAGCATAGTCCACGCCTCTGACTTTTAAGTACAGGCAGCAGCAACCTTATTTAACCTTTTGGGTGTGACTTCAGTAAATTTGAATATAGGCAATTTATCGTAGCTGTAAGGCATAGGTTATGTGAAGTAAACCATCCCTCTCAGGCTTATAGCTATCGGACTAAAAATACCGCTTGACCAGCAAAAGTGGAATGCTCTAACAGATGCCTCCATTGGTGCAGATTATAGCTGATTTCCTAGTCTGCTCTGTCTGACACACCCTCCAAGTTGATGATATTTAGCACTATAGCTAAAGTAAGCATCAAGCCATCCCTGATGCCATGCCTTAGGCCTGATAGGGGGTTGCTTATTCGTGTGGTTGAAGAGGCACGGTCTACCCTCGGACGTTTTGATAGAGGCAGCGGCGACCTCTCCGACGCTTTGCAATAGAGGCACTAGCATCTTCTCTCAAAAGCTTGGTGTGACTTAAATATAGCAATTTAACAGTAACTGGAAGTTGCAAGTTGTGTGGGTCTAACCCTCCCTTCCACGTTTATAGCTTCTAAACTAGATACCGCTTAACAAGGCAAAAGCAGAACGCTTCAACAAATGCCCTTATTAGTGCGGATTATAGCTGATTCCCTGGTCTGCTGTGTGAAATTACCTATACGTTCGCCCCATCTAAACTGATTGTCTTTCTTTCCCTTTCTCTCGTATATTTTACTCCAAACGATCGGCTATATGAAATATAAAACGTCCTCCTTTTTCTAGTTATACCCCGCCCATGTAACCTTCTTTATTTCTATGTTTAGCCAAAGTCCTAGTATCGCCAGATACTATATACTATATACCTGTTAGATATCCGTGGAGTTTCGTCGGATCTACCCGGTGGACCGTAGCATCCTACATTAAGCTTGCAGGGTACGACGGGCGTGAAATGCGGTGCTACACCCTCCACTATCTCTGCAACAGTCATAGTACTGGTGCGTGATGTAGAGAGGTAAGACTTGTCCATTCCTACTGGAGATCATTTGAACTCGACTTTATAGCCTTTGGGTCCTACCTCTTTCTATCTATGAGGGTTGGGCACGTCGTAGTGCATGTAATAACATCCGTTATATTTCTGTCTGCGAAGTAAGGTGGCCGCATGAGACACATCATACATGCCTTTTCCTTTCTTTTTGTCTTGCTGCCTCTTATCTTGAGCCGAAACTTAAAGCTATGAAACGTGGCGGCACCAACGAATCTGTACGGTTCCTACCCTTAACCCTAAGATTTACCAACCAATAAGAGTCATAAACTCAACCTCCAGATCTGCAACAAGGGTCAATCTCAAAAACCTGATCGACGGGATAGGAACGGTGTTGCAGCCAAGAACTGCCGATTGGTGACCCGAGGACGTGGAACTCGAAGGTCGTAGATTCGAAGTTGGCACCGTGTCTTGCAATCAGTAACTATAAGACGAGCGTTGGCAGCGGCAGCTGTCCATTACATTGACCCTTGCAAGATTCCATTATTACTCATTACATCCCCAGACTTTAACTTATCTTCCAGTCAGGTTTACTCAAAACCCCCTTTTTGTCAATTAGCTTCATCTCTCACCACTTAAAGGTAAGTATCCTTCAATTTCATCATGACACTATATAGAGTTATGTTTGACTGTGGGTTCAGTTCCGCACCATGACAAACTCATTTGTGGTACAAGCTAGTATGGCTGTTTTAATAGCACTACTGTATCGACAATACTTCAGAAAGATGGCTGGCCAGAGCCTTCCTCCCGGGCCCAAACCCCTACCAATCGTCGGCAATATTATGGACCTCCCACCAAAAGGGGTCCCAGAGTTTCAGCATTGGCTCAAGCACAAGGAAGCATACGGCCTGATTAGCTCCGTCACCGTGATGGGTCAGACGCTTGTCATCATCCATGACAAGCAGGCGGCTCATCATCTGATGGAGAAGAACTCAATAAAGACTTCAGCGCGGCCGCAGTTCGAGTTTGCGTCCAAACTATGTGGCTTTGGCGAGATACTAGCCAGCCAGCAATACGGTGATAAATACCGCCGGGGACGCAAGATGGTGCACCAACAACTGGGCACAATGGCAGCGGCGACCCGGTATAATGACATTCAAGAAGTAGGGGCGCGGCGATTTCTTCTGCAGGTCTTAAATAAACCGGAGCATTTAATCAAGCATCTCAAAACGTAAGTCCGATTGTCTACAGCTCGAGGAGATAAGAACAAGAGGTGAATACCTCTTTCCCGAGCAGGCTATATCTATTAATTGATCGGCTAAGTATCAGCCAACTAATAACTATATTATAGCGAGATTGGTGCAGTCATCTTAAAAATGACATACGGATATACCATCGAGCGGAATAAGGCTGACCCCTTGGTAAACTTGGTCGAGCGTATGATGACCAATATCTCGCTTGCCCTAGTCCCTCTGGGTTGGTTAGTCGATGTTTTTCCTGCCCTTCGGCATCTACCTGATAGTTTCCCCGGAACGTCGTTTAAGGAGACAGCCCGCCGGTGGAACGAGATTAATCAGGCGGTGGCAGAGATTCCCTATTCATTCGTTCGGCGGCAGATGGCGGCACGTAGCTATCGGCCATCATACGTGTCTAAGCTGGTCCAACAGAGCAGCGAGGGCGACACAGAGTTGAGGCCGAGTTATAACGACGAGAACGCCATCAAGTGGACCGCCGCGACTCTATACGGCGCAGGCGCGGACACTACCGTGTCGGCCCTAAGCAGCTTTATCTTAGCTATGGTTATGTTCCCTGAGGTGCAGAGCAAGGCGCAAGAGGAGATCGACCGCGTGATAGGTATAGATCGGCTTCCCCAATTTAGCGACCGGGATAAGCTGCCGTATATTGAGGGCGTGGTTCAGGAGACATTCCGATGGTCCCCCGTCTCGCCTTTAGGCGTAACTCACGCCGCAACGGAGGATATCACCTATATCGGCTATCTCATCCCAAAAGGGGCATACTTACTTCCTGCAGTATGGTGGTTTTTACATGATCCTAAAGTATATATAAACCCGGGTTCTTTTAACCCTGAGCGGTTCCTGGAGCCGCATATCGAGCCTGATCCTAGGACCGTAGCATTTGGTTATGGACGCAGAGTATGCCCTGGCCGGTACTTCGCTGACTCAAGCGTCTTCCTAACAATCGCGCAAATAATAGCCGCTTTTAATATTAGCAAGGCGGTCGATGAGCAGGGGATAGAGATTGAGGCCAAGCTAGAGGTTATGCCCGGGATGATTAACCATCCGGTAGATTTTCCCTATAAGATTGTGCCGAGGAGTGTAAACAAAGCGGAGCTCGTCCGAACTATTGAGGTCGAACATCATTGGGAGGAGAGTGATGCTGACCTTCTTGAGTATGCTACTGTCAGGACAAGAAAGGGCCTATAATACGCGTTAGTAACACCTCTATTGGGGGTGCCCTCATTTTGCATGGTGTAGCGGTATTTTACCAGCTTGACAGCTACTATGAAAGGGTAATGTGCCGGTTGTAGTCCCTATAGGCCAGATGAAAAATCAGTCGGGAAGCGAAGGAGCAGGAAGACTTGCAGGGTCGGATGCAAATGGTATGCATATGTGAAACCGACCACCCAGCCTTTTAGCCCTTCTACCCCTCTATAAAGACTACGGGGTTTGTCCTTCGCCTTGACGTATATGAGCTCCTTATTTTGGTTCCCCGCTTCTGTGATGGTACCCGAGATTTCGTGTTTCGTATGCCTCGACTATAATAGATGCAGCTCACTCGGAGGCGGCCGCGTGCCTTCCCAGCAGTGACGAAAGCGAAATCCTAAGTGAAGGCGTGGTATTAGAAGCAGCGAAAGGCTACCTTCGGGCTATTCACTTCGCCGCTGGTAAGAGTGAGGGGGTGCTTTTATGGGGAGCCATTAGATTCACGGGTCCTGTTAAGGTCAAGCGGCTCGCTTATACACAAGGTTAGCGAAGAAGATTATATATTATTACTACTATATACTGGGTTTAGACTGAGGGTAAAGCGTCGAGCTGCAGAGAGTTGATCCGTTCAGTGGGTGTTGTCGTGCTCCGATCAGACTGGGTTCCAGAAGCAAGCGACCCTTATCTTCAACCTGAAATAGATTTAACAAGTTTGCTGCAGCCCAAGGAGAGCGGGCGAAGCCAACAGTTTTGATTGATACTCCTCGAGAGCTGGGAGGGAACCCCCTGATGAGAAATCTTCTAGGATCTAGCAACTCCGTATTTTATTGACAAGGGGCTTTGAACCAAGTCGACAAGTCGCAGTTTTGGTTCAAGCGTTTATTGCCAGGCGGCCTATCCTGAACTCCTCGTGTTTGAGAGGTATCAATTGGTGAATTTATATCACCCGCTTGTGACGCAACGCCCCTATCACGGACTCGCCATCACCGAACGCTCATTAGGGATGGTCAGGTTTCTCAACACATCCTTGCTCAAAGGTGTAATGCACAGGATCTCCATGGAATTGCTGATTGCGACTGTCGTCTACCAGAGGGACGAGATACCCGGAAACCTTGAGCTTGGACCTCGCCCTCATCCCCGCCGGATAGGGCATATTCAACAAAATCTGCCATATGCCCCTTCAAGACTTCCATGTCCCCGTGTCCCGTAGCCTTTCCAAAGAAATGCTGAAGTTCTTTGCTGGCCCTCAGGCCATTCAAGTCACCAATGGGGCAAATCAAGGAAGCTTCCGTGGACGGTGTTCTTGGCATTGAGCAACTTGAACCATACATCGGAGTGATTCTTCTACATTGCCTTGCAAAACTCGCTCCAGCCAGGGAAAGAAGTTGTGTTATGGTCCTCAGCGCCCATGAAGAGAAAGGGCCGGGAGACGCCTAGCTTTCTGACTCCTCCCCAGAGCTCCCCATCTAGATTGACGCCACCGAGAATGCTTGGCTTGCTGAGCATGGCCGCTGCGGCGGCAGCTCCCCGAACGATTGGGCGACGTAGACAGCCATTTGAAAGTCGAAAAGTCCATGACGAAGGATGCATCAACGTCGAGTCCGCGAGCCTTGGCGTCATCATCTCCCGAGTCCCTACCTATGCGACCTCGAAAGACAAGCTCGCCGTTTGCAAACTGAACCACGTCCGTCTCATAGAGGTGGTCCATGGCGATAACTTCAAAGCCCATGCTGGCCAAGTGCTGGGCCATAGCCGAGTAGAATAGCCGCGATATATTCAATCCCGTCCCATAGAGCAATTTGGGAAATCGTTGGCTCGGCGAATGGCGCCGATGAACCTTGCAGCACAGCGCCAGCTCCAAGCTCGAAAGGATGCCCTCCGGCCAGCCAACAGACCCGAGGTAGGCGTCCAGAACTGCATCCTCGATGGATGCTATGTCCGGAGGCATGTACGGCTCACGACATGGCTTTCTGCATATCGAGTTAGGAACAGGTGAGAACTCGGAGACCATCAAACGTCTCACATGCGAGGAGTTGAAAGGGTCCAGCCGACTTTGGTCGACAAGCTCAGAAGACTCCATTGGACCAGGTACGAAGACTGGGGAGGGGGAAAGAAGGTGGTTAGAGCTGTCGCCGGCAGGAGAGCCACAAGACACACGTGGTGATGCTGAAGACACTATTTGTAGTATCGGATTTGTAAGAAGATGTTGGGACCACACAGCGCCACGATGTTTTCTATCTTGCGTGAGGCTCTATTTTCACTTTCTACTCGCAGACACCAGAGTAAACCCTGGGTAGATTTCCCAAAGCCGACCTGGGTCTGAGAGCTGCGCGCCCATCTACGTAGGCGTCGGTGAGTCCGACTTGACGAAGAGAGGCAAAGAGACCGTTTTAACAATACGGCCTGCGCTTGAGGTCTCGAGGGTCATGGGGAACAAGAAGGTCGTGCATGGACACGACCTTGCCTTGCGGTTGGAACTCGATATGATGGACGCTATCCTAGTTCAATCGAGCAAAGCATGCCAAGTTCTGCAGCCGTCGGATCCATCTATGTAAGTTACACCACGTGTACGACGTGGTACCGTCTGGTGGGTGTGCTTTCAAAGTGTAATGGGTTCGGAGTAAGTTACTCCGTAGAATTGTCGGCATGTGAGTACATGCACAGTATTCGTAGGCGTTGCTTGTTTTTCAAGCATTCCTAGACGCGGATGGGCTGCCCCACGTAACAAACGGCATTGGAAAGGTGGTTGTGATGTGAAGGTAGGAAAGAATCCAGTGGAAAAAACTCAGGGAGCGGCAGTGGCCGGGGCGCGACGGAGTGCCAGTGCCTGAGATGGAGGGCGGGCCCCCCATCCGCTGCAGGACGGAAGACCCGCAGGCTCCATCAGGGACTGGCAAATATAGAAAATCTGCGTCATATCGCACTCGGTGTCTTTGTCGAGCCTTCAGGTCAAGCATATATTGAGGAGGTGTTGGTTGGATATCCCATATCGACGACTCGAACTCGTCGAGTGTCCAATTGCTGTGCGCGCCGACGACGACGCCTGACGACGACGCCTGCACAGGCCATCGGTCTTGCCTCCAGTCCTTACCCCTCTCCTCAGCTCCTCAGACAACGTCCACAATATGGCAGCTCATCAGAGCGGCGGCCACGAGGCCCTGCAGCCGATCCATCCGTCCATTGCGGGCAAGCTGGACCCCGTCTTCGAGCAGCTGTACAACGACAACGTGGCCAACACGCCGCTCAGGCCCATCGACCTGGGCGAGCTGCGATCCAGGTACTCGGTCCTCTACAGCTACGGCACGGGGCCGGCCCCAGACGTCGGCCGCGTGTACGACGACCAGATCCCGCTCGACGACTCGAGCATCGACGTGCGCGTCTACGAACCGCCGTCCCAAGGGCCCTGGCCCGTCCACGTCGACTTCCACGGCGGCGGCTGGGGGCTGGGGGACCTTGACACGGAGGCGCACATTTGCAGACACATCTGCCGCAAGGCCAACGTGGTGGTCATCGACGTGGCGTACCGGCTGGTGCCCGAGTTTGCCTTCCCGACGGGCATCACGGATAGCTTCGCCGCGCTCAGGTACATTTACGCGCACGGGGCGTCCCGGTTCAATATCCGGCCGGACAGCATCTCGCTGGGGGGCGTCTCGGCGGGCGGGTGCATCGCGCTGGCGCTGGCGCACCTGGCACGCGACGAGGCGCCGGGTCCCATCCCGCTGCGGCTGGTGGCGGTGGGTACGCCCGTTATTGACGACCTGTCGCAATACTCGTCGGCGGGAGAGTCGCCCTTTGCGTCGATGCAGGAGAACGAGATGGCGCCGACGCTCAACTGGGCGCGGCTGGCCTGGTTCGACCGGCTCAAGTGGTCATCGCTGCCGAGCGATCCGGCGGAGCACCGGGCGGCGCGGGAGAGGGCCGGGTGGTTCGCCAACCTGCTCAAGGCGGCCAGCCACGCGGGGCTGGCCAGGACCGTCGTCTACACGGCCGGCGCGGACCCCCTGCGCGACGAGGGAGAGCGGTATGCGCAGCTTCTGGTCCAGAATGGCGTCGAAGTGACGGTGAGGCGCTTTCCGGGCGTGCCACACCCGTTTATGCACATGGACAAGGATCTGTGGCAGGCCCGGGAGTTTATCGACCGCACAGCTCGCGAGATTCGGCTTGCGCACTGGGAGCTCTAGTAGACATACGGCGGGAGTTGATGAAGCACGCAGGCAGGCATACTGTACAGTACGCTCTGTACTCTGTAGATGCAGTCTGCACGTTACATGTCTCATTTATGGATATTTTCTCTCCTCTTCTGTCAGCTGGTTTGCTGGGGGGTCTTGCGGTCAGACGGGCGTTGAATCTGAGAGATGAACCCCCCCTCTCTCTGTTTGAACGGACGGGATGCTTGTCATCAGATGGAACCTTCCTTCTGCCAATCCTCGTCTGCGCCAAAGCGATGTAACAGCAAAGAGGGAAGAAACAGGAGGATGAGGGAACAGACCACTTCCTTGACGGGACGCGGCCTTGACGGAACGCGGCCCCGCCCATCCACGTTCCCGGCCGTCCCCACGGGCTCTGCACGTACTGTACTCGGTAGGTACTCGATACAATAGACTTTTCCGAGCCTGCGCTGTGCCTAGGTACTCTGTACCCGCATAGGAAAGGGCAAGTACCATTGATGTGTCCGCGACATGTAGGGCTGTCAATGATCGCACGGGCTGCTGCTGCTAACTATAGGAAAGCCAAGCCTGTTGGATCTTGCTTTCAAACTGCCTGCCACGAGCCTCTTGGCAACAACCCATGTTATCAGGCTAGGGGGGGGTACACGGAATATCGCACAGTACTCCGACGCGCTGCTTTATTAGTAGGGAGCATGCCTTGCTGGGCTCCGTTTTCCGTCGAAGCCCCCCCCCCCTTTGCCGCCCGCGACGACCAACCACGGGGCCGGTAGTGTCTCGCAACGCGGCGGACAAGGATGAAGGAGGAAAGGAGAAGCAGGGGCGGGCTCAGCCGGAGGAGAAAGAGTTGGGTTTATTGCTATGTCCTGGTCTGTGGCGCTCTGTGCCGGCCTGATTTTGTGTGCGACCCTGGGGTCGTCGTCTGTTCCACAGGCTGCCGGGCAAGGCGACTGAGCTAAGTACAGTATGGCATATCTGCACGCACTGCCCCCCTCGCTCTCGCTTTCCGAATACTGCACCGTGAATGTACATCTACTAGGTGCTGTGCTCCTTGCATTCACGGATGCCCGTTACAAGGGCTTATTAGGGGGGCCTTGTGCAACTGTGGTTTCCCTTGCTTGCCAGAAGCAAAGTTACTGTACTCCCCTAGAAACTAACCGCAGGCGTGAGGGCAAGGGGGGATTGATGAAGCTCCAGGCGAGCAGCTATCCCAGACTTGGTACGTAGATTCGGGGGATTCGAGGGTACAAACACATCTTGACCTTGGTTTCGTGTCCAGCTTCCAGCTGAGGATACCCTTTGGCCGTCAAGGAACTGGGACGGCAACAAACCATTCCAGGTGCTCGACAGGAGCACATGCTGGTGTATGTATACAGATGGGCCTGCAGCCGACTCTACAAATACACAAATGCCCCTCAGTTCCGTCAGCCCGAGGAGGCGCCTTTACTATCATCAAAGGGCTGCAGAGCTTTGGCGGCCGGCAGGAGGTTAGGTGCATTTTTACCGTGCGGCCCTAGTGCAGACGACGAGGAGAGAAACAGAGAGAGAGAGGGGGGGGGGAGGCGGAGAAATGATGCTAACGTATTCGTACTGTATTCGTACTGTACTTATAAGTATCTGTACTTGGTCGCGGCGCTTGCAACGCCAGCCACAAGCCAGCACCGAGTGCCGACTGTCAACACAGCTGCCACGGGCGCTGGGCCATGTCGCGGCCCCCAACTGCGAGACCCGACATTCCGTGCGCGCGGGAGTATCCATCGAGTACCGGCAGCGACATGTTTGCCCGCGAGAGCTGGCGAAAGGGATACCAGCCCAGCACCTCGCACCGTGTCTCGCTCGTCCTCTCGCACTGCCGCAGCACCCGATGACGAGGTACTGTACCTACACGGCAGCGCTGACGCCCCCCGCCCCCCGCCCCCCCCCTTCCCCTTGCGAGGTGCCCTCTGCAGGCTCTCAGGTCGTCCCTCTCCAGAGGGGACCCATACCAAAAACACCAGACCGTTTCTCCCACCGCCGGAGAAGCAGCTTCCCCTCCCAAACCATGGCCATATGACCTTTTGATAATCAACTCAAGCGCCGTCATCCACTCAACCGTCCTTGGCCGCTCAGAAGCAACGACGCGACAAAGCCGGCATCGCCGCCGCCCTTTGCGCTCCCGTCTACTTGGGGCCCCTCCATTCGACCCATGGGCTCCGACACGCGCCCCGTCTGCCATCGCTGCGCCCAGATTAAGCAGGCTTGCGATGGCAGCCTGCCCTGCGCCAGGTGCGTGCGCCTGAGCCTGCCGTGCCGTCCGCGCAACTCGTCGGCCGGCTCGAGCGACGATGCCCAGACCGGCGACATGCCCAAGGCCCGCATACGAAGAGTCCAGACGGGATGCCTCATGTGCAAGCGCCGCAAGAAAAAGTGCGACGAGACCAAGCCGCGATGCGGTGACTGCCGCCGACTATGCCTCGACTGCGAGTGGCCCCCCGAGCGGCACTCCAGGGCCAGGGCCGCTTCCGCCGTCGGCGCCCCGGACGTAATGGCCCATGCCGCCCTCGGCGCCGTCGTCGCCGGCTTCATGCCCGCAAAGCCCGAGGTGGCCATGATGGAGATTCCCATCCGGAGCACCCCGAGTCCCGTCTCCACGCCCGCCAGCGCCCGCCACAGCAGCCCCGGCAGTTTTGCCGATCACGTATCCCACCACAGCCTCACCTTCGGCCACCAGACTCTGGACCACCAGCCCATGGCCGCCATTCCCATGCCCCCGACGACTACAACCATGGCCGGCGAGATGGCCCTGGAGCTAATGAGCCCGGACAGCCTCTCCTGGGACATGGCCAGCTCCCCGCAAGGCTGGATCGAGGCCATCACCCCCGTCAGCAACGACAGCCCGGCTGCGTCCGTCGACTCGACGCCCGTCTCCTCCTTGTCGCTGTACGTTCCCCAGCTGCTCCCCCAGCTCCACGCGCCCCAGGACAAGGCGCTACTCAACCACTACTCTACCATCGTCTCCGCCATCCTGTCGCGACGCTGCTCCTCCAGCAACCCCTATAACCACTACCTCCTCCCCTTGGCCCAGGGCAACGACCTCGTCCTGCACTGTATCCTGGCCCTGTCGGCCAACCATTGGCGCAAGCTGCAGCCGTCCCTGGGTGACCGTGGGCTGTACCACAAGAGCAAGGCCACGCAGGCCCTGGCCAGGCTTCTACCGCACGTCGACAAGACCAGCGCCGACCTTGCCCTCGTCAGTAGTCTGCTGCTCTGCATGACGGAGCTTTTCGACGGCACCAGCGAGGGCTGGAAGCTGCATCTCAAGGGCGCCAAGCGCCTGCTCATGACACTCAAGAAGCAGCAGGGAGACATGATGACGGGCCACTACAAGTTTCTCCTGCGGCTGGCCCGGTTCCTCGACTCTGCAGCCACAACGTCCACCTGCCGGCCTCCGCTCATCGGCGAAGAGGAGGCCGAGGCCGCGGCGCTCGACCGGATGACGTCGTCGCCGGATGAGGAGGACTCGGCCGTGTACGGCATCCCCAAGGAACTGTTCCACCTCGTCGACCGCGTCAACACGCTGGCCGACCTGCGGAGCACCCGCGTCGATCCCGCCTCCGAGGCTGCGTTTCGAGAACACGCCCAGGAGATTGAGGAGCGCATCAACAACTGGTCCTTTGAATACGGCGGCATGTCACGCGCCGCCTGGACCTTTTCGCCTGCCAACGACGACGTCTTGTACGCCACGATGGCTTTCGAGAACGCCATCAGGCTGAGGCTGCATCAGATCGTCGAGGGCTATGAGCTCACCGATCCCAAGGTAGGCCAGTTCGTCGAGGGCATCGTAGACGCGGTGCAGAAGATACGGTACGGCAGCCCGCTCGAGTCCTGCCTGGTGTTTCCCCTCGTCATGGCCGGAGGAGCGTGCTGGAAGCTGGAACACCGTGTTGTCATCCAGGACCGACTGCTGATTATGGAGAGAACGTGCGGGTTTGGATACATTTACAACGCCAGAGACCTGGTCGAGCGGGTGTGGTCGAGGCGGGACCAGTCGGATGGAACGGGGGACATTGTGAACTGGGCGCGCATACGGTACTATGAGATGAACGGGCTCGTTTTGTTTTAACGTGCGGGCAGCGGATCTTGGAGCAGTTGAAATACTAGCCGTGATTCACAACGAGGGATGGGCGGCGTCGCCCACGAGCCCCTGCACAAGCTCCGCCAGGTGAAGGTGCATGTCATAGCCACACACTTCTTCGATGGTGAGCTTGCCTGGTCGGTCGCTGGCGGTGCTCCAGCCGATGCGCTCCGTGATGTCCAGCCTGGCTCGCTTGCTGGCCTCTTGTAAGCGCGTCGCGCGAGGCCGGCGCACCTCTTCATATAGGCGCAGCTTCTGAGCAATGGTCAGGAAGGCATAGCGCGGCGAGAAGAGGATGCCCAGCGCACCGGCGTCCTCGATGGCCATGCAGGCGCCCTGGGCCTGGTCGGGCATCATGGGGTGCGCTGCGTCGCCGACGAGACAGCAGCGGCCCTTGACCCAGTACGGGTATGGATCGTGGTTGTAGAGGCGCCACATTTTGATGTCCTGGGCATTGCGAAACAGAGTCTTGAGCCGGTCGTCGAGGCCGGGAAACGTGTCTGCGAGATTGGAGCCGGTCGTCGACACGTCCCAGCCGTCTTCCCTCAAGTCGTTCTTGTCGGCCGGATAGAAGCAGTAGCAGCTCACGACGTCTTGGTTGGAGCAGGCACCCATGACAATCTTGTCGATGCCGTCGCCGCCCCAAAACTCAACGGCGCCACTGTCGCAAAACTCGGACAGGCCGAGCTCGCGCAGCCGGTCGGCGGGGATGATGCAGCGGTAGCAGCACGACGTCGAGGGCGCGACGTGCGGCTCGATGCCGAGCTGCTGGCGCATCTGGCTGCGGATGCCGTCGGCGCACACGACGACATCATGCGTCGCCTCGACGCCGTTGTCGAACAGTATCTTTCCCCGGACGGGATCCAGGCCCACGGCTCGGTGCCAGAGCTTGAGGACAGCCGGGGTGCCGCCCCCCTCGTCCGCCATGGCCACATGCTTGAGGCGCTCGTGCAGATCGATGCGGTGGAAGTTGTTGTAGTCTGTCCCGAACCGCGCCCGGTAGTCGCCGAGGGGGTATGTGCCGGTGACGTGTCCGGTGTGCCAGTCGTGTCTGACGAGACTCTGGAGAACCACGGGCTTGGCCGCCGCGATGTCCACGCCCCACTCCTCGAGGAAGCGGGAGCCGTTGGAGGCGCACGAGAGCGAGGCGCCAACCTCGCCAGAAAAGTCGTAGCGCTCGTAGATGGTGACGCGCTGGCCGGCCCGGCGGAGGGCGATGGCGGCCGCGAGTCCGCCGAGACCGGAGCCCACGACGGCCACGTCGTACGGGCCGCGCCCCGAGCCGTCGCCGAGGCTCGGCATCGCTGCCAGAGTTCGGGGTGTTCCTTCTGTGCCAATCTGGGCCGGTGACGAAGTGACTGGCGCGCGTTTCTGTGCGAGCGATTCTCTCTGTAAGTGGATGTTAGTAGATTCTTCACTCGCTTTCTTTTCTTTTAGTGGATTTCTCGCCTCGAACTGCCTGGCGTGGAGCTAGACGCGGAGAGGGAAAAGAAAAATCATGGCCAAGAGGCCACACGCAACGTCGGCACGAAGCGGTTTTATGCCGATGCGTCTGTTGAGACAGCGCCAGCCCGCGCGAGGTGAGACGGTCATGATAAGAGGGTCGAAGGCCAGGCTTGGCGGTCGCTTGGGCGCTCATCCATGCTGGGCGCGGGCAGCACGTCGCTCTAAAATGCCGCACAAGAGAGCAAAGACTGACGAGAAGGAGCCCGGCGATGGCTTCCTCCCCGCCTTGGGCCCCCCAGCCCAGTCAAGCCCCTTGCGAGAAGAGTGTCCGCGGCCGGCGAGATGTGGCAGCAGCGGGCTTCGCTTTACGCCTTATGGATCCAAGACAGGTCAATGCGGCGGCCCCATGGCATGGGAGGAGGGTCAGGGCCGTTTGGGTCCGCGGGCACCAACAAGGCCGCGCTCCCGAGTCCCGGCCCGGGCTATGTTTGCGACGGCGACATTTCCGTTTAATGGTGTGTCGACGCCGATGACGCATGCTTGCAAAGCTGGGGCGCGGGTCGCTCTCCGTCCGTACGGGACGGCGCACGCATGACCGACGCCGCGCATCGCACAACGTACGTATGTGCATTGATATATCCTTGCATGCCGACCAACTGCAGCAAAGGGTCGAAATGTCGTATGCCGACGTAGCAAACATATAGGTACGGACATGTATAGTTATGCTGGCGGTCGACGAGGAGCATCCGACGGCTGTGTTCGAAGTCCAATGAAAACCGTCGCTGGTGCATTGCTGCGCCGGAGCCAGGACAAAAGAGCCCTCCGTCTAATCTCTAATCACCGTCAACTTTCTCTGTACATGCAGTTGCGCGGGCGCGTTGCTGTGCATAGCAGTCGCCGGGTCATATGGTCGGCCGAACCGACGGACCACGGTCTCGAGGGAACGGCAGGCTTGGCCGCCGCCGCATTGCCAAGCGGGTCCCCGCGACCCTCATACTGGGCTTCGTCGTGCTCCTTGGCACAGCTGCTGCTCTCCAGCAACGACAGAGGGTGGCCTCGGCGTGCACACCGCATGCCCGTGGTCAAAGTGTCTGTTGCTTCCCTGGTCTCTCCCGCCGTCATCATACATGCATCAAGTAGAAGCAGCACAAAAATCGGGGGCTCGAGACTCTCCGTTCAGCCTTATCGCGGGAAAGGAAGACGCACGAAGAAGCGGAGCAGGGTTCTCTCTGGACGGATGAAGAAGAGGCGTTCCGCCGGTGTAACCTGTCAAAGGGGAAAGGGTGGGGGGGTTGTCCACGCAAAGCGACGGAGGACGGTGTAAAGGAAGATGCTGACCGCGGAGCTTGCTGCCAACCGACAACCTCGTCGTGCCGCGTTGCTAGGTTCTGGTGGGACCTAGGAACCATGTGCTCGCCCTCGACGGTTGGACCAGCGGGCCCACCGCTTGCTTTTTCCCCGTCTAGTTTCCTCAGGTCATTTTTGCGACTCTCCGTACTCCGTACGTAACTATCCCTACACTTGTTGTTACAGCGAGTCGAGCAGGCGTGGCCAGTGGCTATGCACTCGTATACGTGTTGATGTCTTGAGCAACTAGGCGGCAAAGGGAGGCACAAGGTCCGTATGTATCCAGCTTTGAAGCTTTGTGTGCTTGTTCTGCGGCCTATTAAATCCGTCTTCAGCGTCACCGCTCATACAAAACGGCACCATGCTTTCCCTTTTCAGGGGAGAATCGGACTCAAACCAGGACATGCGCAAAGGTACAACAAACACGAGTGCAAGTACATACCTACCTTGCATTCCAACACGTGGTGTGCAACGTCTTTTGACGCCGCTTGTTGTCGCCACCGTCGGTTCCGGGATGAGGCTGGTCGATGCTGGCTCTCGCCATCGTCGCGAGGTGGCCGAGGCAAGCTGAGCCGCCTCTTATTTAGCCGAACAGGGCGGGACATGGCGCTTCTCGACGGTTTCCCGGCAGCGGCGCCGTCCGCGGCTCGTCGTCGTGCTTTTTGGCCACATCAGCATAGCTGAGCCTACGTCGTCCTTCTGTCATTTACGCAGTCCCCTGCTGCATACTGCCCATCGCTTGGGTGAGCCGTGTCCGGTCCGCGGCCCGGGACCACGACCCCGAGCTTGGGAGCGACCTGGCCGGCGCCGCGCAACCTGTCCCCGGTCCCTTTAGGTCCGACGGTCTAGCCCCGGCTACGCGTCGCCCTGGTAAAGACCTGAAAACTGAGGAACATTCAAACGTGGACACGTGTTGCGTGGCTGGGGATCTTCGCCTTCATGCTGTAAGTCGGATGCCTTGTTGTGAGAGCTGGTACTCTTTTCATGCTGTCTATTTCAGTTGCGGGAAAAGAGACAAGGGCTTTGAGATGCTTGCTCGGCATTGTTCATTTTACCTCTGCCGTCTCCGGCCACTTGCACCATCAACTGCTCTGTGTGAGCATGGTAGGTCTCCTGGCATACACGAACCATGTAACGTGGTCATCAACTGCGCGTCATGGAAATATGCCTTTAATCGATCGTAACCTGTTTTCAATCACGATGAAGAGACCAGCGATTTTGACACCTTGTATAAGGCCCTTGTATATCACTGGCAGCTCCAGCCCTGCAGGACTCCTGTGCCCACGACTAGGCGTTGCTGCGAACTGGAATAACAATAAAGAATCGGAAAGACGAGATCACTCTCGGCTGAGGTGGAAGGTGCTGCTGTTTAGATGGAACTAAAGACTTACACACGAAATACAGGCGTACGAGACGCGAGAATGTGTTCTCGAAGGGTCTCAAGACCGTGAGCTCGCACACACTGATGGATGCAGGTTCACCCACACAGCATTGATCGAAATACCACTCGGCACGGTTGACCAGCAGGGTCGTGCCTTGTCAGTCTGGTCATGTTGTCCGCGAATCAGCCAACTTTCGTTGCAGGCACCACCTTCATCATGACTCGTCGCGGAACGGGCATGGCCTTGACGCATAATGTACTTCCCCGCATCTGCTCCGCTTTCAAATCTTTCCCTGTCAGTTCTGCCCTTTCGCTCTTCTTTTGCGACGGCATCTCTAGAGAGAGGTCCGTTGAGGACGAATATCTTACCGGGGGCGAGGGTGGAGCTCTCATCGACCCGTCCGTCATGCCGGCTTGTCGTCATGAGGAAACGGCAGGCCGCGGATATCGGCCGAGAGCGAGTGACGAATGTTTCCGAGCGGAAAAGCATGCATGCCAGCCCGCCGGCGGCAGTGAGCGGTAGACTTGCAAAGACGTGCATGCAGTCTTCGCACTCCGTACATACATACATGTCCGTACTTTCGTAACTTACATTTATCCACACCCGGAACACGGAGGGAGGGACGCATGGATATATGAATGCACATACGAAGAGTCCGTGCACGGCGGGAGAATGCAGAAACAGGGAGGGAGAGACATGAGGTGCACGCAGGTGCATGCAGGTCGTTGTAGAACGGCGTCTACTGTAAGGTGGGAGTGTATGCGCAAAACTGCAGTCCCGTATGCGCATGTCACTCCGATGGCGTGCGTGGCTCACGAGTCATGACGCACATGCCGGTGATTTTCTAAAGAGCAAGGCCGCGATGGTGGTTAATTTACCAGCCGTCGAGGCTGCAGCGGGCGAGTCCGCCGTCCGTTGAAGCTTTGCGAATCAAGGTCTGGACTTCTTCGGGCACTGGCATCGACTGGAGAGAAGCCGCCTGCACCTGCTATTGATAACCGGCTGTTACTCAGCGGCAAATCAAACCGCTCAAGTAAAAGGCGGAGACGCGGTTTATTAATGCTTTCCTTGGCAACTCAAGCAGTTTTCCCCCAACAGAATGCGAAAGTCTGTATGTAGGAGCCCGACCACCGATCGACAGCTGGCAGCACCAGCTAAACAGCGCGGTTCATCAGCAAAAGGAAAAGCAAAAGACATCATAGCGTCGCATCGCATCGGGCCAGGCCCCCTGTTCCTCGACCCCGAGCTTTGGATCCCGGCCGGGTGCGCCAATGCGGATCCGCCGCCCGTCGAGCTTCGAGAAGGGCGTTGGAGAAAAAAAGGCGGAGAAAGGGGGAAAGGACGGAGCGCTCCCATTTACAGCGTCTTCCTCTCACTCTCGCGCGCGCGACTCTCCCCGATTCCACACAAGCCATGACAACTCAGCCCCTTTTGCGACGGTTGCAGTGCGGGACCTTGGCTTCCCGGCACCACGTATTCAACTTGCCCACCTAGAAAAAAGTGGGAGAAATTTGGAAGCACGGGGGGGGAACGGCCCATGCGCGCCCGTCATTCGCTCCATCTTGCCCAGCCAAGAGGGCCTGCGGGATGGGCACGAGAGCTCGTTGCTGGTCCCGCGGGGCGGATACAGACTGGCGACGATGACGACGATCAAGGTGGATGCCATTGTTCTGTCCGATGGGGCTTCTTGGTAGCGCTGTTTGTGTCAGGGCTTGAATCATGCTCAAATAATCACCTGCTACCCTCGCTTGCCCGTGTCCGCCAGAATATCATCTTCATCCTCGAGCAGCGCGGCGAATCAAAGGAACAGCAACATCCACAACAACAAACTCGACGATATATTTAGTATCTGGCGCAAATCCCCCCAAAAGCGGTCTTGGTCCGAAGGCGGCCGTTGGCTGTTGAGACGGATTGACACGTCGCTCATCGCCTATTCACCATCGCCATCATGCCGTCCAAGGTTGCGGCGCCCATCATGCCACCCGCCACCGTCGTCGTCACGGGGGCCAACGGCTTCATAGCTCAACACTGCGTCGCGGCTCTTCTCAAGGCCGGCTACCAAGTCGTCGGCACCGTCAGGACCGCCGCCAAGGCGGAGCTGGTGACGACGACGCACGCCTCTCATCCAAACCTCGATGTCGTCATCATCCCGGACATCACCTGCCCCCGCGGATACATGAAAGCCCTGGCCTCGCACTTACCCATCGCCATCCTCCACCTGGCCGCCCCCTTCCACTACAAGGCCACCGACTTCGAGAGGGACTTGATGGTCCCGGCGGTGCGTGGATCCACGGCCGTCCTCGAGGCGGCGGCCCAGATGAGGAGCGTCAAGAGGGTCATCCATACTAATAGCTTCGCCTGCATCTACGACGCCGCCGCCGGGCCCCGGCCGGGAAAGACGTACACGGCCCACGACTGGAGCCCCCTGACCTACCGGGACGGCGCCAGCGCCCCGGATGCCCCGACCGCCTACCGGGCCTGCAAGACGGCGGCCGAGCGGGCGGCCTGGGACTTTGTCGAGGAGCGGAAGCTGGGCTTCGACCTCGTTAGCTTGTGCCCGGCCATGGTCTTCGGGCCGTTGCTGCCAGGGTCAAAGCCCATGTCCATGGCGTCGCTCAACACAAGCAACCTGCTCGTCTGGTCCGTCGTTTGTGCCGGGCGTGATAGCCCTGTTCCGCCCACAAAGGGTCCCGTCTGGGTTGATGTCCGGGATGTCGCCCTTGCTCACGTCAAGGCGCTGGAGGTGGCCGAGGCCGGCGGCGGCCGGTACCTGCTAGCCCAGGGAGTCTATTGCAACCAGGAGCTGGCGGATCTGAGCCGCAGCGTCACCGCAAAGTACGCGGACCGCATCCCGCTCGGCCGCCCTGGCCTGCGAGAGAGTCACAAGCACTTTTCCGTCGATGCCACCGAGACGGAGCGCGTGTTAGGCTGGAGATGTCGGGGGCTTGAGGAATGCCTTGGAGACCTTGTCCCTCAGCTATTTGAGATTGAGCGCAACCAGGCACTCTAATCATAAGCCAATACAACTGGTATGTGCATTTACAGTTCTCACTAAGCGCTGTGCAACGCTCGAAGCGAGCTGGTAATGAGGTCTGTGACCGATGGTCTACGTTGCACGGTGGTTGACGACGGACGAACGTAAAACCGCTGCGGTATGGGCGTCACTTTGTGTGTTTACTATCTAGACGATGAATTCCCCTGTATCTGGGCGCCGCAATCATCAACATCTTGTAACTGTAGCTATTCTCATGTTGTCGTGCTTGATCATGTCATTACATATATAAGCCACCTTGCTGGCTAGACGACCTTTTCAACATGAACGGGCGGTTATTCCCCAGTTGTTGCACGTGCCCACACGAGCCCAAGGATACTATTTTGCCAGATTCATACAGGACGCCGGCAGAAAAATAATCAGCGAGCAGAGCCCTGTTGACTGTATTCTTACGAAGCGCGCTGTAGGCCTATGGACGATTGATGTGAGTGCAAAAAACACCTTGTGTCTCTACGCCTCGCCTTCGCCTTCATGATTTTCCCTGTGCTCTCTGGCGTTCGCGCCGCTGCCCGGCCCGGCCCGTCCGTCGACTTCATCGAGCAGACGTCTGACGGCAGTGGCAACATGACCGCCTGCGGCATCTACGCGCCGGTGGAATTCTCTCGTGTTTTCGGTCGCCAGCAGGCTGTCGCTGGCAAAGAGTAACGACACTTCTTCCAATGACTTGTTGGCTGTTTCTGGAAACAGGAGCCAAACGACGGGCACGGCAGCAATGTTGATCGCTCCAAAGAAGACATAAGTGCCGTAGGTGAGCCTGCTAAGCATGATGGGGATGAGGAACTGAGTCGATCCGCAACCCGTCGCCCACCCAAAGATGGTGAAGCTGTAGCCTTTTGCTCGGATCTCTTGAGGCCAAATTTCTGTGCCGTAGATCCAGCAGGGGATAAGGTTGAACATGGTAAAGAACCTTGTCATCAATTCGTGTCAAGTCAATAAGCCGGTGCGAAGTACGAATAAAGTGCAAACTTACCGTATATATAAAGACAAGTGAGGCTGCTGCTGCCCCCTGCCGGAGTGACAGGCCCTTGTCCGTAGCTGCAGCATCCTGGCAAGATTTGATAAGCGCCGCCACCAAGAACAAGGCAGTTGCTTGTATGACGAAGGAGGTTATGAGCGAGTTGACGCGACCCATTCTGTCTATCACGAGAGATGCCGCCGCAGTTCCAGGCATGCCCAACGTGTTGACAAGACCGGCCAGCCAAAGCGACTTATTTGAGTCGGAACCGGCGAGGGTGAACAGCGTCCCGGCCCATGTCACAATGGCAAGTATTCCCGACCATTGTTGGATCCATTGAAGGGCCAATCCCAAAGCAGCACGTCTCCCGAGGTGCAGTCTTCCCGAGTAGCGGCCGCCGAGTACGACGTTGATAAGATCGTTGCGCTGATGGTGCGTTGCTTCTACAATAGCATCGAGCCGCTCTACTTCGTTCGTTATCCCAGCGTCCACCGGCGACAGATCACCACGAAGTTTGCAGAGAATCTCTATCGCCTGTCCTCGCTGGCCGTTGGCAATGAGCCAGCTCCAGGGTGTTAGCAGATCTCGAACATGGGCCCAACAGGAGGCGTGGAAGCGGGAAAGAACAAGATGGCATGGAGCCGGGATCCATACCGAGGGGACTCCGGCAGGAAGGGAAGCGCAGCATCCACCACAAGAAGGGGAACCACCATCCAGGCAAGGGGGAACCTCCAACGAAAGTCCGCGTTGGAGTTCCGTATGCCAATATTAACCCAGTACGCAATGACAATGCCGAGGTAGTTGGCCACGAAGACGAGCGAGAAACTGGAGCCGCGGTTGTGCGACGGGGAAAGCTCGCTGACCCAAGGCAGGATGACGGCATTCATGAATCCGATGCCAATGCCAGCCACGACTCGTGCGCAGAGGAACATGTCCGGGCTCCGGCTGGCGGCCTGCAGGGCAGCGCCGAGGATGCCAAAGATGGTGCCCACAAACACTCCGCGCTTCCGCCCGACCTTATCGGCAACCCATCCTGCAAGTCATGAGCCTCAAACAGTTGGGTTCCAAGAGTCTGGCACTCATCATGCCATCCAGGGCGCATCATACTGCCTACAAAGCATCCCCACATGGCGCCAAAGTAATAGGCCGCGGCAAGGCCTCCTTGCTTTGTCGAGTTGGTGACGACCCCATCTCGGCCGATATCGGCCATGCGGATGAAGCCGGGCGTCTCGCTAACAGCCCCAAAAATACCTTGGCTGTAGCCTTGAAGACGCACTTGTCAGTCTCAGATATCCAGCACTGCGTGGCATGCCCGGATGGCAAGGCGAAGAGGGAGCCCATGGAGAGTTGGGACGATGCTCACCCTCGAATATCAACGCTGTTGCGGCAACCGCGTTGATAAGAAAGAACAAAACACTGCCTCGCATGTGTTTCCAAGTCAGGGGCATCTTGTCTACGGAAAAGTCAGCGGCAGATGCATGTAGAGTAGGACATGATCCAGCAAGCAGAATCGCAGACGGAATCACTCCGTTTGCCACTCATCTACAGCTTGTTTGAAGAGGCGAAATTCTGGAGGGGTCAAGCGTAAGAAGCTCGATATGGGATACGTACGTCCTGGACTTGGGTGAGGGGTTGGAAAAGATCAGTTGCTCGTGTATCACAGCATCGATGCAAACACATGGATCGAGGCACTGAGTTGTCTGTGCATATGCACGTCTGGCTGGCCACATCCGATGCAATGCCCTACGATAGTTCTGGCTGCTTGGACCTCAGGGGAAAACGGGTAGTGCTTTCCAAGCATCCATTTCAACTGTAACATTGCAAGCTCGAGGTGTCTCTTAACACATATGGAGGAATCGAAGTATGAGAGATGACATGTCGATTAAGCCGTATTACGAAGACTTATGTCGGCGGGTTATCTACATGCATGTTGGCTCGTCGACAAGCAATAGCTCGGCCGCCCCATCGAGGAACAACGGCGTCGTTCTCGAAGTGCGCGAACCTTTATATCAAGAAGGTGTCGAGATTAGAAACTACGATGGCGAGCATCATCGACTCTAGCGCCGGAAATTCAGCCGGTATGAGATGCGCTCCGCTGAATCTTACCGTGTTGGGGTTGAACTCTGGTACTTCCATGGATGGAGTCGACTGCGCCCTGTGTCAGTTTCGTCAAGCCTCGCCAGACGAGCCGCTACACTTTGAGCTGCTCCAGTACGACGAGGTGCCGTTGGAGCAGACACTCAAGAGGAGGGTGTTGCGCATTATTTGCGACAAGAAGACCACACCAGAGGAATTGTCCGAGGTGAACGTTTTGCTTGGCGAGACATTCGCAGATGCCGTCAAGGTTTTCTGCGATAGGCATGGCATTCTTCTTTCCTTTATCGACGCAATCGGCTCTCACGGCCAAACCATCTGGTTTCAGAGTATGCCCGACGAGGGCCAGGTCAAATCCGCCCTCACCATGGCCGAAGGCTCGGTCATTGCGTCGAGGACCGGCATCACGACCGTGACAGACTTTCGCATCTCTGACCAGGCCGCCGGCCGTCAGGGCGCTCCGCTGATTGCCTTCTTCGACTCGCTTCTCCTCCACCACCACTCCAAATTGCGGGCGTGCCAGAACATAGGCGGCATCGCCAACGTGTGCTTCATCCCCCCCGACGAAGAGGGGGCACGGAATCAAGAGTTCTTTGATTTTGACACGGGGCCGGGCAATGTCCTCATCGATGCCGCGGTTCGGCATTTCACGGACGGGAGGCACGAGTACGACAAGGATGGCGCGATGGGCAAGGCCGGCAGGGTCGACCACGAGATGGTCGACGACTTCTTGGGCTCTCATCCCTACCTGAAGCTGGACCCACCCAAGACCACGGGTCGAGAGACCTTTGGCGACACCGTCGCATTCGACCTAATCGAGCGCGGCCTGGCCAAGGGCCAGTCGCCGGACGACGTTGTCGCGACCATTACCAGAATCACGGCCAAGACCATCGTCGATCACTACCGGCGCTACATGCCAACGCGGCACGGTCCGCTCGCCGAGCTTTACCTATGCGGAGGAGGCGCAAAGAACCCCAACATAACCGAATATCTGCAGGCAGCCTTTCCGGACACGATTGTCCAGATGTTGGACGCGGCCGGGATCCCGGCCGACGCAAAGGAGGCCATCACCTTTGCGTGGCAAGGCATGGAAGGCCTCGTCGGGCGCAGCGTTCCCATCCCCACACGAGTAGAGACGCGGAAAAAACATGTGCCTGGCAAGGTCAGCCCCGGACTAAATTACCGACGGGTCATGACCATGAATGGTGCTGGTAGGGAACACTTGGAGCCGGTGACGGATATGGTCAACCATGTACGTCGAGGAGACTGGAAGTTTGTCGACAGGAAGGCTTGAATGGACATTGACCAACGTTAGTTGGCAGGAGAACGGTGGTAGCTGCAAACGATGGGGTTACGTCGACAATAACAATAATGAGGGGTTGTTGCCATAATTATTGAAGACTTCCGCCTAAATCTAAGCTCTCCATGTGAACTACCTACCTAGTTGTACTTCGTACTACATACCTTTGATCCCAAGGGACAGTGATCGGCCATTGGCAACACGTGTTGGACCATGGACATGCGGCACAGTGCCTAGGAGGCATCATGAGGCAAGTGCAAGCACTCCAGAATCGCATTATATACATTAATAAAAGCGACACAAATATGACCAGCACGCCAACTCTCTCCAACTCTGATTTGCTGGACTGGAGGCTGAACCTGCCGTCTCTGCCCACGCCTCGTTTTCCAACAGCAACTGCAAACACATGCCACGTTCGCAGCAGGGTTACACCATCTTGAGCCCAGCCCACTGCTGCACTCAAGATGGTGACTGGGCAGCCATATGGTCCGGTCACCAGACACGGACTCCAGGAATCGGGATATTCAAGTCGGTAGCGTAGTGTCCGTCTTGGGCTCGACCTCAAATCGCGAGTTATTCTCTTCACAATAGACTAGCTGGCCAGTCATGCCGGCACAAGGGTGGTTGGAGGCGCGGCATCGAATGCGGAGAGGTCCGAGAGGACAGGGCTTTGGAAGACATCTCGGACGGTGAAGCTGAAGCCTTTGTAACGTGCCATTCCGACGAGTCGCATTGCCCCGATTGAGTCGCCGCCAATTCGAAAGAAGCTGTCGTCCGCGCCGATGCTTTCCGGGTCCATGTTCAGGATGTCGGCCCACAGAGCCTGCATGACCCGCTCCGCCTCCGTTTCCGGTGTCCGCCGCTGCTCGCCTGCGCGGCCGAGTGCCTTGACGTCCTTGGCAGAGAGCGAGGAGCCCATCTCCTGGAGCCGGCGCCGGTCCGTCTTGCCCGTGGCCGACATGGGGACGGTTGGGATTGGTATGTAAAGAGAGGGTATCATGAAGACGGGCAGTGCCTTGGCCAGGTGCTCCGTCACCCCGGCCGTTGCGTGGCGGACGGCGTTGTTATATTCTTCCGACGAGACAAAGCCTTGAATCTCCTCGAGGGCCACGAAAGCCACCAGCATCTTGCTTGGAATTCCCTTCGGCTGGACGGTCTCGGCGACGACCTGCACATTCGTCACGGTCTCGCCCGCGATCGTCTCAATCGCCCGGCAAACATGGTGCTCGATGTCCCCCAGCTCAACGCGCTGTCCCCTAATCTTGACCTGTGTGTCCTTACGACCCACGAAGAGCAGCGAGCCGTCTTCTCTGTACCGCACCAAGTCTCCGGTGCGGTACACTCGTCCGCGTCGCCCGGGCCGCCTGCCGTCGGGCGTTCCGTTGACCAGCCACGCAGGGTCTTGGATGAAGGCTGATCTCGTCTTTTCGGGCTCGTGTAGATATCCCTGACCTACAAGCGGCCCTTCAAGCCAAAGTTCGCCGACAGCGCCGACCGGTGCCAAGGCCGCGGGGTTCTCGAGGTCTACCACCCACAGGCACATCCCAACTCCCCGGCCGATGCCCGCATCCCTTGTCTTCGTTAGGTCCATGATGGAGCTGGTCGGCGTACACTCTGCTGGACCGTAGGCAACGGTAACCTGCGTTTTCTCGCCCGCCAGATCCGCATCGCTTGCGACGACGGCCTCGCCACCAAGAATCAATGTGGATAAATTGGAAAGGGCCGACTTGGGCTCGATGGCCCGCGCAACCGAAGGCGTTAGATCGACGACAGTGACTCCATACCTCTCCAGGCATCCTCCAAGATCGTCCTCGCGCTCGGCCGCAGACGGGATACATAGGCACCCGCCGGCCGTCAACGCCTTGAGGAGGCTAAGCCAAGCAACGTCGAAGGCGTACGAGGAAAAGTCAAAGACCCGGGAACTGCTATCGACGCCCACTGCGTCTCGCTGGTAAGAGATCGCGCTATAAAAGTTCTGGTGGGTGATGATGACGCCTTTTGGCCGCCCAGTGCTGCCGGAGGTGAACACAACGTAGAGCACGTCAGACGGCTTGACGACAGGTAATTCGGGACTCGGCTCGATGACGGGACCAAGGCATTGTTCGTGCCCTGTGATAAGCACCTCATCAGCTTCGAGTCGCTGAGCAAGGGCATGGTTTGCCTCCGACGAGAGGAGAATCTTTGGCCTCCCGGCGCCGGTGAACACCTGCGCTGTAATCGTGCGAATCCGTTCTTCTGGCTGCGAGGTATCGACTGCAACCGATGCTCCGCCCGCCCTCATAACGGCAAGGGCGGCCACTGGCATCCAACAAGACTTCTCGAAGCAAAGCGGCACGATGCTCCCCGGCCCTACGCCCTTGCTGACCAGCTGCTTGGCTAGCTTCGACGATAGCTCTTCGAGCTGCTCATAGGTCAAGACCCCGTCCCATGCGTGGATAGCAGGAGCTGTTGGCCGCTCTTTTCCATGCTGGATGATCAGATCGTGTACACAACCTTCCACCGATTCTGGCAAAGTCGCGTTCCAGGTCCACACATCGTCGAGATCTTTCTGGCTTGCCACGGTCACGTCTCGAAGCCTCAGCTGGCGCTGGCCCACGTCGAGCAGTTGGCGAAGAACATGCACAAACCCATGAATGAGCCGCGAGACGCGAGCTTGTTCGATGACGCGTGGGTCGAATTTCACATCGATATGCGCTGCGGTCGCCTCGAGCCCGACCATGACCACCATGGAATGAGCGCCGTGGCTTTGCCAGTGCTCTTTGTCTTCCTTTGGATAAACGACAAGGAGCGTCTGGAAGTTGCAGGCCATGGCTGCGTCCTCGTTCAAGCGACGGACCCGCTCCATGCCCATCTGATGGAACGGTGCCATCTCCACGGTCTGACGCTGCACTCCAAGGAGCAGGTCGTTGATGCTGTGATCCGAATCGACCACAACACGGAGAGGCAACGGGGCGACACATCCGCACTTTGAAACGGCTGCTCCGAATATGCTTTCGTCAGCGCACATGATTCGAGCTGTAAGGACAGCCCATGCAGCCTTGACTGTCGTGTCTGCCAAGAAGCTGTCGCATGCCCAGTCAAGCCCTTCCACGCTCAATTCTACATGATCCCGAGGCATAGGCTGGCGAGTGGTCGTTGTCGGCGAGGGAAAGTGAGACCCTTGGGTGTTTGCAAACTCGGCTTTCCAGAACGCACTCGCGGAAGCCTCATCCACCCCCATCGTGTGCTTGAAAAATCCGGACAGGAGCGTGTCTGCATCGTTGGCGTCGGTGAAGACATCCTGGGCGATCTCGGCCATGTCTTTTATGCCCAACCCAACATCGGTCACTAGGAGATATTCAATTGCTTGGTGAAGGATCTTGCTTGCTTCCAAGGCAACTTGGCGGTCAACATATGGCTCCCGAAACTCGATTGAAAGGTCCATGTCTGCCCCGCTTATCGAAGCGTTGAACTTGATGTCAAACTGTTCATTGAGATATTAGCTCCGCGTCGTCAAAAAGCCGCGGTCTCTCTATCATACCTCGTGGGCGTCCCCGCCAGCCAAAACGTCGAACGATACCCCCCTTGCTTCGTCGGCTTTCTCTTTTTCGGCAGGACGGACAGAAAGTGACGTGTTGAATAATCGCCTTCCAGAGAGGCCGAGGTGGTGCTGAATCTCAGCCAGCGAGACGTGCTGGATAGCCATGTGCTGCTTTGACCTCTCCGATGTCGTCTCGAGAACCTGTCGGGCTGGTTGTCGCAAGTCGACCCGGCTGATCAGCAAATTGGCCAAAGGGCCAACCAAGTTCTCGACGCCATTCACAGGGGCGTCACGACCAGAAGCCAAATATCCAAAGCAGACGTCGCGCATTCCAGTCATGTGCGAGAGAACCATGGCCCATGCCACCTGGAGAAGCGCGGAGGGCATGATTCCCGCCTTCTTGCAGAAATCTGCAACATTGACCTTGAAAGTTCCTGGACACGGTATCTCGGTAAACTTCTCCCGTTCGGCTTGTGCAGGGGCCACCGGCGACAGGGGAAATTCACAAGGCTCAAGACCATCAAGCAGCGAAGTCCAAGAAGCGACTATCTGGGCTCTGGGTGTGCTGTTGATAAAGCGTATCATATCAGCAAAGGCCGGAGCCGACGATAATTCCATGCCATCATATATCGTCGCGAGCTCGCTGAGAATCAAGGATGCCGAGTGGGCATCGGTCAGCGCGTGGCTCATGTCCAGCCTACAGGCGACCTCGCCGGTTGGTGCCTGGCAGATTGTGAGAGAATGTTCCGGCTCATCGGGGGCAAACGTTGGCTCTTGCAGTCGTGATAATGCATCGGTAGGGCTTTCCAGTCCAGGAGCAATATGGTTCACGCGTATGGGAGGCTCGTCAAGGACAAGCTGCATGAAGCCGTTGCCTTCGGGATGTAGCGCAAAGACAGTGGACAAGGCGGTGTGCCTGCTCACAACTCTCTTCCAAGCTTCCTCTAGCCGGGAAGGGGAGATGTCAGCAGTATTTCCGACTGTCGAAACACAGCGCCAGATTGTGTAGGTTATGTATGACGCTGAGCCCTTGACTGAGCTCAAGAGCATTCCCTCTTGGAGAGGCGAGCACGGATACATGTTTGTGACGCTGCTCGGCTTGATGCCCATCTTCGGAAGCTGTTCTTCCAACAGCACATCCAAGCCCCGGTACGATAACTGAAGGAGAGGCAAATCGCTCAACGTGAAGGCGACAGGCGCACGCGCGAGATGACGAGCGGCACACTCCAAATCGTCGATAAAGGCCTGTGTCCATTTCTCGATCCGACCTTGATGCTTCATGCCTTTGTGAAAGTTAAATGAGACGACGAGGACATTGTCCGACACGACGGCGCCAATCTCGATCATGAAAAACCGACGCGCTGATTTCGAAATCTCACAAATCTTGACGTCTGCGTCATCGGTACCATGTTGGGATGATTTGAAGAGGCCTTCCTCCCTCTCCAATTGTTGGAATCTTCCCGTGAAATTGAAAATGAGCTCGTAAACGTCGTGACCCTGGAAAGCTTGACGACCAGATTCGCTATAATGCTGGCAAGCATAGAACGGCAAACCCATGTTTGGCACCCTTCTTCTCGTATCCTTGACAAGCCTCACAGCGTGGGAGATGGACTGGTCGGGTGTGATGGAAACCGCGAGGGGGTACATGGTGGTAAACCACCCGACAGTGCCCGAAACATCTGTCGGTACGTCGTCCAGCTGCTCCCTGCCGTGACCCTCGATCCAAATCGCGGGTGCGGAACGCTCGGGGAAGGTTTGGAAGAACGAGTGGGACAGAGCACCCAGGATAAGATCGAGAGCTTCAGTTCGGAGACTGTTATTGCTATTCCCGAAGAGAAGCTTGCTGGCATCGAGGGGGAGGGCCACATCGAAACTGTCGCACTGGCCAAACGTGTTTTCTTCCATGGGCAATCCCCAGAAGCCCACGTCGGGTTCTGGAATCGGATACGGGAGCACGGCTAGCGGCGATAAATTATTGCCCACTCTGGCCTGAACCGCGCACCAGGTGCGAAACGACAAGGTTTTTGGTGAACGCAACTCCCCAAACTTGATGTACTCTTCGACGTCGTTCCAAACAATGCGCCAGGATACGAGATCGATGACCAAATGATGGGCCGAGAGCAAGACAACCTGGCTGCCGTCGGGCATGTTGAAAAGGTCGCAAGCAAAAACGGGCCCTTGACAGATATCCAAGTTTTCCTGTCGCCACTGACCGGCTGTACCGACCTCGTCCCGGTGAGTCACGGAGTGCTCAGCAAAGGCGAAAGATTCCGCAACGTTTTGGGCCACGCTTTGCTTCCAGAGTCCACTACCGGGGTCTCTGGTAAAACGCGCTCGAAGCATTGCATGGCGGCTGACGAGGGCCATCATCGCATGACTGAGGGACTCCGCCGAAACGTCGTGGCCCAGATCCAGCAGGAATGATTGGTTGAAATGGTTAAGGCCATCGGGATAATCGTTAAAGAATGACTGCTGCATCGGAGACAGATCAAACTCGGCAGCCGCGTCTTCATTCTCCTGTTGTTCAGCCTCCTCCAATAGCTTGCTTGCTGAAGTAGACATGGGCCGGCGGCGGGCCGCAAGTTTTCGAATGGTGTTTGCCTGCAGTATATCGCTTACGGTAAAGACGATGTTGTGCAGTCGACATCGGGATACCAACTGCATGGCTGAGATGGAATCGCCGCCCAAGCTCGAGAATCCCGCGTCAACAGACGCCTCATCCGCCGACAAATTGAGGACTGACATCCACACCTTCTGTAGAATGGTCTCCGTCTCATTGAGCGGCTGGCTCGACCCTTCCTTCTTGTCGCGGCTGCTGCGGTATTGCGGCCACATGGACGCGCCGAGGGCACGGAGATGCCGGCGGTCAGTCTTTCCAGCCGTGGTTACAGGCATCTCTTGAATCGGCAAGTACGCAGCGGGTACCATATAAGACGGCAGAACCTCACGCAGGCGTTCAGTGAGTCCGTCCGTTGCCTGCCGCACCGCGGCGCCGTGTGCCTCCTGCGTCATTGCCTCGGCCCCGGGGAGGGTAACAAAGGCGACCAAGATGGGATTGTTGGCGCCGGCCGGCTGCACAGCCTCTGCAACGACCTGGACAGTGTCCGATTCGCCAATGACTTGGCGCACGCAACACTCGACTTCGGCCAGTTCGACGCGCTGACCACGGATTTTGACCTGGGTATCCTTGCGCCCGATGAAGACGAGTGATCCATCGTCTCTATACCGCACAAGATCACCGGTGCGGTAGACGCGTCCCCGCCGGCCGACTGCCTGCATGAGCCACACAGGGTCGTCGATGAAGGCTGCCGCGGTCCGCTGAGGGTCATCGAGATAGCCCTGGCCGACGAGGGGGCCCTCGAGCCAGAGCTCGCCAACGTCGCCGACTGGTACCAGCAGCTCGGGGTTGTCGGGCTCTACCACCCACGTGCAGAGTCCGAGCCCGCGGCCGATGCAAACGTTGGTGGGGTCCAGCGTCGTCAGAGTGGAGGTCGGCGTGCACTCTGCCGGACCGTAGGCATTGATGATGTGCGTCTTGCCGCCCGCCAAGGAAGCATCGCTTGGCAGAGGCGCCTCGCCACCCAGTATCATGGTCGTCAGTCTCGAAAGAGCGTCGGAGCCGATGGCCCGGGCGACTGAGGGCGTCAAGTCGGCCAGGGTCACATTATACTTGACCAGGCACCCAGCCAGGTCATTCTCGCGCTCCACTGGCGACGGAATGCAGAAGCATGCTCCGGCAGTCAGGGTGAGGAACAGGTTCGACCAGGCAACGTCGAAGGCGCAGGATGCAAAATCAAGGACCCGAGCATTCCGGTTGTAGTCCAAAGCCTGCCGCTGATGGGCAATGGCGCTGCAAAAGTTGCGGTGCGTGATGAGAACTCCCTTGGGCGTCCCGGTGCTGCCCGAGGTAAATACGACGTAGAGGAGGCTCGAGGGGTCAACGGTGGGCAAGACGGTCGAAAGGTGATCCGGGTCCGGGGCGAGGCTTTCATGCTGCGGCGAGGCCCCAACGACCAGGACCTCCTTTCCGTCTGCGACAAGACGACGCGCCAAGTTGCCATTCTGGACCGACGACAGCAGCACAGGTGATGTTGTCTTCGACACAATCGCAAGCAGCCGCTCTTCCGGCTCCTTCGTCTCCAGCGCCACGAGCGCCCCTCCGGCCTTCATTACGGCCAGCACCGTCACCGGCATCCAGAGGGACTTTTCGAACAAGACGGGCACCCGGGTCCCTGCCACGCCTCTCGCAGCCAGACGATATGCTAGCTTTGTCGATTGCTCGTCCAGGTCCTGATAGGTAAGCTCTCCGTCCCAAGCGCAGAGGGCCGGGGCCAGGGGGCTTTCCCGGGCCCGTTGCTCAATCAGCTTGTGCACGCACTCGTCTACCCGCTCGGGAACCTTTGCGTTCCAGGCAAGGACCTCCTCGATGCGGTTTGACGGGGTCCGGGTTGACAGCGCCAGAGTCCCGAGCTTGTCGTGTCTTCGGCCCTGGTCCGCCAGTTGTCGAAGCACATGGTCGAAATTCTGGGCAATGGCTTCCATCTCTCGCTCTTGTACAACTCCAGGGTCAAAATCGATGCGCAGGCGGGCTTCGTCCGAGCCCAACTCGCACTCGACCTCGATGGCGTAGGTCGTGTGGCCCGACTCTCGCTTCGCTTGACCATCGTCGCTAGGCTTGCTCAGGAATGCCCTGCCGGCCGGGTCTCCCTCGCCGTCGGCGGGCTGCACTACCAGAAGCGACTGAAAGGAGCACGCTATGGCTGCCGCCTCCCCCATGCGCCGGATTCGCTGTAGCCCCGTCTGCTCAAACGGAATCATGTCTGCCGCCTGCCGCTGCACCGCTTCGAGCAGTCGACTCACGCTGGCCTCCCAGTCCAGCGTCACTCGGACGGGAACGGTTGCAATTGCCGGCCCAGCCATGTGCTCAATGCCAGGCACTGCCGCCTGGCGTCCCGTCACAGTCACGCCATATAAAGCTTCACTCGTGTTGCCACAACGCGCCATCACCACAGCCCACGCGGCTCTCACCATCGATGCCTGTGTGTAGTCGCTGTGGCCCCAGCCGAGGCCCGACACGGTGAAGTTGACGTGTGAGGCTGATTGTGGTTGTCGCAATGCCGCCGCCTTGGCCAAGGGGAAGTGGGTCTCTTGGATTCCAGCGAACTGGGCTCGCCAGAACGCCTTGGCAGCCGTCTCGTCGCAATCCTTAATGTATTTGATAAAGCCTTCCATGGATTCCAGATCTTGGCCGCCTTCGTTGTAGTAGGCATGCTCGGCCTCGCTCATAAGAAGCGGCAGAGACCATCCGTCGAAAAGAGCGTGGTGGATTTCCCACAGGAAATACGGGCGCCGGCCCGGGCCTGCGTCAATGATTGCGAATTTCGACAAGGGCGTGCCGAGACCCATCGGCTGTTCGACCGCGCTTTGCCGAGCTTGGTAGTCGTCGAGGTCTGTGCCAAGCCCCCACTGTGCTCCTTGCTCCAAGACAGCCTGCACGAGGCCGTGGCTTGGGAGGCTGACGATATGCGTTCGCAAAATGGGATTCATGGCCACCACTTGATCCCACGCTCGGCGCAACCTCTGGACACTTACCCCGTCGTCGATTTCAAACACCTGCTGCGCCACGTAACTCCCAGGCCGCCTTTGGGTCAGAGCGAGCATGCCTTCCTGGAGTGGGGAGCATGGGAAGAGGTCAACCACTTGAGACTTTTGCACACGACACAGCTGAGCAACCTGGGCTCGCAGGTCATCGTCGTCGGCGAAGGAACCCAATAGCGAGAACGGGGGGGTTTTGAGAGATGTCCGGCTCGCCGGGCTGGCCAAAACTGAGAGGTCGCAGAGACAGGGGTTCTGGTAGACGTCTCGAGCGGAGAAGTTGAGTCCTCTGTCGCGTGCAATCCTGCAGAGGCACAGTGCCTTGGTAGCATCTCCGCCAAGCTGAAAGAAATCATCGTCCTTGCCGATGCTTTGCGGACTAAGTTGAAATACCTGGGCCCACAGCATCAGCATGAGCTGCACCGTGTCTGAATAACCTCCTTGCTCAGTCTCCGGCGTTTCGAGGGCCCCGTCGCTCTCCGAACTGGAATGCAAGTTTTCAACGCTTTCACCTGAGTGATCGACGTCGGCCGGCTCCTCCTCTTCGACCAGTACGAGCCTTCCGTCATGCATGTGCCGTACAAGGTCTCCAGTACGATGAATGCGCCCAGGGCGCCCCGGCCACCGCGTTGACCGGCGCAGCACAGAGACTGAATCTTTGAAAATCACCGGGGCGTCGCTGTCGGATTCGACGGGGTACTTCTGGCCCAGCATAGGTCCCTCGAGCCATAGCTCGCCCATGGTCTCGCATGCTCCAAGCGAGCCCAGCTCGGCGGTTTCCGCAACCCAGGCACAAACCCCGTCGTCAAGGTGGCTCAAGCCGCCCCGTACCTTTGATTTGTTGACTGTCCACCGCGTTCCTAGCGAGGTCGACTCTGCATACCCACGGCTGCTGAACAATACTTTTCCCTCCTGGTGTCCGGTCGTGTCCGGTGGGGTCATCTGTGGCTCTCCGACATAGGTGAGGCGCACGCGGCCGGCGAGCTTGTGGTGATTGAGTTCCTCGGCCATCGCGGGCGTCAAGTGCACCGCGTTGGCCTGCAATGCCGTCATAGACCCCTCGACACGCTGTCGCCGGTCATACTCTGAAGGTATGCAAAGGCACCCGCCGCAGGTCAGTGTGTGCAGCAAGTTGCACCAAGCCAAGTAGGAGCCTTGAGGAGCAATATCAAAAACCCGAGAATCGATGGTGTATCCCAGGGCCTGTTGTTGGTAAAAAAGGGCAGTGCTCATGTTTCGATGTGTGATGGCAACGCCGCCGGGCGGCTGATGGGAGCCGGTGTCACCGGGCATGAAGATGACATTGAGTGTGTCGGAGGGACTGACGACAGGCATGTCGGGAAATGGGCTCGAAGGGTTCATCTCCGGAGCGGAGAGCAGCTTATCGTCCAACACCATCACGTCGCACGCCACGAGCTGGCGAGCTAGGTGACTGTTTCCCGGCGACGATAGGAGAATGGGGTGAGGCACCTGGGCGATGATGGCTCGGAGATGGTCGTGCGATTGGGAGGAGTCCAAGGATATCGACGCGCCGCCAGCCTTAGCGACACCTAGCACGGCTACTGGTGCCAACAGGGACTTTTCAAAACAGAGTATCACCATGGTCCCCGGCTTCACACCAAGGCCAATGAGGTGACAGGCTAGCCTGCTCGACAACAGGTCGAGCTGGCCGTAGGTCAATGCCCCGTCCCACGAACAGATCGCCGGTGACGAAGACCGCTCAATGGCAACTCGCTTGAACAGGCTGTGTACACAGGCTTCTATAGGCTCCGGCACCACCACGCTGGACACGCTGACATTGTCGGTATATCGCAGGTGGTTCTCGTTTTCGCTCTGGGGCATCTCGATGGGTTCGCGTGGGCCATTGGCCGTCTGTTCGGAATGAGATTTCATACTTTCTTGCCGAGGTTGCTTCACGGCCCCCTTCAGAGCTATCACAAGAACTTGGTTGCGTTGCGTAGACGGCGAGGAGAGGGGGAGAATTAGAAAATGAGGGGTTGGCCGAGTCACCAAGAGTGACCCTCAATGGCAAAATCAAAAGTACGGCGTATGGTGGAAAGTCGTCGGGCTCAAACGGGAGTAAGAGAGGGACAAGCGCCAGTCAACGTCGTTCTTATGTTGAAACCTGGGTGCGTCATGCCGGCTTTTCTTTTTCCTCCAAAAGGACCCGCCTGCAGAGTGCCACAGGCTTCTCCCGCACATGATCATCGTCTTGCAACAGGGTATAAGAAGCGATCTACATATATTCCGCAAGAGTGTACTCACCGGAAGCTGAGGAGCGGCTAGGCTGGTGACATTGCGTTTGACTGGCCGCCACTTGCATAGGCGGCCGATTGCTCGCCGGCGGCTTAGCACCAATCACAGCACTCTTCTCCCCGCCCACCGGTTGGTCAAGAGAAACATGATTTGAGCGGCTTTGATGGCCCGTTTCCCGCCCGGCTATAGCACGGTGTGGTACGGCCATGCAACTACTACGAGGCTCGTGAGAGAAGGCGGCGGAAAGTGGCGATGATGAAAAAGAAGCGGCGGATGACGCAGCGGGCAGAGTATGTACAGGAAAACGCAGCAAGAATACTTTGTACCAGTACAAGAAGAGCAGCCATGACGTTAAGTCTTGGACGAGTCTTGGCGCTCAATATCTGTCGGACAACCGCCAGACCATCTCTTCCTGGAGTCTCAACATGCGGTTTGACGACACGATTGCAAAATGTGTCGTATTAGTCAAACACTTGACACCAGCTGCTCCCTGAGGGCCCCCCTCTCATGCAGTTTCTTGGCGCAGGCGCATTTGACAACTGCGAATACATGCGCCACCAATGACGATTCTCTGCTAGTACTTTGAGGCACGTACGGAGTACAGGCGACAAGACGGGCTTTTCCTAGCCAAAGAGGGCTAGATCTGTCAAGCTGGATACTAGGATGCGGCATCGGCAGCCACTGTGCAGCACTACTACTGCACCCTGAAGCTGTGCGTGTGCAACAAAAAGAGCATGTTACTCTGGGCATACATACAAGCCCATGTCTTTGTGTGTCCAATGACGGCGGCAACAGCTGTGAAATCCGCGACTGGGGGCGGGAGAGCCAGAACGAACTTCCAAGAGGATGGCACGATATTAGCGGTAAACGAATAGCCATGCTAGACGAGCCAAGGTTCCCCTCAAACATGCATCCTTGGCCTTGCCGTGGCTCGCTCAGCTCAGCCTCGTCGGCGCGAGAACATGGATGTACATACATTTATACCTAATCGGCAACGAGGCGCCTACATGGGCGGAATACTGCGGGGAACGAGCGGCAGCCTGCTCTGCGGGCTGCGGCACGTTCCCCGCGAGAGGGCATTACTGTATTGGCGAGCCCTGTTTCATGTTTCGGAGGGGATGTTCCGAGCATCGGAGTCTCGACCCGGAGAATGATCGATGCAATACTGTAAAGTCACGTCATGCGGTGCAAAGGTATAAGAAGGGGCGCTAGCCCACTATATGTATGTAGTATGTACAGTATAAGCAAAATTGCAATCGTTGCCAATGATGTCGTGAGGCGATCGTCGAGAGCCTACGCACTCCGTAGCTAGTCCCCGTGGTGGGTCCTGCCGATGGCTTATAGGGGAAAAAATAAACAAAGCAAAGCAAAGAAGGGAATATGAGGAACGGAGATGAGCCAGGTACGGATTAGTTCAGGCAACAGGGAGACAGGGAGGGTGGGTCCAACACTCGGCTTTGTCCGCCCTCCATGCGCAGCGGCAGTTGAGGTGGCTGCCGCTCCGGTTCGTACAGTATACCTATACATAGGCGTACGTATATAAAACTCAGTAACGACGAAGCCTCTCAGTGCGACAATTGTCGCGCTTGCGGTGTTTGCAATCCTTACGCCCCCAGAACCGCAGTAGGCTACTGGCCTGCCGTCGAGGTTACATACCATGTTGTACGAATATTTCGGGGTGGTTGCACGGCGCCCACGGGTAGGGACTCCCGGGGAATGACAAACGAAGCCCGTCAATGCTCCATGTATGGAGGATGGCCTGTTGGATATGAAAAACTGTTGCACCCGGAGTGCGGATACAAGTCTGGGTCCCGATGCAGTTTGGCTTCATCACACGTAAACTGAGGCTGTGTACATACAGTACGCATGCGAAGGTATTACAAGCAAGAGACGCGCAAGGGGCCCCGGCCAGCCACACATACATCGGCGCTCGCAGCATGCTTCGGGCACCCTCGACTGGGAAAGCAGCTCATGTAAGTCGCCTGGCCAGGCCCCCGTCGATTCTGTTGTGGTACATGCATATCACGGCGCTTCCTTGCTCTCCCGGGATTGGTCAATGCTTTTTCTTCTCACTCCTGCGCTATTCGTCAAGACGGGCTTCGGCATGTGAATACCAGCCTCCCTTCCTTTATGTTTTTCGCGGTTTCATATGTTGCCGCGGTCCGCTTCCACCGCCTCAACACAGAGACTGCCATGTCTCAACCACATTTTCTCCAATTGGTCCCCGGGACAAGGCATCCCGCAGCACGGCGTGTTCCGGGCACGGCTCACGGCTCACGACGATTCCTCGCATCGGCAGCGTCTTTGCCGCTTGCCCGCCCGGTCCGCCCCCGCCACCCGCGGGCTACCATTGTAATACACCCCCTGCCAGTTTGCCACACTTGGTGCGGCAGAATTCGGCTACGCATATGCCTAGTCTCCAGCACACATCAATAGTACAGCAGTACGAATAGCTTGCGAGAGGAGATTTTGGCAGCTCAGACACTACCTAGACATGCAGCCTCAGCCGCGTTGCACCGCATTAAGCCTTCACCCAAGTTTGCACCGATTTACGTACTGTATACTACCCTCGGTCATGTAGGAGTATGCGGTATCCCGACCATGGCCCGAGCAGCTCGTAATGATGCGTGGACGAGACGGGACACAAGAAGCATGTTCTGTATGCCCTTGGATTAACCTGGTTGGGCCCAACAAAAAGATTTCATGACGATCTTCATCTGCATCCATGTCCCGTGCAAAGGCGCCCCTACCAATTATGTTGGCTGCGTTCAAGCGGAACTCGACTCGCCGCTCTGAGATCGTGGTCGGAGTGCAGAACTGTACATCGCGGCTGCTCCAAACACCTAACCACATGCTTTGCGACAATCGCTGGGGCTAGTTGACGCAGCCTGAGGTCATGAATTCATGTATTCGACGCCGGATAAGTCCCGTTCCCCGCTGTCTGCTCGTCTCATATATCAAGGCCCAACACGATAATCAATTTGCCTTGGAAGCTCCTGTTTGATCCGTCACACTCGCTCAAACCAAATATAGTCTTTGAGGCTTTCTTCCAAACAAATCCCAACCTTGACAGCCCTCTCACCATCGAAAACGAACTCGGCCTTGACGGGGGAATCGCCTTTGACAAATTTCTCGCTCATATAGGCGATAAACTTGGTCTGGTCACAGACGTGGTTGAAAGTCATGGTGTAGCCCATGGACCGATCCGTGGCGTCGACGTAGAGCTCCCCGTCCTTGTCCCCAATCTCGATGGTCCGATAGCCAGTATTCCGGTATTTGCCCGTGTAGTCGCTGAGGGGCCTGGTCCGCGGCTGGGTCCCATCGATGCCGGGGCAAAGCTCCTGTCGCAATTCATCTTCTAGACTCAAGCTTTTACCATCACTTTCAGCCTCGGATCCTGATTCCGACGTCGACGTCGACTCCGACTCGGATTCCACCTGCAGCACGTTGTTGATCAATTTCTCGGTAAGAATATCCACAACCTCGGCTGCGCGATCCGAGTTGCCGACGATGACACCTCCAAACTGGATCTGCGGTAGGAAGAAGTGATTTGATCGGAAGCCGTCTTCTGACCCGTCGTGGGAAACTATCGTGTGTCCGCGATATTCTCGAACCTCCCATCCAGCGGCGTAGTACAGGGAAGACGCGGGGGGCCCCGGTGCGCCTTCCACGATTCCTTCATTCTCCTCCTGATTCCCCGACTGGTCTTGTCGCATCCGCTTCTCAGTGAGCCCGCGAAAAACATCTTCCGTTATCGGCCCCTCTCGCTTCACCATCGCTTGGACCCATTTGATGTAGTCGTTTACACTCGTGATGATACATCCGGCACCCTGCGCCTCAAAGCTGTCGCTCCATGGGGTTTCGTTGTATTTGCCACCCTCTTCATCCCAAACGTATCCAGCGGCGATGCGTTCGCCCAGGCCTTTGTCAATGGCGCGCCTTGGGTGGAGGTTGGTCGAGTCCATAGACAGAGGTCTGAAGAAGTTTTCCTCGAGGAAGCTCGGAAAATCAAGCCCACTTTTGCGCTCCACGAGATAACTGGCCACGGTATACATCATGTTGCAGTAAATATACTTTGTTCGATTAGGCGCTACCACTGCTAAGTTTCGCAGGTTTCTCGTGATGGACCGCGCATCGTCTGGCTGGGGCGCGCCACAGCTCATGTATGAGGTGTCGTGACTACCAGGTTCGCGTTAGCCAGTGATCGGCCACCTCGAAGATGACACTCACGCCGCCATTCCAGTCCGATGGCTCAGGATATCCTCGACTGTGACGTCGTCATGGTCGTTCCCGGGCATGACAAAGTCGTCTGGCAAAAGAGCCGACATGGCGGCATCGTATTTGACATCGGGGTATTTTTCATCGTCGTTGACTAAAAGCGCCACCGAGGCTGCGGTGAGAGACTTGGAAGCCGATGCAATGTCGAAGAGCGTATCAGCGGTGCAGTCTCTTGGTGGATCGAGGGTCGCCTTCCCGAAGCCAGCTGAGGCGACCTCGTCGCCTTGCACAACGGCCAAGGCAAGTCCTGGCACATGGCATTCCTCGATGAGCTCTTTTATCTGGGCAGAGAAGTCGTCGGAGAACCGAAGCATGGGAGAGTGGATGAGTGCCATCGTTGAGGCTTGGCAGAGGCTTTTGTCAAGTCTTGAGATGAAAAGCGTGCGGCGGAGCCTCAGACCAGGTTTTTAAATCATCCAACGGTCACGCGTCTTATGCTGCGCGTATGAATCATCGACGCGTCATCTTGCATGAATAGCGGCACGGCGCAAACAATGGTCCGCCCCGAGCACACCATCACCAAGGAATCGCAGGTGTCTGTTGTCCAGTCATGGGGCACGAAGGTTGCGATGGCCGAGAAAGTACCGCCCAGACAAAGTTAACATGCTAGCCGTGGCTGTCACTCGGAGAGTGCTACTCCGTACGGCCTGCAAATTAGCTCGTCTGATTGAAACCTTATCTCGATAGACTTGCTGCCTCTTTCTGCCCGAAAGTATATAGCTTGAAGTATATAAAATACATTAAGGACTCTGTGTCAGTGATTCTTTGTATTAAAATGCCAACATCTTTGTCGCCTTCCAGCGCCAGACTACCTGCACAAATTGCACAACATGGGTCAGAGAACCAGCTACCCGGGCTGTTACCCGAAAAACTTCAACTTCCATAAGCCCCTGCTCATGTTCTTCAACCTCGCGACCGACGAATATGGATTGGACTGCGACTGTCATATGCAATTTGCTTGCCCGAACGGAGAACCATCGATGCCGCCCCACCTCGGTGAATTCATCAATGAGCCTATTCCACAGGAAGCATACGCGCAATGCCCAGAGCTCCGAATCTCGCCTACTCTGCCATTACGCGAATCCTGGGAAATCGAAAGCCCCGATATATGGAGCGACTGGCGCGACAACCATTACCCCTGAATGCAAGAAGGGAACAAGCGGATATCGGATTGTTAACGAGGCGGATTGACACACTCCTTGTCACATGCGCACATGATGCTGGCCTCAGGCAGACCGGCAGCAGAGGCAACGGTAGCCTGGACCATTTGATCGAGGCAAGCGGAATAGGACTGAATAGGCTTGAGGGCCTTACTGTTGTAAGAGAGCCAGCAGAAGTATATTCAACTAGCTAGGGCCCCGATGCAAACTATCCAAAGCAGAAGAAGAAGGGGAAATGGGTCCGAACCCAGCAGAGGTCCGGCCAGAAGCTCTTAACTGACCCCTGGTGCGGTTGGTCCGACTGGCCTCCGTGGGTCCTGTCGGCGTAGCCTCTTACTATTTTCCCTCTTTTCTTCCGTGACAACATCCCAAAATAATGTCTGCCGCGCTTGCTTTGGGGTGTGTGCCCTTGTCCCTGTCAAACTAGTGAGGGCGTGGTCCCACGCCGTAGGCGGAATCTGAAGCTGCAGTCCAGCCGCAGTGTCTAGCCGCGCGCTGATAGGCGGTGCGCAGCTCCGGGTTATCGTCGAGGATGTGCGGCACATTTCAAACCGGAGGCTGGCAGGAAGGTTGTCCGAGGCTGAGGTCCACTTCCGCTTCCTTGCGGGTACTTGTGAAAGGCCTCTAGTGAGTTGATACAACTAACTAGTCCCTATGCTGTTTACTATCAAGATAGAAAAGAAAGAAAGAAAGAAAGAGAATCTACTACATAAGAGCATAACGGCATTTTATAGCTTCGAGCCAATGGAAGGTTCTAGAAGCTAGGCGGCGCAGCCGCCGTTAAAGCGGCTTGCCCGTTACATTACCTCCTCCCGTCCAACGTTTCCTCTTCCTTGGGATCGTGGCAATCTGTGTCAAGATGACTTGAGAAGGTGACACTCTTTTATGTTTCTTCCATTGCTTCCATGCATCAGTGTGTCGAATAGTGGAAGGGGCTCCCACGTAGGCTGCGAGTAATCATGCCATTTTACGAGCACCTTCTTATGCGTACCTTCCATTCTTTCATCCAGAATCCTTTCGACGAGGTACATTTCTTGGCCGTCCACCAGCACCGGTGGGGCACTCTCTTGATCGATTTTCTGCGAAGGCAATGGGTCTCCGGGTACTGGCCGGAGTAGATCGACGTGAAAGACTGGATGGATACGTCCAGGCACATCCAACCTATAGGCATGTGGGCTGACTTCGGTGAGCACTTGATATTTGGCATGTAACCAATCGAGCTTCTTGCAGGGTCGCGATGTTTTGACATTTCTCGTTGAGGTATACCCAATCCCCAGGCTTGTATCTCGGTGCGGCTGTCCTGTGCTTGTTGGCTTGCGCTTGCTGTATTTCCTGGGCCATAGCTATCGCTGCTTGCGCAAACTCCGTGGCATCCTGTAGTCTCTGAATAAAATCCTCCGCTGCAGCTTCTTCCTGTGTTGTGTCTTCCGTGCTTCGATGCTCAACTAACTGGATTGGCTCATTGTGGTAGCCGTGCATGAAGAAGAACGGACTCAGTCCGGTGGAGGTTGCTTCCGCTCGTTAATTGTCGCCATCGCGACTGGAAGCAAGTCCAACCAGTTCTCCTGCAGATAGTTTGTCCATATCCGAAGAATCCTCTCTACCTCTTGGTTCATTCGTTCTGTTGCACCGTCGGTTTGTGGATGGTACGCCGTTGACAACCGCTGCTCGATCCCTAGCAGCTGACAGAAGTGTTTCCACATACCACTGACAAACTGGGGACCCTGATCACTGGTAATAGCCGTTGGGATGCCATGGACAGGGTAGTGTCGTTCGAAGAGTCTTCTTGCAACCGCTTCTGAAGAAATATCGTGTAATCCTTCGAGTTCGACGCCTTTGGTGAGTCGGTCCGTGACCACCATGCAGTTCGTCGCGCCATCTTTCCCCGACGGTGGGAGGTCAGTAATAAAGTCAATGGTAATTTCGCTCCATATGCGTTGCGGAATAGGGAGCGGCTTTAGGAGTCCTTTCTTTGTATCCTCCAGATGGTGTTTCGTCCGCAAACCTCGCAGTTGCGCACAAACCGACGTACATCGCTAGCGGCACCCGGCCAGAAGAAGCGTCTCGACAGAGTCGAGTACGTGAGGTCCCTTCCAGGATGTCCGGTGATATGAGAGTCGTGAGTTTCCTGGATGATCTTCGTACGTAGCGGCTCCGAACCGGGTATCCAGACGCGTTCTCTAAAGCACAGCAGGCCCCTATTGTCTAACGAGCATTCTGAAATGCTGACAACCTTCTCCTTCTGTAATCCTGTTGGCAAACTCTTCGCTCCATCTGCTACCAGCTTCGTGAGTTCTTGATAGAGCTTGTCTTCTTGGCGTGCGGCGTGCCACAGCTGCTGTAACTCCTCATCTTCAAATATCCTGATCTCTTTTCCGAAGTTGATTTCCTGGGCACCATCGGTGTTGGTAGACAATGTCGATATTGGGACCCTTCTAAGGTGGTCGTCTTGGAATAGCCTCATAATGCGTCCCTTTAGTCGTTCATCGGAGTAGTTTGCCGGCATATCCTGGTCCCGTCGAGAGAGCGCGTCAGGCAATCCGCCCTTGCGGCCCGGCCTCCATTCGAGCTTGAATTGGAACTTGGACAGGAACTCCGACCACCGCACTTGTCTCTCTGTCAACCTCCTTTCCGAGTAGAAGTATCTCAGGTTCTTGTGGTCCGTTAGGATCTTGAAGTGCTCTACTGCCCGTAGCTCTGGTTCCCACTGCTCCAAACATCTGAGAATGGCGAGTAGCTCCTTGTCATGGATAGCGTAGTTCGCTTCGGCTGCCGAATGTTTCTTCGAGAAGTATGCGACAGGTCGTACCAGTCCATCCTTATCATCTCTCTGCAGGAGCACGCCTCCCGACGCGAATCCTGAAGCGTCCGCTTCCACGATAGTCTCCCTTTCTGGATGGAAGTGTGCAAGGATCGGGGCCGTGATCAACAGGTCCTTGAGCTTCGAAGGCTTCTTCGCACAATCCATCCCAACGGAATGGCACGTCCTTCTTCGTTAGCCGCGTTAGCGGCTCCGCTATCACCGAGAAGTCTGGCATAAACACCCTGTAGAAGTTCGCGAATCCGATAAAACTCCTCACGGATTTAATATTCGTCGGGGTTGCCCATCCCTTCACAGCCTCAACCTTCTCTGGGTCGACTCGGATCCCACACTCCGCCTCGATGATGAACCCAAGGTATTTCACAGCCTTGACTTCGAATTCGCTCTTGTTGATGTCCAGTTGCAGCCCAGCGTCCATCAGTCGTTGGAGGACCTTGCCGACTTTGTCGCGGTGGTCTTGCAGGCTTCCAGAGGAGAAGATCAGGACATCGTCGATATACGCTGACACAAAATCATCGAGGTAATCCTGGAGCACGCTGTTAATATACCGCTGAAAGGCTGCTGGTGCGCCTGTCAGGCCGAATGGAACTACCAGCCATTCGAAGGATCCATAGCGCGTTCTGAAGGCTGTCTTTCTTCGTCGCCAGGGGCGACCCTGATCTTATGGAACGCTGCTATAACATCTACCTTGGTGAACCACCTTGCCTTGGCTATCGTTCGCAAGGTCTCGCTCAGTAAAGGCAAGGGATAGCGGTCCCTCTTCGTTATGTGATTCAAACCTCTGTAATCCACGCAGAAGCGGATGCCTCCGCCGGGCTTCTTCACCATAAGGACTGGTGCTGCGGCTGGCGAGCTGCTGACTCTAATAAATCCCTTGTCGAGTAGTTCTGTGAGGGTCTTTCGTAGCACCAATAGCTCCTCGCGGGACATGCTGTAAAGCGGTCCCCAGGGTAGGGGCCTCTCGGCCATGCTCGTCTTTCAGCACTTCGATCTTCAGGTCCACACCTGGCCGATGAGGGGGCAGCTGGTCGGCCAGTTGCTGAGAGAAAGCTCGAGACCACTTGTGGTACTGTGGTGGCAGCTTCTCCATTACGTCAGTCTTCGGTTTCGGTCTTAGGGCCTTGTCAATATCCGCCATTGTGACCGAGTGAACTCCAATGCCGCCTTTGCGTTTGTCACGGCGTGCTTCTGCTAAAAAGGTTGCGGCCATGACATTAGAGACGTCTAGCTGAGGAGGCTGGTAACGTCGTCGGTCTCGTACTTGGACTCCATTGGACCCGATCTCGAGATATCCTTCCTTCGCATGGATGTGAACATCCTGGTCTTCCATCCATCGTTTACCCAGGATCATATCCCAGTTCAGATCGTCGATGACGTACATGAAAACACGATGCTGCTGATGTCCATCGAGGTCGATCGACACATACGTGATCTTGTCGATTTTGACCTCCTTGCCGTCTCCCGCTGCATTCTCCAAGATGCGCGGCTGGACGCGTATATGTGGCAACTGGAGAGTGAAATGTGCGCTTGCTAACCGCGCCGTAGCAGAGGCAGCCATAGTCGACAAGAGATGGCACAAAGTCTGTGCCGTTCACCCTGACGTCTGCTATGAACGGTTCTCCGTCCATTTTTGCTTTTCCGCTCACATCCCATTCTCTCACAGCCGCCGCGTGTCCCTAGTCTGAATCTTCATCGCTATGAGAAGAAGCATCGTCTTCGGCGATCTCGGCTTTAGTGACCGCTGGTCGTGAAGGGGTCACGGCATTGACCTGAGTGCGTCGGGTCGTGTTTGCGGGTCGGATAGGCGCAGCCAATGGACAGCGCTCGATTCTGCAGTTGTCTCTTCCACAACGGAGGCAACGCCCTTCACGGTAACGGGCGTCCATCTCGGCCTGGTCGACCCACTGGGCACGCTTGCCCAACAGCGCTTGGTCTTCTGGTCGCTTGGATTGGTAGCCATATGTGTTCTTATCACTGCGGGTGCGCGCAGCGTTCACTTTCGCGGATGCTTGTAGAGTTGGCTCCCATTCCATCATATCCTCTCGTCTAACTTCGGTTTTCTGGGCAGACTGTTTCTGGGCAGACTGGCCTCCATGGTTCTGGTAGTTGTCATAGTTGTCCGAACTCTTTGTGTTGCCTCGGGGCCTTTTCCACTGACCCAACAGTTCCATCTGGCTGCTCAGCGAATCGCACCTCCTCGCCAGCCCAACATAGCTGCTGATGGCAGAGGGGTCAGAGCCTATGAGGGCTGCTTTCATTTTGTCGTTTAGTGCCTCCTGGAGGTAGGAAATCTTGCTGTCGTCTGGCCAATACTCGGCGTTGGCATTGGCGATCTCCTCTCAAAGCGGGGTAAAAGGACGTGAATGGTTCATTCTCTCCTTGCTTAATCGAATGCAGATTGCGTGTAGCTCTCTGCTTGCGATCCTCTCCCGTACAGCAATTCGAGACGGTTGAGTAGTTCAGCAACATTGAACGTTCTCTTCTCGGTTTGCATCTCCACAAATGTGGTCACGTTGTCTTTAGCCTTGCCTTCTAGGCTCATGAAGATGTACATAAAGTGGCCTTCTGCATCTCCAAGGGCTTCTTTATCGACTCGTAGCTTCCTTCGGTTTCTAGTTTCCAGCTTCGCCACTGGGCCTTGTCGCCGCCGAATTTAGGGATGTCTCGTAATTTGGGGCGCTTGGTTGGGTGAGGGTTGTGATTGGCGCCCACATGGGTGTCCTCGATGGGGACAGCCGGGGTGACAGATGGCATTGGCTCTAGGAGTTCAGACGAACGGGCTTGCTGGTGTTGTTGGAGTTCCAGGGCAATAAAACGTTCTTCAAACAGGGTATTTCTTCGGGAATTCTCTTCTCTCAGACTTCGTATCTCGGCAACCAGGGCGCTGAGGACGTCCGGCTGCATGTTGTTGTTATCTTCGGCCATCGCGACTTCGCTGAATGCTAATGGCTCCGATGGGACTCGGTTACTTTGGTGTCTTCAGTGTCTTCAGTGTCTTCGGTGATCTTGATAGTATGTGAAAGGCCTCTAGTGAGTTGATACAACTAACTAGTCCCTATGCTGTTTACTATCAAGATAGAAAAGAAAGAAAGAAAGAAAGAGAATCTACTACATAAGAGCATAACGGCATTTTATAGCTTCGAGCCAATGGAAGGTTCTAGAAGCTAGGCGGCGCAGCCGCCGTTAAAGCGGCTTGCCCGTTACAGTACTGGCAAAAATGTTCGCCCACACCGTGGCTACTTCCACGAAGCAGCAGACGAGAGCTTCCCTTCCACCGTAGACCATGCCGGGTGGGCCTGAGTGTTCCCCTTAGACGGTGTGATGCACCACATACGGTGCCAGCGGGAAGACCTGGTCCTTACTCCTTACTGTGGCTCGCACGTAGAAGGGCAAGAACTTGAGACGGGCCTTCTTTCTGTGGTGACATGTCGGAAAATGGGTTGGACCGCTTGCTGGGTATGGCGAGTGCAGGGGCCGCCGCGTAGAGGAGCTGCTTGGTGAACGGGTTCACGTTTGGCTTTACGAAACGCGTGGTCTCAGGCGTGCTGGAGTGCTTCTTTCCTTGCGTGGGGCGAGTCACGGGAGCTGGGCGTCGGCCGGAAGACAAATCGCTGAGGAGACCGTTAAGATGATTCAAGGGTCTGGGTGTAGCCCGGTCGATAATCGCGTGGCTGGCTAGCGGGTGCATTGCATGGAAAGCGAAAGAACGTCCTTGAAGGATTTCCTTTCAGTTGGCGAGTACCAACATAGATTCTCTGCTAGGATTACTGTTCTGCGTGCTGCCTACAAGCGGCGTATCACGTCTCGCCTGGTCCTAGAAATGCTAAACGGGATTTCAAAATCTGATACGTTGCCAACGGAAATAACATCTCTGTCGTAAACAATGCTGGCGCGGTAGGGCTTCAGGAAGGCATTTCTGGACAGGGCTTTAGCAGCCAGGTCGGGGACCTATGCAGCGCATGTGAATTTAGCTACTCCAAGAGTCTTGCCATCTATAGCAGCTCCTTTGGTATGGAAGGTGAAGGCGGCCCAGACTTTGCAGACAAATTTACCATTAAGTCTATTGATCGTAACAAGATGCTTCTGTTCCACAGTATATTCTAGCTCCTTGACGAGCCGGCAATCCGTCATGGGCTTTCCACAGCCCAAGTCTTGGCAGACCTCGAATTCCTTTCTGCCTGGCTAGGCCGAGATTTTGATTCGCATATACGAAAAGGAATGCAGCATGGATGCTTTTTCAGAAGGGCTTGAGTTCTGGAGTTTGGACCTCGGACGGCAGGCATGGTATCATTTGCGAAGACTTGCTTATCCGTCTGCTTCTGGGGGTGGTCTCAATAGCTCTGACAGGCTTCTTACATCCTTTCCTCAGGTGTCGAAATATTGTGTTCCGTGACTCGAACTTCTGCTTGCAGGTTTTTCATGTTGTAGACCTAGGCGTGATGGCCTCACCCTGCAACACATACTCCTCTAGAACGGAGGCGAGCCCGAAGGTTCCAGAGCACTTAGCGCACTAGAAGTAACCCACCCGTTTGAGAACCTCTCCGGCAACCATGTACCCCACAAAGTTCGTTTTAGAGGCGCCGGAGTCGCACTATCCTCACATTGTTGATTGCTACTGCACCTAGAACGCCAAGCTAGCCTCTATATTTAGGTTTTATAGATTCCTATATAGCGGGGTAAATTGTACCTCCTATAGGATCCACCTGCCTTCCTAGTAGTACCTTAAGCTAAGGAGGTTGTCAAGCTAGTAAAATACCGCTACACTATGCCAAATAGGGGCACCCCCATTAGAGGTGTTATTAACGGGTATTTTAAGTCTTTCTCTGCTTTGACAGAGATATATACTGCTGCAGTTGCTGACTACGAGTCCAAGAAATAAGATTGCCACTTAGAGGCTAAGTGTTATGGGCTGTACCCGGGTTTAGTAGACCCGGCCTCTGTTAAGTTCGAAAGAATAAAGTTATGCAGCGCAGGTAAAGAGACTTACTAGAGTCGGCCAATCGTAGATACGTCAGCAGTGCGAGGAACACGAAGGCTATTATTGTTTGACAAGTCAATCTTACCGTTCAGTCGGCCACCAGCGCCAACTCAGGGAGTTAGGTTGTTTTCTTTGGCGGGAACCTGCCATAAAATACACGCGGTTCCACAACTCCCGACATTTATTTAATGGCTTCTTTGCGGCTTTCCGACTTCTAAGTGTCCGTTGTGTCCTCAATATTTCGACGCATGTTAAAAGTTAGCAATTGGCAGCTTCAAATTGGAACTGCAGGGGCGACTCTTCCTCCTGACCTCCTTGTAGCCGTTCTAGAGGCGCATTAAGCCAGCGAAACGTCTTTATATGTACTACACACGACAACTATAGCGTATACATAATATCAGCAGCGGCCCTTCATTATTTGATCAGTTGCTCTCGACACCATTAGACGATAATGCCCAAGTTGCACTCAAGAGGTACCAGCACATATGAGGCTGCTTATATGGGTTTTTGCCTGGCTCTCTTCTAAGACCGAATGGTTTAGAGGCCTCTCGTCTGAAGCGTATATCGCCTACCTTACAATCAACCGTCAGTCGCCTTCAGTGCGCCGGTCATATGCTTGATCTCATCGCCAAAGCTCTCTTCTTCAGGCAAGGCGTTAGCAAGCTGGAGGAACGGCTGTGTGGCGCATCTAATGACGACCTGTTTAAGATATAGAGGGAATAAAGCTTTGTCCGCAAACTCTACAACTTTCTATACATGAATCAACAGAAGCGACCAGCGACGGATACGACCGAAGCAGTACGTTCTGCAGACATATAACGAAGGCAGCATCGAGCACCTCTGCACTGGGTCCCAGTCAATGGCGGAATCCGCTAAGTTCTATATATTTTATGATTGAAAGAACTCGCAATACACATCCATCCATCCACACCGACGGTTGACTAGGAGTATAATAGTAAAAGGGATAAATCCTTAACCCTCTAGGGTCCGCTCCCACCCATTCGTAAAGCTTCGCTAGAATCGTCGCAGTGCGCAAAGGCTAATCATATTCACAGCTTAGCCGCCTATTGCAGCATCCGGACCATATATAAGTGTCGCGAAGCGTGGCCTGATTTCGCAGTTCTCGGAGATATCCCTTGGCACCAGGGACCTAGGAAGCTAAAAAACAGGTTTTGAAGAAGGAGCTGAAAGGAGGTGCAGAGAGGAGGGTGGGGGCAAGAGGGGAAGCAGAAGTGGCGATGGCTTCCTATGGAGGTGGCGAGGGATAAGACGGATGTGCCGGCAACGGCTGGAAAAGAGGGGGAAAACCGGCAAAAAGCTCGGTAGTCGAAAGGACATCAGTGGCTTCTTTAAGCAGGATCTTCTTTGTCAATTGAGATGCTAGATGGGTATAAAGAGGGGCGTTGGATAGAGGAAAGAAGGACAATCAAGGCAATACAACAATCACTCCCCTGCCGCAATTGCTGCCCCCACAAGAATCAAACATCTCTGCCCTGCCTGTCCGACCCCTTACTTCCAATTTTACCTTCGTGCATTTTACATGCACTTCTCGCATCTCTCTTCGCGAGAATAAGACGTCTCTTTTTGCATTCCACCACCTTAAACTAGTTAGTTAGGAAAACAAAGCAAAACACAATAACAAGGAGCGAG